TAGGAAACCTCCATATACCACGGAACGCATTTGATCCCCATGGTATTGGAACTTACACCTGTTTCTTGCAAGGGTCTTGGCAGAACCCACTCCACAAAAAACAGGAGACTCACTGACATCGTCGCGACAACACATGTATCATAATTAAACGATATTAAAAGTATAGTAAGACAGTAATTAATGTCAAACACTTGGTCTATCAAGGTATTTTTGGGGCTGGAAACATGTTATTTTGGAAGGATGTGGCAGCTTGCGTCTCCGATGGCGTCTCCTTAGGATCCTTGGGAGGAACGGTCTTTGCTGCTTTTGGTGGCATTGTCCCAAAAACGTCTGCGGCGAAGCTCTACGACAGCGGTGGTCTGAGCAGAAAGAGACGGATGAACCCAGACGAACCTGGATGAAGCATGATCAGTGGCCATGTGACAAGACATTCATCAATGGATGTCCTCCATTCTTTCCCTGTAGCATGGGTCAATCATTCAGAATGTGTCGCCCCATTTTTGTCACTCGCAGACCCTGCTTTTGCAGGGTGGACGACAATGCCAGCTACACCTCAGCCCCTTGCTAAGGTTGCCTACTTTTTCAGCTTCTCAGCCAAAAAACCCTCGAAGAACTCCAGCACCTGAGTGCAGCCTGGAAATCAACCAAGAAGGTCAGTCCGCTTGGATTCAAGCAAACAAGCAGCAGGAAGCAGTTGTGATACACCACTTAAATAGATACAAATAGTGTCCATGTGTGACCTTCCAAACGTGAGCTTGAACACCATAATTGGGTCTGTGAGAACATGTTGGGAAAGCCTTAAGTTTAATGTGGTTACTGGTTACTGCAATCCTTATCGAAATTGCCAGTATTGTTGCAACCAGTAACCATTCGGAGGCATACCCTCTTCCACGAACCCACACACACACATACCGCATCCATGCAGCATAGTGTTGCCTCCAATTATTACAATGCATTATATCCCTGCTTGGGGTGTGGTTCCAGTGAAAAAAAGTGGTTGTGGGAGTCATATCCCAACTTGTGGAATTTCTAAAAGACAGAGAGTTGTACATCATTAATGATGACCCCAACTGCACCCCCAAAACATAGATCATACCCTCTGGTAAACAATCAAAATCCACTATTTCTATGGCAACTTTCAATAGCAAACTGTAACAAATTACCAGAGGGTACTATCCACATAGTATATCCATAGATATCCATAGATCATATCCCCCTGCAACAAGAGATGCCACTTTCTGAAAAACCATAACCATGCCATGCCGGGATGATGACGAAACATGAGACCATCCATCGAGTTAAGCACGTGTGGCTTTTCTCTATAGTTTGGCATTTAACTGAGATTATCAAAAAAACGATGGCCATAGGTATGCACTGCAGTTACAATGAACATAATCGACTATAAGTTATAATTATGCATCTTCATTGCCATAGTATCAGAGCCGGAAATAAGTTGTAAGTTAAAGATTGTACGTATTATACGTTATAAGTTTATAAGTCATAAATTACAAGTTGTAAGTTACTCTAAGTTATAAGTCCCGCTGCCTAATTAATAGGTTCAGTGCATGTCCCAGCTATTTTTGCCATGGAACGCAGGAGTCGGCCCAGCAGTTCAGTGTAAAGCCGCCCAGGGACTGTGACACCTGGCATGGGCATCCCTGCTGATCCGATCTTCTGCCCATGGAATATACATACATTACGTTACATGACATGCATTCATCCATCCATCCATACATCCAGATATCCATACATCCAGATATCCATACATCCAGATATCCATACATCCATACATACATCCATCCATGCATGCATCCATGCACACATACATACATTACATCCATCCATCCATGCATCCATCCATCCATATGTATATATATATATTATGATGGTAACAGGCTTACGAATCGTAACTGGTTAATAACTAGATTCATAACCCAGTTATATTTGGAATCCCCACTAAATGGGGACTTGCGATCACGTTTGGGTTAGTAGCCACGTACGACGCGGGATGATTTTTCAAGCAATAACACGGATATAAATAATCCCATGCACATGCTTTCCCCATAGAACCTATAAATCCATGGAATATATGGATAGTAATTAGTATGGATTGTGATACCTGTGTGATTATTTTTGTACGTATATAATCATATATATATATATATATACTGTACTGTAATCAAACCTGAAAATGACACATAACTATTTGTGGACGATGTTCCATTGTATGGTATGGTATATAGCCCACTATCTCCTCATACAATGTAAAGAAAAAACCTTGGAATATATGGAGAATATGCATTAATCTGTGTCTATCTATATATAATTATATATATATATATTTAAATAGAGAGAGATTATATAATCATATAGATATAGAGGGATTGTGTATCTATTTATATGATGCTGATATGATGTCGAAACATGATGACAATATCTCCCATTTTTCTATGACCGTTACTAACGGTGATGTCTGTGATGGGCCAACCTGGTGCATCCAATACGGTTTTTTCTGGATAAACCGTTTGGGGATTCACCTATACCTTTTATTCGTTAGGCCGTTTGGGGATGGTTTGGGGAAGTTTCATGGACAGAAACCAGAGAACTGCAGAAGCTATGGCTGTAAGAACCTAGAAACACATACACATATACACATAAAATCACATAGATATATATACCCGTGTATATAACATATATATATATATACATATGTATGCATATGCCAATTGAACTTGGCGGATTAAAAACAAGTTCATATCTCACCCTTCAACAACAGCGGGGATCTTCCCAGTAATCCTCCAGTAAAGATACGAAGGCAATCATGAACTCCCTTCGAAACATCATCCTGCAATTGGTCAATCACATAAAAACAGGGAATTGTTATATTGCTATCTAAGTGGGCAAATGCGCAAGCTCAACATGGATGATACTCCAAGTACTAATTGGAATGTATTGGAATATGACACCCGAGTTATACATACATACATGGCTGAATAATAATACATAATATATGATGATTATTCACTAAGCTGAAAGTAGCTACAATAACATCATTTGGGGATGGTTCCCCGCAATCTCAACCATCATTGCACGTCATTCTAGCGACGTCACAGGAGGTCACTATAATGCATCAAGAGATATCAACATGATTGTTTTGAAATCAACAGTGGAATCGTTCATGTATATACATGTATAGATGTATATCCCCAGCCATATATATATATATGTATATATATATATGTATATATATATATGTATATATATATAGAGTCCCAAGTATATAATCATTTCCATGTATATCTACATATCTATCTATCTCTGTATAATATGTATATCATTATATCCACAATGTTGTATACGTATACATATATATATATATTACATATATACATATATATATATATTCATATATACATATATACATATATATATATAGTATGTATATTCCCACGATATCCCAGGTTATTTATGGCTTGCCGCACTTCCACGGCTTCCACGGCCTTGGTGAAGGGCATCTGGCCGTCCAGGAAAGGACAATGAGAGCCTGCGACCGCGACACCGTTCTCTGTTCAATGGATGTGAACTGGTACATTTAATGTTACAAGGGGATATATATATATATATATATATATATGTGTGTGTATATGATATGTGTGTATACGTATAAATGTGTATGTGTATATATACATATGTATCTGTATATATATATATATGTGTATGTATATTTTTATATGTATGTATGTATATGAATATATATGTGTATATATATATATGTATAAATATATATATATGTATGGATATATATATATATACATATGTAATTATATATATGTGGAGATTTCCTAAAATGGGGGTCAAGTTCAATAGTTTATAATGGAACATCCTACTAAAATGGGTGATTTAGGGGTACCCCAATTTTAGGAAACCTCCATATATAATATGATATAGCCCAGTTGTTAAGCCGTTAACTCCATGACCCATCTAAGTAGGCGGGGACAATCTGTTTGGCGATGGATTGGAATTACCCATATAGCTGGTTGGAGATATGGGAATAGCTTCAATGATGTTCAATGGGTCAAAACCATTTTATTTTCATGCTATATGGCTATATCGCTACATGCTACATGGTGAACCAACACTCACCAGAATAGTCTGCCCTGGATGACATCCCATTTCTTTGGGGATTTTTTGAGGACATCATCAACAAGGGAATTCCACATACCCTCTGGTTATGACTAACAGTTTGCCATGGTATAGATGGCCCATAGAAATAGATGGTTTACCTGGGTTTACCTATTAAAAATGGTGGATCTTTCCATGGCTATGTTACAATAAATAACCAGAGGGTAGGAACCAAGATCTTTGTGATTGAGCCATTCACCAAGATCTGCAGTTTTTCACCGTTGTTAGAACCGCCTTTGTGTGGAATTGTCAGGATCCAACATGATCACCAGGTTTCAGAAAAAAAATGATTGGCTACAAACAAAACCCTACTGATCCTGATCCTTGAACATCATTGAAGCCTTTGCAGCAAATTTGCTTAATTGGGGTTTGAAAATTTTGCTAAACTGATCGGTTCCATCCCTTGCACACCCGAGACTCGAGGCATCTTTTCGTCTTTTGCACTGCCGAAGACCCCTTGGGGGTCGCAAATGGAGAAGACAAAAGACACTAGTCACCACAACTACCAACTATGATCAACTATGAATGGTCAATACATATCATATATAGAATGTTTGTTACCTGTACTACCTGTACAATTATATTCATATTTGCATCGTTTTGTTTTTAGCGTCTCGTAATATACCATGTCTTACTGCATGTTTGGACCCCACACATGGCTGATACCACGGTCCCACATGACCAACCAGGAAGAGCTCAAACACGTCCCATAAATCAGGACCAAAGTGTAAACATCTATAAGACCATGAAATTAAACATCAATAAACATCATTAAAACGACATGGCATATAGTCTATATACTATAAACATCTATAGTATATGCTATAAACATCATTCAACATCTATAAACCACCTCTTTGGGATGGTTTTGGATGGCTTGCCAGCCGTGGCCATCTCACTCCTCGGGAGGGATGGGTACAGCCTCGGTGTTTTGATGTGTTTTTTTTAGTCCCTGGGGATGGGTCGGATTATCAGATTTGATTATCACTGATTATCAGATTATGAGGTAACTAAGGTAACTCTATCTGTTTGAGGTAACTGATATTATCACTGATCAGATTATCTGATGATTGCTGACTCACTTGAGTTTAAACCTCAAATTTGGCGTTTTTATTTGAAGTGAATCACCAGAGATAAACATCTGGAAAACATTCAACTTAAGTATGTTAAATCAAATATCCACTTGGCAGGTCAGTATGAGTGTTGCGATGTTCCGATCTTCCAATCTGGCGCCCTGGGCTGTTTCTCTCCTGGACCCAACAGATGGCACGACAGCAGAGTGACGTCTGAATCTTCAGCCACTTCCTCAGCAAAGATCTGCAGGGGTACCACGTTACGTCATGGAAAAGAAGCGCCCAAGGTACAACGCGTCCTTCCTGGTTATATCAGACATGGTAAAATCACCATTGTTTAAGGGTGGTTTGTTTGGTCTTTTTACCATCCCCAAATGGTAGTTGTTTATGGCATGGGTTGCCCAACTTAATCTGATACCCTCTGGTAAACAGTCCCAAAAAACGAACTGGAAAGATCCACCCATTTTCTAGCTGGGTAAATCAACTATTTCTATGGCAAAACTAACATAACTACGGAAAATCATCATTTTTAATGGGTAAATCAACTATTTCTATGGCAATTTTCAATAGTTTTTTGTATGTTTACCAGAGGGTATCTTGATGGCAAAGACCTCATCGACCCTGTCAACACCAGCACGGATTGCCACTAGTTCCCACGGTAGTCGTCAATGCAAGGTCTCGAAAAATTGCATCCATCATGTCAAATCAACTTATGATAACTTACATACATTATATTCGTTATAATGATATACTGTATATACAGTGTGTATATATATATAGTATTATTATTATTGTTATTATTATTCTTATTATTATTGTTATATATTGTATATACATTTAAATACTGTATATACATTATATATATACATCGTTGTATCTTTATACAATATATAACTATACATACATATACTAAATATTGTCTATATTTTCATGTTTATTCCAATCCCTACTGTATGTCATTCTATTTCAACCTGCAGGCCGGACCACCACCACCATCATCCTCATCATCGTCGTCATTGTGCATTGTGCATCGTCATCCTCCTCCCAACCCAAACCATTTAATCCACTCAACAAAAGTGAATCACGAATCACCATCCACAATCATGTGGTTGGAAAACTCTGATTATATAGCCTCTTGACTTTTGGCACTTTTGAAAAACAGGGATATTGATCATAGCTCCCTTCACAGCTCCCGATAGCCCTGCCAAAGTCTCCGGTTTTTGTGGCGCTTTCATCCGCCCCAATGGCATGGCGGACATCGCGGCTGTCCGTCCACCGCGGCTGTCCAAGTTGGAGCGGATGACTCCCGGCGACCCGGACCGCCCGCCGCTGCGGCCGCGACGCGGCGAGTCAGACAAGCTGCTGCCAGTTTCGGGGGAGCTGACAGTGGCCGCGATGGCCTTACGCAGCTTCACTTGCTGCTCGAAGATCAGGCCTTGGTGGTGCTGATTTTAGCGATTTGAAAGGGCTGTATCCTCTGGGAATGCAATGGAGCTATGGAAAATCACCATGTTTAAGAGAGGTAAATCATCATAAATCATCTATGAAAGGGTCATTTGTTCATCAATTTTCCATAGCTATACTGAATAACCAAAGGGTGACTAAGGTAAACATAGCTCCAATAAACGCTTGGTTTATGCTGGATCCATCAAACCAGTTGCAAGGGTTATCAACCAACAAACTTGACTTGGGGGCACCAAACTGTATGTAACAAAGTATGACAGGATCATATAGGATCTATACTATTTTGGAGGTTATATCGGGATATGGTGAACTATAATCGGATCTATCTATCTATCTATCTACCTATCTATCTATCTATCTATACATATATATATATATAATGCGTAATGAGATAAACTGGGTAAACTTGGACATGTAATATGAGGGTAATTATCTGGGGTGATAAACCACATGAGGGGATATACACTTATAGAAACTGCTCAGTTGGGGATTCTTAGGCAGATGATAACTACATACAACACTTGCTTTTTTTGACTTTGCAGCTTTCAAAGGGCTGCGCCCGCAAGCGAGATACAACACGTGGTGTTTCTGCGAAATTGGATGGCTTTTCGATGGGGATTGAAAAAAGATGAAGGTTTGATCATTAATTCCAGTATAAAGTGTATACCAATGTAACACCCCCAAAACCTCAATTGGAAAATTCACCGAAATGCGGCATACGAAAATGAATACGATGAACACACATATATATATATATATATACGTTATATATATACATAATGTGTGTACACATAGTATTTATATATACATACATACTGCGTGTACACATAATATTTATATATACATACATACTGTATGTACACATAATACATATATATAATGTATGTACACATAGTATATATACATAATGTATGTACACATAATATATAGACACATAATGTATGTACACGTAATATGTATATATATAGATATACACATAATGTATGTACACATAATATGTATATATATATATATGTATCTATACGGCTAACTACAAGAGGGTCATAGTCCGTGTCAACTCTTACTTACCCTCAGTTCTGGCGGACTCGCGGCCCCAGTCATAATCCTGTTCTGTTTGTACCCTCTGGTCATTTAACATAGCCATGGACAATTGCCCATTTATACTTCGATGAATTATGATGATTTACCTATTATAAATCATACATGCTGATTATTTTCTCTAAGTACGTAAAATAACCAGAGGGTAAGTGGGTTTACAAACACATTCAATTGACAGGTAAATACGGGATGAGACAACTGGAACGCTGGATTCTTCAAAGCACATCACATCCTATAAACTGTGGATCATCGACCAGAAAATTCACTAAGCATATGTATAATGTGCAATTTGATTTATATATATATACATAATAAGTGCAAAGTGCAATAAAAATAAATACATAATGTATAAATAGAAACAGTAATTTGTCTTAAATTTGAAACCCCCACAGCTTATCACAACTTGTTGATAAATTTTCGCCCAGTTTCCCAATAACTCGGTCTTCAGGTCGTCCAAGTTGTTCAGGACCTGAGCCAGGCGTCAATGATGTTTTGAGGCAGAAAAATTGTGTTGGGTCCTCATGTTACAACCAAATATGTGGATACAATATGTGATTTACTAAATATATATATATATGTATATATATATATGTATGTATGTATACATATATGGAGTGCTTAGAGAGCAAAGTAGTGGACTGCAGTTGGATATGGTTCGAACATTGGGCTGCTCCCAACGCCCCAGATACAATGGGAGAAAAATGGCTGGCTATCCTGTATCTCAACCTAGTTGGAGAAACCATGTGCCAGACTGGTATCTAAATAAAACATAATAAAACAATAAACAATGTGAACAGCACGAGGCACATCTCGTGCCAAATGCTATGATCATCTGGAAATGAGATAAAATCAATCAGTTTCAACTGTCAAGAGTCTTAGTGTTCAATCATATCTACCCCTAAATGGGCACAAAATGGTGCCCGTCAGTTATAAGTTGATTTATAAACCTGCAAGCTTGTGATATCTACCATCAACCCCTGTTAGCATACTTAGAAATCAACTTAGCTATCTAGGGGCCCTACCTTGTATGCTATCATAGAATTCACTTTGTCGTCATCTGAAGATCTTCATTTTCTCTTGGGTGCAGGAGAACTTTTGATTTAAGGTGTACATGTACAGCAATCCTAATATTCCATAGTGCTCAGGTATATACAATCAATGGACAAGATTTGTCTGTACAGTGTCTTTACAGTATTCAATCAGTCACTCACAGGTTGGATGCTTCATCAAATTAGGATTACACCGAAACTACTTGTTTCCATATTAACAACAACAACTTGGGTGGTTTTGGGAATTCCTCATTTTAAGAAACCTCCATTTTGGCTGGTTAAACCCGCAATATTGTTGGTCATGTAGATACCCCATACATAGATGTATATATATATATAGGTCGAGAGATAGAGAGAGAGAGCGAGAGAGAGAGTCAATGACAGGACGTATAGTATATATATAGTCTAGTCTGTAATATCCAATCACAGCGCCATTATATTCCATTATCTCATTAAAATTACTACGTGCAACTTAAATCACCATAGCTATCAATCACAGCCCATGTTCAGATGCGCTTACAAGCCAATGAGAAAAAAACATGTATCAATTTCAGTTTGCCATTGAGTCTTTTGAATCTGACAGCTGGTTTATGCTGGTTTTGTGACAAAATACCTGACATTTCGTTTCGGTCAGCATGTTCTGGACGGCTTTGGTGGCCAACAAGGTCGCAATCGTATCGCTCTTGTTCACCTCGGACTAGCGCTGGACACGCGCGGAATCCCGGGAATCCCAACTGGGGCGACTAGAAGAAATAGCTACATCAATACGGGAATATGTGTGTTTAATGATGTTTATATAATGATGTTTAATGATGTTTAATGATGTCTAATGATGTTTAATGATGTTTAATGATGTTTATATAATGATGTTTAATGATGCTTAATGATGTTTAATGATGTTTAATGATGTTTAATGATGTTTAATGATGTTTATATAATGATGTTTATATAATGATGTTTCATGATGTTTAATGATGTTTAATGATGTTTAATGATGCTTAATGATGTTTAATGATGTTTGATGATGTTTAATGATGTTTAATGATGCTTAATGATGTTTAATGATGTTCAATGATGTTTATATATTGATGTGTTGATGTTTAATGATGTTTAAATATGTTTAATGATGTTTGATGATGTTTAATGATGCTTAATGATGTTTAATGATGTTTAATGATGTTTAATGTTTAAGACCAAGGGAAAGAGATTGACAGTGGGGTGAGTTAATAAGCCACTTATGAATAGAACAACCCCGCTAACGGAACTCTTTCAGCATGCTTACTAAGTGTTATGATCCTATCAATACTCATGCAATTGCATCTACTGACACTGCAAGTCCATATGGATGAGTAAGCTTTGCCATTAATAAACAAAAAACATTGCACATGTCCATGTTTTGACATATGTGTATATAAGGTGTAGCTATCTATATGCATACATACAATCTATATTTAATATATGTATGTATATAGATGCATATATATATATATGTGTGTATGTATATATATATGTATGTATATATATATATATTTATACACGTGTATATATACGTATATATACATATATAGGTTATAGGTATGCAAAAATAATATCAAGTGCGACTTTGCCACTCAAATGCCTCCGTACTGCATCCCCAACGTCTTGCGTCTGGGGCCCTCGCTTCGCCACGGATCTTCAGAAGTCCATGCACCAACTCGGCGATATGAAGCGTTCCACTGCTATCGGCATCGATGATCCTGGGATGTGATTCTGAACGGAATAACTTACTGGTGCTAAACGTAGGGAATGGGAATGAGGGTTGCTGGGATGATTATTGATAGTTCGCCAGTGGATCATTCCCTCATTCCCTACGTTTAGCACCAGCAAGATAAAGGTGAAACTCAAGTGATACATTGTAATGAGGAATATAATGGTGATTTAATGGTGACTAATGGGATTATCTACTGTGGTGCTTCACCCATTGGTTGATGCATCGGATCCATGGGCTTCATCCCATTTTCATTCACGAATTCGGGGATGTTTTCAGGGTTAGTTCACTAAACCAATTGGGGTGAACTCATCCGATGGGCTGAATCATCTGTTTTTGCAAGTTCTATGAGGACTAGCAACAATCGTCTTGGGGATATAGAATAGCAAAGTGGAAAAAAATCAGGCCTCTACTATAGTTGGTTTACAACTCACACGACTCTACTGTTAGACGTATCCTGAAATTGAACTGACCATATTTCGAGATTTGGTCAAATTGACCAGCTTTCGTAAGGCGTGAACAAATCTGAACCATCAAAATTATTCAAACTGATTCAACAAGTGAACAAACTAAGCAAAGAAACGTTCACATTAATCTATCAGATTATCACTTCCCAGTTGGTTCACTCGGCTATCCCAAATTTTTGGAACATTGACCAGAAAATAACCAACATCTCCGTCGGGCTCCTTTCGCCGGAACCAGTGAAATCAACATGTTGCAGGCGAAGCTACTGATTTGGTGCTAGTTGAATCCAAGGTTTTTAGCTAACTCTTCATTTGTTGTGGGTGTAAAGTCCCGTTTTTGCACCTTTTTGGGGAATAGAGTTTCAAATCCAAAGCCATTTCAGTATTGAACCAAGCATGGGTTCATAGGGTGCTAAGCACATTTTGCTTGGTTAAAACCCCACTCAAATAACTCCACCAGATGTCTGAAACCAAAAAGGCCAAGGATCTCAAAGAGATTCGCCCGGTCCGGTGGCAAATCCAGGTCATCCATCAGTAGTTGCACATCTCCTGGACGGAGACACATGGATAATCTATCTATACATCTTACATGATATTATTTTGATCTTATCTTATGTATCTATCTATATTACATATATAGTTTATATGGTAGTATAGTGTATGTTTCAATATGTTTTAAATTTAATATAGCGTGTATATATGTGTATGAACATATATCTGGGTAAACTATAATCATTCACTTACTGAAATAAGGCTACTAATGGGATAGGTATCCCTACTAACCATCATTCCAGTGAGGTCGCAGTGAGATCTTATAGTTTGCACATACATCTATTAATATACATATATATGTGTGTGCGTGTGTACAAGAATGTAAATATATATATATATGTATAGTTTAAAAAAATCGTATAATATATATATATATATATGTATATTTAAAATAAAATACATTGTATATTATATATTATATATTATAAAGGATATATTATATATTATATATTATATATTATGTATTATATATTATGTATTAAATATTTGATATTATATATTAAATAATAAATATTATACATTATATATTATATATTATGCATTATTTATTAAATATTATATATTATATATTAAATATTACTATTAAAAATAAAATGTTATATATTATATTTTAAATTTATATTCTATTTTTTATATATTATACATTATATTTTCTATGATATATACTATTTTAAATATAATTATATATTATATATTAAAAATTATTTTATTATATATTTTATTATATATTATATATCGTATATTAAATATTATATATTATATACTATATATATTATATAATATATTATATATAATATATTACAAATTGTAAATTATATATCATATATTAAATATTATATATTATATATTAAATATTACATATTTTATATTAAATATAAAATATCATGTATTAAATACTATATATTAAATATTATATATTACATATTAAATATTATATTTACATATTAAATATTATATATTTTAAATGATATATTAAATAATTTAAATTATATATTATATATTAAAAATTAAATGCTAAATATTATAAGTTATATATTAGATTTTATAAATTATATTTTATGAACCATGTATTAAATATTATATATATTAAATTTCCTTCTATATATTATAGATTATGTATTATATATTTAAAATTTATATTGCATATTATGAATTATATTTTTAATATATATTATTCTATATTATTTTATATTATATTATATTATGTTATGTGATTTTATATTGTATAATATCATATTATATCATATTGTATTATATTATTTGTTATATTATATTCTATAGATCCTATGGTAGTATATGTAATGTTGGTATATAGTTGAGATGGTAATATAGTAATACTCCAAGTTATGATGACAAACAACTATTATAACAATAAGATGCGATTCTAAAAAAAAGCTATGCGGTTATAATGAAATTATGATAAAATAAATATGATAATAGCAATGGTAATATTGTAATATGATGATGTACATATATACATATACATATATACATATATACATATATACATATATACATATATACATGTATACATGTATACATATATGTATATGTAAATATATATATATGTATGAATTATCATACATATCATACACATAGTGTGTATGTGTTTATGAGGGGTGGATGTTTATATCATATTTGACATTGTGGTGTGTCATGGTGTGCCTGTCAAAAACAGGGAACAGTATAGAACAGAAGAATCCACTAAATGATGGTGGAGATAACATGACTAGACTTTCTAAAAGGTGGTGCCCCCCCAGTTATACATGGGTTATAATCACTTACATCCATTAACTATAGACATATCACATATAAACCACAATTACTGGACTTATAAACACCCTTAGCTAACGAACTGGGGCACCATTAACCATCATTAATCACCATTAATCACCATTTTAGTATGAATTATGGCAACATCATCCATTTCATCACTGACTTTCAAAAAATGTCATGAATTGTTTCAACATGGGGATACCCCGAACACCTCCAGCAGGGTCCATCATCAGTTTCATGACTTGATGGGCAGGCAATCCAAATCGGGCTGAACATCCTCTATTTTTTCTGAGCCTCAAATCATCATGTTTGATGCTAAAAACCTAAAATCCCATAAAATCCAATAAAATCCCGGTTGATAGTTCAATTGAGAGAAAAGTGTAATATCTTGAAATAAATCCATGTAAATCCTGCCCATGTTTTCTGGTTAGCAGTCCGTGATGTTTTCACACGCCAAGTCTCTGTCTTGAATCACCAGCCTCGGAGCTGCACCGGTGGATTTTGACCCAGGTTTTTGTTTTGACAAACAATTGAAATTGACAACTGGTTGGTGGTTTTAACCATCTTGAAAAATATGAAAGTCAGTTGGGATAATTATCCCACATATTATGGAAAATAAAAAAATGTTCCAAACCACCAACCAGAAACTGACAAGTTCTTCGATTGTCATAACTGATATTGAAATTGAACAATTGTTTGAAATAGGATTTGAAATTGATGTTCAGAATTTCTCCAGTTGTGTCTTCCTTTTCGTTCTTTAGTTGATATTTTGCTTTGGGGTCTTCTTTCATGGCCGGAGTATGCCGGACTCACAGAGAGGTCAGCAATGGGCATGACCTGGATTTCAATTCATGTGATAATTATAAAGGGGGTGCAAAAGGGTGTAAACACATTCAATTTGGACAAAATGATAGATTTATGAACTTAGGCCACACATTATGAATATGTATACAATTCATGATGATCCCTTTTGCAACACACCTCAACATGTATAGCCGCATTAGCGGAAGATCCAAGCTGCAGGAAAAGCTCTTTGGTGATCTCCTTGGTGACTGGGATGGTGAACGTGGCTGCCTGGTACCACTTTACAAACATATTCATCAGCGCACAGAAAGCAATGATATTGTCATAAAGTGGTTATATGGGATATAATATGGTTAAATTAGCAGTGATAATTATTGCCATTAGATATCTAATGATTGTCATATATATTGTCATCTCATCTCCCTATATCGTGGGACCAAATATGGATAAACACAAAACGGACAAAACGTATCCGGATCCTGATTTTCATTGCCCGAAGTGAATCCTTCCATGTTGGATTTCCAGATAGAATGCAACACAGATTATCGCACCAATTTTAACTTATCACAATCATTATTACAATCACAGGTTCGAAACCTTACAACCCAAGACTGCCAGTTTCTGTCCTTCAAATTTCCGCCATCCCGAGATGCCTGATGTTTCTCCCACAATTATTGTATTGTCTTTAAACAATGATCTCCCTTCCATCCTTATAAAATATGTGTGTCCCATTTATATTGAATGATATTGAAGGTAAATCTTCCATTTTTGCCCAACCTCAGGGTATACTTATGCATGAAGTCCTTATAATATAATTATGGCAAACTATGGTTCAAATCCAATTTTCACGGCTCAAATCCATATTTTTTCTGCATGTTCCCCATCTTTTCATATATTTTCCACCTCCACGAAGCGCGAACATTTCATCCGCGGCACGATGTTCTCCTGTAACTCGTCGTCGGTGAAGAGGGCAGCGGAGGCGCGAATCTCGAACGTTTCCATGTTGCTGCTACTGTTCTCCTCCAGGTCTTGGTACCTGGGATAGTGGCCCGGGGTACCCTTTATACCCAATCTATTGGGGATTTTAAAATGTGTATATACATATATCATGTGCATATATATATATATCATGTGAATATATATACAGATCATGTGTACATACCTATATATATATAAATACATATCATGTGTATATACATATATATATATAGTGTAAATATAAACATTAATATATATATACATATCATGTTCTCTCAAATGTGAATATATTTAATGTTTTTCATTTAAATATATATATATATACATACATAAATATATATATATATACATTAATATATATATATATACACACATCATGTGTATTTATAAATACATATCATGTGTAGATATAACTACATTATGTAATATGAATGGAACATTAGTGCAATAATAATGACATCACTCGGTACCTGAAGGGTACGCAGCAGAGAAATGTCTTTCACGGAGGACTTGTTAGGAACAAAACCAAACCAGAAACCATGTTTTTTTCTCCCAAGATGGCGGTTTCCCTGAAACCAGTCGAATGAGTCATTGAGTCTGAGACCCCTCTGGTAATCAGTCATATGGCTTGCTGGAGTTTCCACAGCTATAGTTCGATGATGTTCCCACTCAAAACTCCATTTAGTTCGGGGATGTTCAATTTCCACGTTTGATTACTGGAGGGCACACACGTATATAATGTGTATATATATGCATATGTGTGCACACTATGTGTGTATATCTATGTGTATGTATTGTAAATAATATGTCTACATACCAGGTAGTGCCCGGCGCACGCAAAGGCGAAAGTTTCAAAAATAGGACGTGGCTATAGGATGCTATAGGAACCAGTTTGCATATAGGAAGTGCTGGTGAGCTGGAAAGAGGTGAGTTGATATGAATGAATTGAAGAAAATAAATTGATTTGAGTTGAACTGAATTGAGTTGAATTGAACTGAACTGAAATGAATAAACTTGAATTGAGTAAGCATGAATGAGTGACTGGATGGCTGGATGAATGAATGAATGAATGGATGGATGGATGAATGAAAGAATGAATGAACGGATGATTGAAAGAATGAATGAAAAAATGGATGCAAGAAATGAATGATTGTTTGAATGTTTGAATGAATGAACGAACGAACGAATGAATGAATGCATGGACAGAAGGCAGGAAGGAATGAATGGAAGGAATGAATGACTGATTGAATGAATGAGTAAATGAATGAATGAATGAATGAATGAATGAACGAATAAACGAATGATTGGATGGATGGATGAACTAAAGAATGAATGAACGAATAAATGAATGCTTGGATGAATGAATGAACGGATGAATGATTGAGCGAATCAATGAATTTTGCCGACCCCATCTTCCAAAAGTGCTCTGAGACCCTAAGACTTTTAACGATTTTTTTGTGAAATCGAGCTCTCGCTACAGTCTCGTGCACATATTACCGACCTCGTCTTCCAAAAGTGCTCCAAACCCGTCAGTTTTTTGCGATTTTATGTGAAACCGAGCTCTCGCCAGAGTCTCGTGCACATTTTCCCAAACCCATCTTCCAAAAGAGGTCTGAACGCCTCAGTTTTTCAACATTTTCACGCTACAGTCTTGTGCAGATCGAGGCCGCAACCGCGGAAACAGAGACCCTACTTCGGCGACTACGGAAGCCATTTTACAGGAAAAAACGCAGAGTTTCGCGCCCAAGAATGTTTTCAAGCCTGAATTCACGCGCTCCCGACCTGTTACACTTCCCAACTACTTGATGGTGACGTGGTTGACTTGATGATGTGGTTGACATGATGGTGAGAATGCTGCCCATGACAATCTCGGAAGTTTTCTAACTAAGCTTCATTGGAATATGTGTATATGATTATCCAATATCCAAATACAGAATCCATATAAAGCCATGTATACAATTCAATACATATATATATAATTCTAAATATAAATATATTTATCCAAGTACAAAAAATAGGGGATAATCGGGGATGGTTTTTACGTGACACAGGAATCCAGGAATGGCAGTGCTGTGTTTTTTTCCCAAATATCACTGGAGTACACATCCCATAACTGCGTGATATATGACAACTATCAAATACTATAAACAATAAATGTGTGGCTACAGTGGTTCTATGATAAACTAACTGCAGATAAATATAATATTTTCATTTTAAGATTTAATAACTATGATATGATTGTGAATTATACGCTGAAATAGACAACTTAGACAACTTAGACAACTGGGTGAACTGAAATCACCCCTGTATTGTGTGAATGTATATGGGGTTTTCCATAAATGGGGAACTCCAAAATGGATGGTTTACAGTGGAAAATCCCATTAACATGGATGATTTAGAGGTACCCCCATTTTAGGAAACCTCCATATGATAGTAAGTCACGTCAACCAATTTCTCTTTGCGAACGTGTTTTGATTGCTGAGCAGATCGATTGGGGCGACCAAATCAGTGAGGGAAGTCTCAATGTGACAACGTCCGGTATGTGGTTATACCACTACACAGATATACAGTTATACCTATCCAGTTTCGCAAATACCAAAACAACCCTCACAAGAGAACATCCATGATTCTTTTGTCTTTGGGAACATTATCCGCATATCAACATTTTACTCCGAAAATAAATATGAACTAAGCAATCTCCGGCATCAACGTGTTACGTCAATACACTGTGACTCAACTTAGCTTCATCTTCCATTGTGCTTGGTTGACCGCACTGGGCTCATCCAGTATAGAACATAGTTTGTGAACACGTTGGTTGGTAAATCTGGTGCTTGGGTTCTAATTTTCAGCTGGCTAGTAGTATCGTTGACCCAGTTGCAAATTGCTGGGTTGAGATTGACTTTGAAACTGTTCACTGTTTGCATGTGGTGAAATTCCAGGGAACAATTGGACGTGAGGCGTTTCCCCTGGATTACCATTTTAAACAGAGCAAACGATGGGCAAAAAAACTGGCGAAAAACTCATCAGACTCAGACATACTCAGACTCTGCATAGTATAGTGATGTATCGTGCTTGATGTAGAATCACATTTTTCGTGTTGGTAAAACAATAACATTCCCAAATCACCATAAATAGGTTTAATAAACCATTCCCAAATGAGAGGTTTATTATTGTCTTACCCACATTACAGGAATAATTGGTGATTTTCCAAACAAGAATCCCCCGGTGATGTTTTTTCAAGTGGCAGGTGATAAGCTGCAGCGAATTTCTTCAGCAACTCTCGCGTTGTGCGAGCGATGCGAATGGATTCGCGAAAATGCTGCTCCGCAGTCTGAGCCTCGTTCTCCTGCATCGCGAACTACATTGGTGACTAGTGGTTTTGGTGGTTGTTATGTACTACTTGTGGAGCTTTTCAAATTAGATACAGTAATAATCTGGTTGGTGGTTTGAACCCCTCTGAAAAATATGACTTCGTCAGTTGGGATGATAGTATTATTCCCAATATATGGAAAAAACAAATGTTCCAAACCACCAACCAGTAATTAGAATCACCATCATCTATTCCCCGTTTTTGGTGGTCGCAAATCTTTGTTTCATCGCCTCCGGTGCCCCTGGCACTTGAACCGACCTGGCGACCTGGATATTGCTTAGCAGCTGGTAAACATGCAAAAAGCTTTGGAAAATCACCATGTGTCATAGGTAAATCAACTTCAACTAAATAGCCATGTTCAATAGCGAACTGTTAAATTACCAGAGGGCAAATCCCGTAAATCATCGAAATCAAAGAGGCCATCTATATTGCAAACTCTTCAATGACCGGGTAACATCCTTGGTCATACCCAAACCCATAGTTGGTTTGATCCGCGGCTTCAAAGGCAGTCATGGTAAACCCCCAATAGAAATTTGAGACAACCTATATTGCCCCCAATTCATAATAGCTACATGTCCATAATGTTTCTGGGCTATTGGATATTGGCTATGTGAGCTACTGTGTATAATGTATATATGTATATGTATATGATATATATATATGTACATGATATCCCCATGTTCATGATCATTCCATATCAAACCAGAATTTATTGCTTCTAACACACCCACCCATGTATTTATATGGATGTTTCCCAAAATGGGGGCACCCCTAAATCATCCATTTTAATAAGCTTTTTCATGAAATAAACCATCCATTTCTGGGTACCCCCATTTTAGGAACCCCACCCATTGTGAATTTCCCATCGTGGTCCTTGGCAGCTTTCATGGTGATGTCCACGTAGACTGCCTGGATCCACGGCGCTGCGAAGCACCAACTGAATGGTCCGGCCGAAAAACACTCCGTATAAGAAAAACACGAGATTTTGCATATGCATATATCACCATGTATATACATATATACACATGTATGTACATGTGTATATATATATATACATATATATATACATATATATATACATACATATAGATATGTACATATATATATATGTACATATATATATACATACATAGATATATATATATATATGCACATATATATATATATACATACATATGTATTTATGTACATATAATTGCTATATACTACTCTATACCCTCTCAGGGGTGATGACTGATGAAGCACCAACAACTGTTGAATGGGACCCATAGCTTTTTCAAGCTGCGGTTTCTAGTGACAGTGGCCCACTGTGGGTCATCTTGGGCATTTTACCTGGATACGAATAATAACTATAAATTATACCCCATTACCCCTGAGTCATATAAAATGGAGGTTTCCTAAAATGGTGGTACCCCCAATAGCTGGATGCTTTATTTCATGGAAAATCCTACTAAAATGGATGATTCATGGGTACCCCCATTTTAATCATTTTAGGAAACCTCCATATATGGAATATTCTTGAATATTCTTGAACATTCCCAGTGGTGAAATAAGCCCTTACCAAGTGATTTCTGCACAAAACCCGCCGTTTTTCCGATGGCCGAGTTGCCAGGATTACATTGAAGATGCCCATGGTTACCAGCATATAACTCATCACCTAAGATCGCGGCGAGGAAGCACAGATCGCTGGGCATGTTGGCATGCGTTCAATAGCAACCCAATCTGCACATATGTATATATATATATTAAATTATGTGTATGAATATTTATAAGTATATCAGCATGCATCAGGTTAGCTATTAATATATTGATATATTTATTAGTATATCTATTAATATATCTATTAATGTGTATATATACATATATAGAAACATAATAATAAATAAACCATAACTAAGTGAATTATATCAAGTAATTACTAATCTATCTATTAACATATCTATATATTAACCTGTCTGTTTATATATCTATGAGTATATCATAGATCTATATATTTATCTACCTATCTATCTATATATCTACCTATGTACCTATGTACCCATCGACCTATCTACCTGTCTATCTACAGTATATACATAAATTACCGGGATGACATATGTATGTAACCCAGTAGATAAAGTAGGGGAGTTCTGGTATTGAGGCATGGACTCATAGGTAGTTTCTTATCTTCTTGCAAAAATAGGTACTGTAGTTTCTTATCATTTCTTATCATTAGAAGGCGCATCTTTTCCAGGTAGTAGGACTCATTCCAGTTTTTTATTCCTGAACATCAGAAGAGCAGTGGCTGAATGAAGTGTGGGTTTTTAAAAGGTCGAAAACAAACTACTTTGGTGTCTATACAAAATAAGACTGCAGAGAACACCACACAGACAAACCATGCACATGGCGCTCAGGACCAGCTTGGCAAATTCTGCAGGGTCCATACCAAAGCATATTTCGGGGATCAACTTTACAACTCGAAATAATTAATTTTACTAGAAATAGTTATTACTTGGCATATTGGGATTTTCATGTATCGTACTCAATTACTTGGCATTTGTCAACTTCATCCTCAGGGAACAAATTATGAAAAATATGGTTCACCCTCTGCAGGATCGGCGGATCGTTCTTTAGCAGATCATGGCTGTTGCGGTCATGGTTGAGCAATCCCATCCGAAACCACCTTCGCAAGGGATTTTTGTGGGCTTTGAATCCAAACATGTTCCTTTCACGCCGTTGGGGGCTTAAAACATGTCAAACATCATGGAAAATCATCATTTTGCCGTTTTTAGGGTCGGTTTTTTAGATGCAAAAACGAACCCAAAAAACAACGCCAACAAATACTTCTTCATCATTCACCATCTCACAAACAGCACACACTAGACAAAATTGGATCTTTGAAGAGATCCATCAGGAACTGAGTCCTTTAACGTGCAACAAGGCTAGACAATTAGACCTAAAGTAGATCTCGTGGTTGTACTCCGCGAATATAATGAAGGTCTTCCGAAAATTTTCAACGTATATAGCCCAAACCAGACTCCAAATGCGGCAAACAAATCGTCATCTCGTAGTCGAACTTCGCGAATATATTGAAGGTCTTCCGAAAATATCCAACGTAGCCCAAATTAGACTCCAAAAACGGCATGGTGGTTCTCGGGGTAGCCACTGCCCATCACGAAGCAACAAAACTGGATGCAGGTACGTGGAGTTGATCAGACTCCATATCCGAGTCAACTGCATGGAGCTTCGTTGGCGACAGCCATGCAGCGACCCTGTCGCCCCCTGCTTTATTAAAAGGAGAGAAGAAAGAAAAAGAAAAAAGGAGAAGTTTTACATCTATTTAGATGTTACACACACACACAAACAGATCTGGCTCAAAAATATATAGTATCCGCAATTTTGGGATCGTTTCAGATCTTGGGTGTGGTCACTTCTGGGGGTCGGTTTGTACCCAATGTTGGTCAGCCAAACCTCAACCAATTATAGAGTTATCAGTTGATATATTTCATGTTTAATTCCATCGAAAATATACGGATGCAGCATGTTAGTAGCTTACCCATCTTACCCATCTTACCCATCTTACACGCACCAAGCAACATATGACAAGATGAAAACCAAACCATATTCTCGCGCAAGGAGATGGGTCAACGGCTCTCCTGCCTCGTTGACCTGAGCGTTTGGAAAAAACATGGCGTCTCGGCGAGATGCCATGGGTTGACCTAATCCCCTTGTAGATCAACTGGGAACCTCATAGTCCCCATTTTATGGACATAAAACGGCGGTAACATAGACCTCCCATGAGAAGGTACACCTCTATAAAATGAAAATATTAAGTTTGTAGAGGCTATCACTTAATCCCAAAACCCTTCAAAGACTTTAGAATGGGGGCCCATGAGATTCCGTCGAGCCTATCTTATTTTCATAGACCCCCCAAAACATCTGGCAAATGTCTGGATTTCCTCAACAAACCTTGAGCCAAGGGTTTTCTTAACGTCAACGTTCTATAGCAATTTTATACCCTGAAAAACCCGGATTTTCCAACGTCATGGGTTCCCATTTTATAGTTTCCTGCTCCTTTCTTGCACTTCTCTCTCCCACTCTCACATTTGGGGTTGCGTCAAAATGAGGGTCAAACACAAAGTTTCTTGAATGAAATTGTTGTTGTTTGTTGCTAGGTTGATCCAGGTAATGCCTCTATATGCCTTCAGTATCTTCCAGTTGCCTCAGTGAAATGGAAAATTATGTAAACCATGACAAAAATACAAAAGAATAAAATCCTTCCAAAAAAAATCCAGATATATACAGGTTATGCCTCTATAAAATGAAAAAGGGTGAACAAAACATAGCAAAATTGGCAACACATAAAAACACAAACACAGAATCCCCAGGAACTCCCTGACAGTCCCAGTAATAATGTGTAAATGAATGATAATAAGTGTAATATGGTTCAGTTTGGATTTTGATGGGATGGGTAGGGTATGGTATGGTGTTGTATGGTGATGTGGCGGTGATGTATCTGTTTTGTTTTTAATGTGATAACAGCTTCAGCCACTATAAAATGGGAACCCATGACATTGGAAAGTTGCGGTTTTCTAGACTATATGGTCTCTGTAGAATGGGAACCCATGACGTTGGACATGACTGTCACCCAGCAGGTTAACGCTATAAAATGCTGATCTGACCCATCAAAAAATCTGTATGAAATGGGGGACTCACTCGAGCCCTAAAAATGATACGTAAAATGTGTATAAACAAATGCTCTTATCCGGGGGATATCCCCCCCATTCTATAGAGCAAATTCCTAAGAGGCTGATATATATATATATATACATATATGTATGTATAATAATGGGGTATGATGGGGATATGATGGGGGTATTAGTGGAGTATTAATGGAATATGAACTTAAAATATTGGTTTATTGCCCTCTGGTAATCAAACATAGCGTGCTGGAAAATCCACCAAATCCACCATTTAGTTCAAGGATTTTCCCAGCGAACGAAACCTCCATTTAGTTTGGGGCATTCCCCAGCCAGCCATGTGACTGATTACCGGAGGGATCCCGGAGGGATCCGGAGGGCCTCTGGTATGTGAAGGCAATCGAAAAATTAAAGCCTTTGGTAATCAAACATATCTATTGAACACATGGGACACCTCTATTCTTAGTAAGCGACTCATCTATAAATGGATATAAATGGGCCATGTTCATCCATTTCCATCCAATGTTCATGGCTATGTTAAAGTATGTGCCGGAGTGTGATCATTGTTTTTACTTGTCTATCTGATTTTTCCCCAACAGTGTTGGCTTTGGGGTCTCAGCCTAGACACAGGTTTGGTGCAACTTCCGGTGCGGGTTTTCAATGGAAATGATCCTACGTCCCTTCAAGATCAAACAAAGTCATGTTTGGCTCAAAGATGGGATATTGGGATATCATCAATATGATATGATATAACATGTTAATGGATGATTGGGGGCCATGCTTGGTAAACAATCTTATCTTGTTTATTCGTTTGCATGTACTAGCTGATATGCACAATGAAAATATGCAAAATATGGGCTGACTGTAGCAGTTCAGTCTAGGAAACTTTTGTTCCTGCCAAACTAAAAAAAAACACCGGCAAGAGGCCCCAAACAGTGTGGGGGTAGGAAGTCAATGTGCCAGATACAAGATACAGCAGCTATGGAACAGTAACAGAGCAAGGTAGACATTGTCGGAACTAGCAGGACATCTGAGAGAACTGAAAAAACGTCAAAGAAGGCCCTTCTATATAGAGGATCTCACAAGATCTTCATACAAGAACTTCCTATGAACATCCCGGAAGAACTTTCAGACAAGCAGCGGCGTAGAGCATCTGCAAGGTCTTAATGCAAGGACCTCTTAGGGGATGATTTCAACAGGATCTCCATGCATAAGATCTTCTCACACCGAAGAGAATCCCACAAGAGCGTCATAAAAGGACCTGCTGTTGCTGGAAAGGATCTGACAAGATCTTGGTACAAGAACCTCTCAAGAGCATCCCAGAAGAGCTTTCGTAGAAGCACCTCCAATACATGGCATCTGCAAGATCTTCATGCAAGGACCTCTCCATTACCAGGATCTCCATAAAATCTTCTGTCAAGGAGCTGTACAGGACCGTGCAAGGACCTGTTAGAAAGGACTTCACCAGGATCTCCACAAAATCTTCTCAGGAGGACCTGTGCAAGATCATGCAAGGACATCTTGGGACCTATTGGGGGATCGCAGCAGGATCTTCACAAGATCTTCTCACAAGGATCTGTACAAGATCATGCAAGGACCTCAAAAAACGAGCAGGGCGCGCTAGTAAAACGATACCTTCGGAAAAGCCAAAACTTAGGCCTACATCTTGTGCGAGCCCGCGCAGTCGAAATGCACATGGGCATCTCACGAGGGCACTTTTATGCGATAATTTACAGGGAACCAGCGGGAGGCCAAATGGAGCACCCTGATCTAATCCCGGCCCTTTAGCTCCTACCGTAAGAACCCCTCAGTGTGGACACACTCTGTTTGGGGAAAACCTGAAATATGTTTGAAAATGAATGCACATTTCATGTGATTCCCTCATGTTACCAATCACAATCTTCCCCAAAGTTTAACTTTCTAGCATTTCTGAAAATCAACTTCAAGAATCTGGTACAAATACATAATCTGCCAATGGCTCTGTGTGGTGCAATCAACAGTTGTTCTTTAATTCTGACAGGCAAGTAATTATTTAACACAATCTATCCACATATCCAGCACCAAAGGTGGTTTCTTTTCCCTAATTGTTCATCACCAACCAATGAATGACCTCTCGCCATGTCTCTCACCAAAGGCTGGTAAAATACAGAGTCTGATGATTCCATTGATAAAAGCTGGGCGTCTACGGGTACACAAGATGTACCTATATACATATATATATATATGTACACATGCGTATTTGTTTAAATGTATTTTGTATAATTATATATATATACATACATAACTACACAAACAGAGACCTTTACACTATGCTTGTCTGTGTGTCTTTATATGTATATATATAATATACAATATATAATATATATATATTATAATATATATATATTATAATATATATATATACACATTAACTTTCTGAAGCCAATCACAACACATACTACCACCAACAGTGTCGGTTTTTTTCTGGGCCCAGGCGGCACATTCCCCGGTGAAGCAGCGGAATGCCGTGAACATGGAATCGGGTAGCGACCTGAGATCCAATGCCGGGCCATGGGCCATGGGATTAGCGATTCCTGGTTTTAGTAAGTAGGTTATAACCCACTAAAAATGGGTTACCCTCTGGTAAACATACAAAAAACTATGGAAAATCACCATTTTCAATGTGTAAATCCACTATAAATGGCCATATTCAATAGCTATGTTAAATTACCAGAGGGTATAATGGCATGACATATCCAACTAGTCCTATTGAACTAGCGAACCATGGCCACTCGAAGTAGTTCATAGCAATGCCATGATAAGGAAGTGATGATATGGAATTGGATCATCATTACCAAAGCACATTGGTTATCATATATCCTATGTGGATATCATAAACCAACGACTGGTACTTGTTTATAATGATAAGCAACATTGGTGATTGATAACATTTGATTACCCTATTTGTAGTTCGCTTATGACCAATTTCATGGCTAGGTGGGTGATAGAATCGCACTTACCATGGCGGATTTCGCACGATGAATCCCAAATGGAAGAGATTTATTGGAATATCACTTTATTAAACGTATCACTCCCAAAATATCATTTTATTAGAATATATCACTTTAATGGAATTCATTGGAATATCACTTTATTAGAAATCTATCCCCCCATATTAAACACGCCCATTGTATCATCCCAAACATGTGTATGTCTAAACCACCAAAAAAACATGGTTTCGGGGGGGGGGGTTAATTAAGCACATGGAATGCCATCTCATCCAGTTCTTAGCCATCAGTGGCCCTTTTGTATCTTCCGTTTTGCTGTTGGCTCAGGATTCTTCACCTGATAGCTATGGGATAGCTTACGTACGTTTCACCAGCATTCCCAATTCTAAAAGTCTGGTACGGTACCCCTGGCTCAAAGACGTTCACATTTTTCACAAAGGCATCTGGGTATCATTTCAGAGCGGCAGAAGGATTTCCCAGAGATCAAGGTCAGATCCATCATGGTTCAACCAAGTTCAACCCGACTGTCGGCTCTGGTCAAGCCACTGGAAATAGATCATCAAACCCAATGCCACAGTCCTCAGCATTTTGGCCCATGGCCAAAAAAGAAACGCTGACCTGTGCTGATCTTAGCCTCTGGACGAAGCTTGGTAGTCATGGAACATCATGTTTCTCCAATGACTGTAAACCTTCATAGCTTCGGCATTGCAGGGAAAGCCCACACTTCACCAAGATCCCCAGAAAATGACAGGATCAGCACTGAATCATCCACAGAGAAACGTGAGATGGTGCTTGCCACAGCTATCATAAAAAGACTGTCTTCTTTATGACCAGGTGGCAAATTTCTGAATTGGAGGTATCAAGTCACATACTGTATAATATATATATATGTATACTGTATCTATTGCCAACAAGCATAGGCACTTTCAATGGGAACAAAACTCATGGGGAGGAAGAAAACACTTGTTCAAACCATCTTTGTAGACTACACGAATTCACCAACCTCAAATATTTCGTCATTTTGAGGGAATCATTTCTCCTAAGCTGGGTAGATTTTTCTAACTCACAAACCTGAACTGTTTGCCAATGTTGAGATTCTTCTTCCTGAGCATCATTTACAGTGACACCAGCCAGTGAGGCTGATACCATTTTAATCAGAAACAGTCCAAACACTACATTACTGGTTGATAGTCCGATCGCGACCTTCCCAATAAAACCAAACTGTCAAGCATAACCGATCATTTATCATGTTTTTCTAGAAGTCATACGTATGAGGACTATAGCCATACTCTTTTTACCTCGACATCATCTCACAGGCGTGTGTAACAAACATGGAAAGGACAATCATCATATCTTAGAAATCAGCATTCGTGGGTATTTTAAAAAAGTACCAACTTGCTGTGTCTTTGAATATTCATATTTAACCCATACTCATATAATTAGGTAAATCATCTACAAAGGTAAGGATGGGTCCATTGTCATCTTTGACTACCAAATTATGTGCATCGTTGCCTTCCCACTTTTCATGGCAATTTCGCAGCTTCCCGTCTAACCTCCCTCCAACAATGATGTCAACTACCGATTGGTCGTAAGTTCCAATAGTTCACCCTTTGCTAGTCACTCAGCCCATCAGCAGCAAACACAAAAATCTTATGTATATATAATATATTATAATATATATATATATGTATCTTGTCGCAACATGTTGGGAAAACTAAACCAACATATACGATGGAATTCCTTACTGTATAGTCATAACATAATGGGTCAAATAAATAACCGTAGTATATTCAAATATACATTACGTCATAGCGTATTCATGCGTATTCAATATTCAAATAACATTATGTGTATTATAGACCGCATTATACCCATTAGATATTAAATGATATTAAATACCCGTATCATATAAACCAAGCGACCTTTTATCCCCTGTTTTATGAATGGATGGCGCAACTGTACCAAGGTTCTCATCGTAACTTCCAAGGGTCATGGTGGCAAAGCCTGAAATGACCTCGTCTTTGCAGCGATCGGCCAAAGATGTCTTGACATCGCCCCAGAGTAAACCAAACAATTGTCAGCTGCTACTTAGTTGGTTTAACATGACATGAATGATGTGACTTAGTGGCCTGTCGATGGCAGCAGAAACCAGTACTCGCCTGTCATTCCAGCTATGAAAAGAGAAACATTGGAGCGAATCTTTGATAAGCTGCAACAAAGAAAACATATGTGACAATAATTTTAACATTATGTAACTGTTCAGGTCCCATCTTTGCTAAGAAAAATATTTTTGTTGTACTTAGCGTTTCTACCCATCCATGTGCAAAAGTGCTATCCGGGATGGTGATGCAATCAATAGGGAAACTGGGCTTGTCTGGAAATCAGCTAACCCGAAAAATCTGTTGGTTTATCATAACTTATATTAAACTAAATATAGTATAAAACATATATAACTATATAACTTATAGTTATCATATAACTTATAGTTATGTTGGTTTATATTAAACTTTCTCGAGAAAAATCAGAACTATATAACTTATATGAAACTTTCTCGAGAAAAAATTGGCTAGTGGCAACACCTGTACAACCTACTTTCAAACAGGCCCCTTTATATTGGGCATGCAACCCTCTGTTATCCATTGTTCATCCGGAAAAAATCTGATAGCCGCGCCACTCTGCAGGTGGATCATGTTGTTTTTTTTGGCGCCCATGATAGCAATGCTAGTTTATATGCAACTATATGCAAACTTTATATAACACCAACATTGAAATTTCGGAATATGGATTTTCGTGTTTGGACAAACCCATCATGAGCAGTTTGAAAAATCCAAATGCTGATGTATTGGAGGTTATGCGGCCCGAAAACGGGTGATTCTATCAATAAACGACAGAGGGATTCCCCAGTCCGTACCCACGAGGTGGTGCAGCAGTTCAAGTTGGGATTCCCAACGAGCGATTCCATGAAGTTATTCATGGTTAATATATGTTAATATCCACAAACATGGATATACATTAATATGCAATCATACCATTAATTGGTACTGTATGTTCTCGAGTTATACCAATATTGGTGATATAGTATACCCTCTGGTAATTTGTTACATAGCGAACTGGAAAATCACCATGCTATTAATGGGAAAATCCACTATTTCAACTGGGCCATTTTCAATAGCTATTTTGACATAACCAGAGGGTAATACCATTTTTACTCAGGTTCTACTCCAATGGTAAAATCTCCGATATTGGTACCAATACATTATTATACTATATCACCAATATTGGTACCAATACATTATACCAATATTGGTGATATAGTATAATACCATTATTACTCAGGTTCTACTCCAATGGTACCCTCTGGTAAACTAACATAACTATGGAAAATCACCATTTTTAATGGGAAAAACCACTATAAATGGCCATTTTCAATAGCTATGTTAAATTACCAGAGGGTAGATTGCTCCAAGGTTTCCGGGTAACGGCTTCACCATGGCACGTAAAGCACCGAGAATAGGAGAGTGAAGGCCAGCACCAGCGTCTTGATCCTTGGGATGAGCCATGATCTTCCCACATACCCGGCCTGGTTATGACTAACAGTTCGCTATTGAAAATGGCCATTTTTAGTGAGTTTTCCCATGAAAAATGGTGATTTTCCCATCAGTTATGTGAAAGTTTACCAGAGGGTAATCAACATTACTGTGGTTCAAACTAAAGAAACAAATCTGATAATATGTCAAACCACCAATCAGACTGGGGAGAGAATCATGAATGGATGGGTAACCAGTCATCAAGCCTGGAAAGAGACCTCTGCGGAGGACTACCGGTCACCCTTGAAATGGGAAGATGTTTGGAGGAAACTGCGGGATGTCAGATGTCACTGATATATATATATATATATATATCCTGGGGATACCAGCAGTTAGGATACCCTCCAAAAAAAATGACATCAAGTAGCAAAAAATATATTCTTGTTATTTAACGTATCTGTGGAACATCGCCATTCTTAAAAGGTAAATCATCATAAATCATTTATACATGTGCCATTTTCCATAGCTATCTTAAATAAACAGAAGGTATCTTCTGGACACCATTTTGATCAGGGTCCACAAAAAAAATTGGGGGGGGGGGCGATATCATGGGACCGTCTTCCCGCCGAAAGCGATAAATTGGTTGATGATGGGATTTCCACCAAAGTGGATCTCAGGTTTTAATACTCCAAAAATAAAACCAGTCGATAGGAAATAGTACAAGCCGACGATGAAAAATAATATATTTCAGGGTAAATGATCATGTTTCACTAATCTGAATTAATATGTCATCAATGTCATTTGGGGATGATTTCCTTCACATCCATCTCAATGTCTTGTTGCTTCATCTTCCCATTCAGTGCTGCCGCCGTAGGTATGTGTATTCATTTTAAATTCCAACTGTAGTTATATCATATCATATCTCCATAAACCCCAGGCTACTGAAATTAACCAACAGAAACCTATCGAATTTAGGGCCTCAGCTCTTTCTCCCATGACATATCCATTTAATTTCAATTGTAACCCCATAAAATGGTAGTATTATAATAATCGACCATCATTGTACCTCAATTAATCCCATTCGTACATAATACATCCCATTGGCCATAGTTGGCAGAGTAACAACGTTGCACTCCCATGATATTCACATCATATTGCCATCATTCTACATCTGACAGTGTTCAAAAGCCGCAACATCATCCCTTTATACTGATTGGCGTGTGACATAGCTCATGGATTGCCATAATCCCCAATATAGTATTGGATAGATGTGGATAGCGTAAGCCCACATCATCATAATCAACCAAGAGGGATTTTGAACACTGTTCATTTGGCTTTGTCTGAAAATAGGATTCCCAAAAAAATCACATGATGTTCCTTAACTTATATGCTAGTTTCCTGAAATAGGGGTACCCCCAGTCATCATCCATTTTAGATGTGGATTTTCCATTGTAAACCAAGTATTTATGGATACACCCCCCATGACTATATTATAATTTTGATCATGAAATTCACCATCATTAACCATCATCAACATATGTATATCACAATATTAACATTTGTTTCACCATTATTAACCATTACTAACAATGACTAATCCCAATATTACTAACATAATCACATCAGAAATTCATTAACCCATTAAACCCATTTAAAGGCCATTAAATCACCATTTGTTGATGGTTATCCCGTGACCATTGGATGGGTTGAGCAGCTTCAGAGTCGCCAACCATATTTTTTCGTCATGGCACCCTGCGATGAGCCCCTTCACCATGAGCCGCAAGTCTCTCATGGCCTTCAGCCTTGGGATATGAATGGAATTAATGATGGATCATGGTGATCAATGAATGTTAATGGTGATTAATGATGGTTAATGATGGTAATTAACGATGATTTCAATTACCCTCCGGTAAACATAGAAAAAGCGAACTGGAAAATCACCAGGTTTCATAGGTAAATCAACGAACTAAATGGCAATGTTCTATAGCTATGTTAGTTTACCACAGGGTATGGTTTATGGTACAAAAAAGGAGGTTTCCTGAGTCATAGGGGTACCTCCAGTCATCATCCAGTTTAATGGAATTTGCCATTATACACCATCCATTTGGGGGTACCCCCATTTGTGGAAACCCCCATATATCTATAGTTGATGGAATCTGAATGGGATATGGGATGATTATGGGATATACCCTCTGGCAATCAAACGTGGCAAGGGACAATTCTCGAGAAATGGAGGCTTATCGTTTGGAAAAGGATGGAACTACATGGGTGATTTCCAATGGTTATGATTCATTTCCGGAGGATAAACTATCATCAACCCCACATACTCAGTGAGTAATCCTCTATGATTGTAGGATAGGGAGATCTACGGATAATTCAACCCAAGTATCATCAATTATTCAGTGAAGAAGTGGGGATTTAAGCAAGAATTGCTGGTCCTAGTTGGTGAGTAAACAAAACTCCAGTTGATTCAGGAATTTCTAGGGTTACCAGGTATCGCTCGCCATCATTTGTTTGGACGACAAAAAACCCATTCCAAGGTTTCAATGGGAACGGTTTGCCATGGAAATCCACCCATTTTTAACAGGTAAATCACCATTTTCTTACCATCTATAAATGGGTGATTATTCATCTGATTGGTGGTTTTAACCATTTTGAAAAATATGAAAGTCAGTTGGGAGTATTATTCTCATATATTATGGAAAAATAATCCAAACGTTCCAAAGCACCAACCAGATATGTGTAACGCACCATCACAACTGACATAGACCCTTCCAAAGTCGGGTGGTAGAAGTCGATTTGAAAAAAAAATGCGTCGGTATTTGGGGGATTGTACAGTAAATGGACTATTCGTTGATATGGGGATGGGTCAAAACCCTTGTACCCCTGGTGAACCCCAAAATAGCTGGTAAATGGATGTTCATCCCCCTAAAAATGGTATTAATAGGTATTGACCCATACCCATATTCACTGACCAGCATGGGGATGAGGATGTCAACCCAGTGAATCTTCAGGATGTCCTCAGATAAAATATCTTTCTTCGGAGCCGCTGGAGATAAGATATTCACCATCATTTACCACCAATACCCTCTGGTAAACTAACATAACTATGGAAAATCACCATTTTTAATGGGAAAATCCACTATAAATGGCCATTTTCAATAGCTACGTTAAATTACCAGAGGCTAGTTGTGAAGATGCGGTACCAGTGTAACACTCTTTTTGAACAAACAAAAAACGGAGGATCATCCCACTTAGTAAGTGGTTAATACCCTCGTGAACGTAAGTCCTCCAAGTATGGTAAAGCAAACACAGAAATCTCCTTTTTGTGGGGCCGTTTACGATAGCTAAGCTGGTGAACATAACTTCAATTTCACTCTGGTTTTTGGTACTTACCTGGTACTTATTAGCACTTATAACTTTAGGATTCAGAAGGATCGCCGTGGGTGTTTCGGGACACATTTCCAGCATCTAGAAATGGAGACCTGCCTGGTATGATTTCCGATGATCTGTGTGAATAACTGGAGATAACTGGGCATATTTGGACCATAGTCTGACGGGATAGTCTCCAAGCGTTGCGAAATCGCTGGTTTCATTGGTGGAAGAAACAAGAATGCCAGCTGCCTGGTATGATTTCCGATGATCTGTGTGAATAACTGGAGATAACTGGGCATATTTGGACCATAGTCTGACGGGATAGTCTCCAAGCGTTGCGAAATCGCTGGTTTCATTGGTGGAAGAAACAAGAATGCCAGCTGCCTGGTATGATTTCCGATGATCTGTGTGAATAACTGGAGATAACTGGACATATTTGGACCATAGTCTGACGGGATAGTCTCCAAGCGTTGCGAAATCGCTGGTTTCATTGGTGGAAGAAACAAGAATGCCAGCTGCCTGGTATGATTTTCGATGATCTGTGTGAATAACTGGAGATAACTGGGCATATTTGGACCATAGTCTGACGGGATAGTCTCCAAGCGTTGCGAAATCGCTGGTTTCATTGGTGGAAGAAACAAGAATGCCAGCTGCCTGGTATGATTTCCGATGATCTGTGTGAATAACTGGAGATAACTGGACATATTTGGACCATAGTCTGACGGGATAGTCTCCAAGCGTTGCGAAATCGCTGGTTTCATTGGTTAAAGAAACCAATGCCATCGCTGGTTTCATTGGTAGTAAATTCCGTCAAATGAGAAACGAGGTTCTGATTCTGAACCAAAACAACACCATCTTCACATCTTCAAGAGTCCTATAGGTAAGAATTCACGGGTTGGGTATGTCAAAATATAATCATCTTGAGATAGATAAACTTACTCCATAAAAAAAACACACAGCAATATTCCTCTTCTGGGTGGTCCCACCTTTCAAATTCAAGCAACTTGGGTTTACCTTACAGGAATCCACCAATTAATGTATGATAATGATTAATGTAATGGTCATGTCCCCAAGCAAGGAAGACTGTGGATTTTCATGGCGGCGATTCCGTATGTTTGCAGGGATTCCCAGTATCTGATACCGCATCCCCACGACAAATTTCAGCCCAGCACAACACGCGACAACCGCATCGCCTGAAGATCTTCACAATGCGGACCAATCGTATCAATCGACAGAACCTGACCAGCGAATTTCTACATGGTGGTATCATGGGGATATCATAGGGATATAATGTGGGTAAAAAAATGTCATTTTTACCACCCATGACTGGGAATGGTAAGTTTATACCACCTAATTATTTATTTATTTATGATGACTGGGGGATGGTGCAAATGGCATTGTTTTGCCCACATTAGCGTAATATGAATAGAATAACATATTAACATATTGGTTAACCCTCCGTCATCAAACATGGCTGATGTTGGCTGGACAATCCCCGAACTAAATGACAGTTTTAACGGGATATTCATCGATAAATGGGTGATTATTCAATGGATTGGTTTAGGTTTAAGGGACAATTTACAGTAAAGTCCCATATTTAGTGGGAAAATCTATGGTTTCTTGCAAAATGTTCCCTTAAGCCAATCCATTGAATTATTCATTGCCTTGTTTGATTACCAGAGGGTAACATGATTCACATGGCAAACAAAAGAAATGATGAACATGATTATAGAAACCCGGAAAAATTAAAAGTGTCTGCAGGATGTTGTAGATAATATTCACTTCACATTGTCCAGGTTTACACATGTTCTGTTTATTTGTCGGTTAGTACGATATGGAAACAACTTAAATAAAGGTGTATGTATATATATATATATATAAATAAATACAAATGGAGGATTGGGACCCAGTTGTTTGTTGTTGTTGCCGTTGTTTACTATAGTTAAACCATCAACACTTGACTTTGCGACAAGCAGTAGTTAGATATTTGTCAGACATCTTTCTGTATCTCTTATTTTCATCAGTTTTAAATGTATTTATAGATCATTTACATAACCATCCACACAATTCTGGTAACAAGTACTACACGTAAAAAATCTTACAACTCTAAGTGGATGAATTTGACCAATGGCCATTGCCACGACGTCTTGGACAGGTCTGGGCTCCTTGATTTTGGTGGAACAATGCAGCAGCTGTTCCCGAGGAATTCCCCTTTTTGAAAAGCTGGTTGGAATGTTGCTTTGAAAACGGGGAAGGATGAACAAATGAACACGTCGTTTTTCTTGCTTAATCTGCTTTTTTCTTTGTTAAATCTGTTGGCCCAGTCTGCATTTTTGATGATTACAATGATTACCTCCATCTCTATTGCCGGACATGTCATTGAATCATCTCTGATGCGTTTCTACTGTATATTCCTGCTGGTGAAATCACTATTTTTTTGCCATTAAAAACCTTCCTTTAAACTTGGAGTTGCTGATTCAAGGCCCAAAAAAAGCAGGCATGATAATGTTAATATTTTCTAGTAACATCATTCCCAAACAAAAGGTGAGAAATCCCTAGACTCGGAGGATTAAATCGGTTGCTTAAGCAAATGGACACGTGCACAAACAAACACCGACCAACCAAATTCAAGTAATTCAAGTGAGCAGTGTCACAAACTCTTAAGGGTACCCTCTGGTAAACTAACATAACTATGGAAAATCACCATTTTTAATGGGAAAATCCACTATAAATGGTCATTTTCAATAGCTTTGTTAGTCATTACCAGAGGGTAAATTCCCCCAATCAAACGGGGATTCCCATAGATCATAATGGATCTTGATCATCCCCAATACATGGGGAAGTACAACCCCTGAAATAATTATCAACCAACCATGGATTACCAAATATGTTCCACTACATTACATTCATTTCCTTCCCTTTATCGTTGACGGTAAAAACCACTATAAACAACACTGAAACCCTTAGATTCCATTCAAAAACATCGTTTTTGGTGATTAAATCTGGATGTTTGATGGCTAAAATCCATTCAACAAGAACAACATCAAGCAGGACTCAGGACGTTGAAAAAACGGTTTATCCTTGGGTCCCTCCCAAAAAATCCACCGCATCGCGTGCCTCAACAAGGAGGTTCCGAAGATGCCAGACTTCTCATTGGACGTCTGCTGGACCTGAAGAGTTCTTGTGGGGGTAAAGTCGTTAGATTCGTTAGATGTCCCAACGATGGATGGTTCATATGGGTTGAGGCTGGAAAAAAACACTGTCATTATATGTTTGATATATATTTTGTGGGATGTAACCAATATGAAATAAGAACCAAGCCACGATCAAAAGTTGCGATAACTCAAAAAGAGTAGTTTGCTGACCAGCAAGGATGGGCAATCACAAGTAAAAGCGGGGATACAAGTAAAGCTCGTAAATTGGCAATAAGCAACGGAACCAAAAAAGAGGAAAACACGACGGTAAGCTCTCTATGTCACCAACTATAACAACTACCAGCAACTACATCCCAGTAACCAAGACATCCCAAGATTTAGCCAAGACATCTTGGCCAAGACCCTCCCCCCTCTGGAAACCCTGTATTTTAGCCAACAATCTCAGGATTTTCATGCAAATTCTCCACTCAACATTCTTAAACCACCTCTGGGATTGCTGAAATCATGTCTCATGCTGGGTGACAACCCCTTGTATATTTTGACTTATTTAATTTATGGGGACTTTAACCATATATTTCTAGAATTTGCCCTTATGTTATACAAAAACATACAAAAACATCCCCTGTTTTGAGCCACCATCCCAAGAGTTCGGAAAGTCGCAATCCTCGAATTCCACAAAACCCGGAAAGAAAAACTGGAAGTTCATCATTTCTCAAGTTCTCAAGTTCCCATCTGTTGCTTTAAAAAAATGGTTCAAACATGTCAACTCTATTTGGATCCCAATAGTTACATCTAGTTACCGTGTTTGATGGTCACCCCACCACCGGAATGTTGTTTTGATTTTCCCACCAATTGGAGGTTTAGCGACAATGATGTCCACCAAACCAGTGCCGGCCAGGAAAAGATCGAAGTAGTTCCTGGAGGATAGCGACGACTGGGGACCCCCCATGACGACTGGAAACCCACATTTAACGTATACGAAATATTTGTGAGATATTGAGATGATCAGTAGCAATATTTTTGTCCTTCCAGGACCAATTATTGAGGGGCCGATGACTGGTATACTATTTGCATCTATAATATTCTACAATTGTATTCATTATCATTTAGTTGTTGCTTTGTTGAATGGGGGGAACCCTCTATCAATCAATCAAGTGGGAAAAGGACATCTATGAAGAACCAGTACCTTTTTTTTCCGCCCCAAAAAAATCCTTTCGATGTATAGATGTGAAGTTCACCAGCCCCAAAAAAAAGCCCTATACGTGGAGATGGGATATCCATATCAGCAGAAGCCTGTTGGTTGTCAAACGGCAAGACATTGGATTTTAGGGATGCCAACAAAAACATGGCTAAACTTAGATAACATCGACTGTCTACCTGATGGATTTCACCAGTGATAGTTATTCATCTGTATTCATTTCTTTCATTTTACACATGTGTATGTGTACGTATACATGTATGTAGTTTCTATAGATATGTATGCATGCATGCCATGTATGTATGTATGTATGTATGTATGTATGTAGGTAGTTTCTATAGATAGATGTACATATTATACAGTATATGTAAAACAGTTCAGCAAAAAATAAACCACTCAGCGTCACAAGCAGCGTCACGCTGCAGCGTCACAGCACCGAACGGTGATCCGCGGTGATTCCCCAGTGATTCGTCCAAGGGTCCACATCAGTTCCGGGCCGCACCAAAATCCACCACAACCCAGCCTTAGCGTGGGGAAACAGACATACATAACATTACATTACATAAATTTACATAACATATCATAACATTACATATACATTACATGACATTACATACATATACATAGAAGAGCTAGCGACATGATAGCGCCTCAAGCACCCCTTTACGAGAGCTGCGAGGCACTGCGGCAAAGCGTCATTCATCAACCCATGCCCACTGCCGGCTGGGAGTTCCAAAAGCACATCTATGAATTTTCTCTACCATCTGGTTATTTAACATAGCCATGGAAAATGGCCCATTTATAGATGATTTTCCCATTAAAACCGCCATTTATGAGGAATTTTCCATGGCTATGTTAAATAACCAGATGGTAAATCCTCCCATTCTATTGAATTTCTTTTCGCCCCAAAAAACACTGAATTCAACAGGATTTTTGGGAACGGCCCATGCTCATGTCAACAATCTCCTACATGATGTTATATACTGCAACTGGCCAACGATTTTTTTTCTCCACAGAACAGGAGTTGGATAAATCCAACATGATACATGGTGGCGTGTAGCCTGTACCTGGGTTTCACATCTCTCATAACATTTCAATGGGTATTTTTCATCTTCAGTACTTAGCCGATCTCATACTCTCAGTGGCAAAAAACATCCAAGCCATTTCTATATATCAAGCCTTCCTGGATGCACTGAATTGTGGGTCAAAATCATCGCTCCCTAAAACTTGATGATTTGATTGTCACCAGACTATTGATCACTTGTGCATTGCAGAAAAATGTGTGTGCCAACCGCTAACCCATCTTTGTCCCAGCATCAAATGCATGCGAGTCAAAATTTCCAGCACCAGAAAACACGCAAAGCCAATTTCCTGGGCGTGAAATTACTTGAATTTGAGTTACACTTCGTACTGCAAGTGGCCACGAAGCAATATTATCCAGCTATGGTGGGTGGTCCGGAGTTCTATATTGGGCTACCACTTCCTAACTGGGACATAGCTGATATACTTAAATATATGTTCCCTCTAGTATTAGATTATTAGATACCCCCAAAATTCCCCAAACGAATAGGATTACCCTCCCAACTGACACATAGATATGGCATAAATGACCCATCAAGTTCAATAGTAATTGCCTACTAAAAACAATGACAAATAATGGTTTGCCATATTTTTGGCACAAACTACCAGATGCTAAGTCAAAAATTTCGGGTCTGTTTTCGAAACCTGTTCGAAGTTTGAGAGACCGCCAAACTATTGGATCTGCCTTAGAAGGGTGCAAGTCTTCAAGGAAGCCCAAGAGCTCATAAGAACTGCATAGAAACCCCAAATAGATAGAAGAACAATCCGCCCAAAAATGTGATAAATTACAATCTGTTTGGGGGTTGCTATAAATCTATAAGTCTACAAGGTATTAAGAATGACAAGGTCAATCAAAAAAATAAGTCTAGCAAAGCCATCAATCATGGATTCTCAAGACTAAACGTAACAAACTCAACATGCCATTGTCATATCTCTTACCAAACGCATTCCAATCTCACACTCCTAGACTCCATGTTGCCCACAGGACTATTCCCATTGCATCCCAACGTTAGAAAGAAAACAACATGGGTACACTTTGTTGCTGTAGACATATGCTCATTGCAAAGTTCAATCCCATGTTGAGGGCACCTTCAGAGTCATCATGTTTTTGGATATGTGTCGATATACATATGTCGATACTGCTATGCAAACAAAATCAAAATAGCAGGCGAAGTTCAGGGGGTGCCCTCCGGTCCACGGGTCACACGTTTTTGGATGCGTTTTTCGAATCAGCCAATAAATGTCCAGCCCCAACTAGTTAACAACCCGGGTGGCATCATAATTCATCATAAAAAACCAGCTCCGGCCTTTTAAACAAAAGCTGCAGTTCTCCTTGGGCACCACCGGGCGGATTTCGGCAAGCATCGAAGTAGGGCCAGCCCTCCCAGTCGCCATACTTCGGATCGGTCTGGAATCCGATCCTCAGAGAATGCAGGAGATGCCAGTGATGCCAGGGACTATAACTTATGGGTCTTTCGTTGTAACTGCAATTGTCTACATATATCATCATATACATACATACATACATACATACATACATACATACATACATACCTACATACCTACCTACCTACCTACCTACATACATACATACATATATATTTGGTAGCTCCACGGAACCTTTGGCCCCCCTGGGCCCACAAAAGCCGCCTTCCTTGTTTTGCACGCCTGAGCAATGAAAGTTGGCTACAGATGGAACGGATGTTGCCTCGATTGGTGCAAGTGATCCCTGAGCTGCAAGTGACATGGTGCTGCTTCAAAACTCCTTAAACTTCTCTTTTAGAAAAATCAACAAGAGGATTCCACCTCTTCATATTTGGAGATTGGCAGGCTGGTGTCACAAAACTACCATGCAAAACTCACGGAAAACGGATCTTGCGGATCTCAGAAGATCCCGGGAAAGTGATGCTGGAAGCACCGGATTTCACAAAATCGCCAAAGATCAAGTAATTGCGAAAGTCTTCACACCTGGCTCCTTTGCCTTTCCCATGCTGCACAATCCAGTTCAGATAGCTGCTGTACTCTGGGTCAACGGCCAGTTCATGATAAGTCTTGTTGTCACCCTTGACACGCGGAAGCTCACATACTGTGCATCCCCACTCTGTCAAACTGGGAATTCCGGTGGGGAGCTGAATCTTCTCATCTGGCACCGTCTTCTTCGGGGCCACGGGCATCTGCGGAGACTTTTGGTACTTCCCCACTGGTGAGCTCACCACACTGAAGCCGGCGTCAGAGAAGCCCACTTCCTCTGACATGGGGCCCTCACCTAGGTGTGACAGCAAATCATCATCCCTTTGGCGCTTGCTCGCATCAGTCATGCCTGCAAGCATCGAGCTCGACTCGAAGGAGGACAAGGCAGCTAAGGCAGTGCTGCCTGGATTCACTCCGGAGGAGCCCTGAGCCTGCATGCGCGCAAGCACTTCTCGAACCATTTGAAGCTCTTCGGCAGTCACTGGGCGGTCCGAGGGCTTGGAGGCACCTGACATTGCGACTACAGAAACCCTTGGAGATACGGTAGCAACTATGATTGTGAGCAGGCTTGTGCCGTGAGGACTTCACCACAGGACCTCAAGTGGCGGAACATTTCAAAAACGGCAATCCGGTGTTCACTTCCACAGTCTCAAAAACTTAGCTTATCCCCCTAGTAGCCCCACGTTACTAAAGAGTGGCCATTTCTTATGCATCACATGGCTTATACCTATGCCACTTAAATTCGCAAAACTGTTGACTATACATGAGGCACGCATTGGCTTCCATCTGGTCTTCAAACACTGTACATGGGAGTGCAGGAAAAACATGGACGGCAAGCATGGGTTGGTCTATGCCTGTTTCTGTGGAGACTTCTCAGCATTTTGTTTTCGGTTCATTCCTACTTCTCGTCTACGATCTCTTTCTTCTTTCTTTCGATCCAACACCAACTGTTCATCTGCCAACTGATACCTACCTGATCTCAAAATTGACCTCAGCAAGTCCAGCGGCTCCCCTTTGTCCTTTGTCAAACCGTCGGCTGCCATTCTGTCAGTTGGGCACCAGCGCGCTTCCAACCCTGTTCGAGCGATCGACTGCCTCACTATCGCCACATCAATTGCAGTACGCTTATCATCCAAAGAACCACCTGTACCAAGTGAAATAAGATGATCATACAACGAACGGCAGTCGGTCATTCCGATAGGTTGGCGGCGCTTCAGCACCTGGTCTGTGTCCCTAAGACTGAAAGGACCGTCTATTGCTTCGGCCAAAATCAGAAGACACCATTCGGCTACCCCTGAGGCACTTGCAAAACTTTGAGACTCACCCCCCATGGTGGAGGATACAACCCTTGGCAATCGATATGACTTCCATCCCAAGCATGACAAAGGAACATCATTCCCTTTTGACATTTCTTTACTTGTCAGAGCCAACAACCAACCACCTTGAGTCTTGTGATCTATGTGATTTGCAAATGCTGCATCGGACCAAAAAGCTACTGTGAGATCTTCCGGAGGAATATAGGGAACCTGCAACTTCATGTCTGCATGTTGACGAGCTCTACGAATGGCCTGATTGGCCGCCAGTAGATCTTGAACACATGGTTGAGGAAAGCACTGTTGGGACATGGATGTCTGAACTGCCAAATCTGGCCGGCTCTGGGATGACAGCCATCCCAATGCACCATTCACCGCGCGCAGGGAAGCCATTTCGGCTGCCGTGGCTGGCTTCCATGGAGTGTGGGCTCGGTCTCTTGAAACCTTGATCGGCCTGATATGCTGTGCATATTCGGTTTGCTGAAAGGTAATTTCTTTGGTGTTTGGACACTGTTCGTACATGACCCCCAGAAATTCTCCTTGACCCTCTCTCCATTTTCTGAAAGGAAACCTCTGGCGCAAATAGGCAATGGCTTGATCATATTCGTGGCCCTGACCCCCAGTTATGGTATCATCAACGTGAGCTCCCAAAACCCCTTGTAAATCCCCTTGTGGTCCATGGCAGAAATACAAGCAACTGTCAAACTTGCTGCGTGTGAGACCAGCACGACGGGCTTCGGCATCGAACTCAACGTACCAATTATGGGGTGCATCGTTTGCTCCATAGATGTTACCAGTTATTTGAATCAGGGACCCCTTTTCAACGCCTGGAACCCCTCCTGGTGGCAACTCTGCATACACTGGATTGTCGGCCATTTGCTTCTGGACATCAGCTTCTAGAAAAGCACCTTTGATATCCCCAAGTTTCATGGTCCACTGGTGGCTGACAATGAGCTGCAGGAGCAGGTTTCGGGCCAGCTGTGACAACGTAGGTGAGTGACACTTTCCAGCCAACACTTTTTGGATAAGGTCTGGATCGTGATGACCCCGTAGACACCACCTGGCCTTGATCTTGGAATCACCGTCCTCAGTTTTCTTAGTGATGACAAAACGACTTGACATGATTCTATGGCTTTGGTGTCTGCGGATGCTATGTGCCTGATGCGGAGGAACTACATGCAGGGCTCGTTTCTCATCCTGAAGAGTCAGCCACTCTATCACTTTTGCCTCGTCGATAGCTTCCTGAAGGTCAGTTGGATTATTGGAGTGATGGAGTTCTGTTTGCAACTTCTTTTTGAGAAAATTTGCAACAAAAACTTCAGCGGATTCCCCTTGCTGCTCTGTGACGAGAAACACTTCATCATGCTCTTTTGCCTCACACAAGAGAGCTTCGTCTCTCGGATCTGGCTCTGATCTGCTGGATTTGCACGGTGGCTCGCTACTCAAAGCTCGACTGGGCTGGCGCTTGTGAGACGTGATCTCCTGATGGGCTTCCATAAAATCTGATGGCACCAGTTCGGCCGGACGCCACACTGTGGTCATTGGTTCAGGTTTCTTTCCATGATGCCTATGTCTAACTGGACCATAGGCACTTTGAGAACCAGGTTCTTGTCTTGCCGAAAAGGATGCTGCAGTTAAAGGATTGCTACTGGAGCTGTCTCCACCTGAGGATTCCGGCTCAGCAGGGCTTTTGTCTATGATTTCACCGGGAGCTACAATGTCCATGTTGTCCGGACTGGCGGACTGAGCCGGGACGCTGGCAGGAGACAGAGCAGGATTGGCCTGGCTAGGCTCATGCTCGGCTGTCGGTCTTGCTACAGCTGAATTGTCAGGACCTTCACGTGATCCCTGCTGGGTAAGGTCCACATAGTGACTTCCTCGGAGGGATCCATTTTCTCCAACGTACTGTGCAATCCCTAGCATCTCTCTACCATCTGACTGGGCTACTGCTCGTTCTTCCAACGTGGCATGTCTCAGGTGTTCTGGGGAGACTTTGAACATGTTGCGTCTATGGTACACTAAAATGTTACGCCCCACTTTACCCATGACAATTGCAGTACCGAACCATCTACCCCCAACTAATCTGGCTCCTCTCTCATATTTCTGAGTACGCCAGTAAGCTACGAAGTCCCCTGGCAGGAAGTCACGCTCAACCCTTGGCCGTGCATTCAAAGCCACTCGCAAGGCTTTCGAATCTTGAGACTGTGCCATGGAAACTCGGGCTGCAGTTCGGATGGCATGACTTCTCGCATGCATTTCACTGTGCAACGGTGCTGTCGCGGCAATCACGCACGGAGATTCCTGAATCAGGTCTTCGGGCACCCTGGGATTCCTACCGAACACATGTTGACAAGGGCTGAGGCCATGATGATTGAGGGATTCATTCTTGCTATTCATGGTTTCACGAATGCACTGGTGGTATTCCTCTTTGGAACTAGGCTGCGCTGAGTCTAAGACCTTTTGGAGAATCACTTCAAACAAATGACCATGTTTCTCAACCTTGCCTAGCTGATTATGTGCCTCGGCTGCAATGCTGAGAACTCGAATGCCTGATTGCTCCTGAGCACCTGCAAACGCTTCAGATAAATTGGTCTGAGCTGGATCCACGATGATCTCGACCGGTCGACCGGCCCATTGCAACCAGTTCTCATCGAAGAGTCGTTTCAGGAGAGGACCGGTTTCATTTTCATAAAAGGGGCACATGACTTGAAAACTGGACCCGTAGTCAACAATGTTCAAACACTTCACCTTCTGATTTTGAGTCCAGCCTGGAAGTATCTTCACGTCCAGTCCTACCCTGTGTCCAAAGTCCAAAATCTGGTGAGCTGACGCGGGCAGAGACGGAGTCGGTCGCTGGCGCTGAATGCAAACCTCACAACTGTACTTCTTGGCTTCTTCGATGGCTTCTTTGGAACCCCCAGCATTAGTAAGAACCCTTACTAAGTCTTGGTTACTAGGATGCCCCAAATTATTGTGCAAACGTTTCAGCGACATACGAATCTGCTCTGGTGTGGTGGCTTCGGCTGCAAGGGCTTCGGAAGACTCTCCTACAACGCTCTCAGTAAGGTTGAAAGTTGAGAAGTTGTCCTCAACCGCAGCGTGATCACACAGATGGCAAACACTCGTGACACATGACAACCAATGCTGGCAGAACTGTTGAGTATAGGCTGCTGTCCACTCACTCAAGGACGACCCATCATTAAGTTTTCCGGCTATGGTATGGTGTACATCATGTCCGGGGCATGTCTGTGCTAAACCTACCATGTCCTCATGTGATACGGCGAGTCCTGTTGGCTTCAGGATCGGCAAGCCGTTGTCAGGGTTCTTCAGGCCATAGGCGCACATGGATGCTTTACACAGGTGCATGCTCTTGAGAAGTTTGGCCATGGGTGGATGATTCCAAACACCTGATGACCACGGATGCTCGAACAGAACGCGCCCCCCGCGTCTCAACTGACGCTTGGCTTGAGCTATGCAGAATTCCACTTGGCGTTCGGCCACATTGCGGTTCCACACTCTCTTCCAGTTTGGAAGCTTGTGTTCATTGAGTCGATACCAACCTCCCCAATGCTTGCACTCTGGACACAATACCAACAGTTCAGGTCGTACCTCATCCAGTTGAGCCTCTACTTCTCGCTGTGTTCTTCTATCCAGCAAGTTGTATCCATTTTTCAAATCAAAACTCAACCCAGTAAGACCCTGACGTTCCGCTTCAGTGGTGAAACGTGGTGGTGAGAAAAGCTCTGCCACTACGCACTTGGAGTTACCCTTTTGCCATGCCGCAGCCAAAGACTCTAAAACCCGAGCTTCACGCTTGGACAAGGCTTTGGTTGGCACCCCCAAAGTAGGGACTTCTGTACCACCGACAGGTCCACTGTTTGCTGGGAAATCCATGATACTGATGATATACTGCCCCGCTGCATTTGTTTTCAACCTTTCTGGTTTTGCGCCGGAGAGAGAAAGCGTTTCTTTCTGAAAGTCCAGGACTGCCCCCAAACTGCGCATGGTGCTCCTGCTCAGCAAAAGAGGAGCCGTGCCCTTGATCACTGAGGCATCCACTTGACCTCCACGACCTCCGATGCCAATGGGAAGGGTGACCGCATATTGAGCCAGTTCCTCGTTCTGATTCCCAAAGCGAAACAGGTGCTCTTCTCTCCGAAGCTCTGGCAACTGTTGTCCAATCTCCGCATACTGGCGGAACAGTGCATTCAAGGTGCTCTGTCCTATCAAGGTTTTGCCACACCCACTGTCGATGATACCAAAACCTGGTGAAGAGACCAGATACACTTCGGAACTATTGGGATCACATGGAACAAAGTCTTCCACCATTGCTGCTCCAGAAGCTGAGGACGACTTCTCCCCAGAGTTGGACGTGCTGCTACCCTTGCCATAACCCTTGGGTTTTGGACAGTCCCTGGAGAAATGTCCCACTTGTTGGCACCTCCAGCATCGAGCCCTGCGCTTAACATCTGTCACATCTTGGCGAAACTGTTTCTGAACAGTGGCAACTTGTTTGAAATTCCTACTCTTCTGCAATCTGTTGATCTCAGCACGCTTCTCCTTCCATGTTGCAGCTAGAATTTCGACTGCCTCAGATTCTTCAAACACCTCCTGTTCTGAGTTTTCTGTGTCTTGTACTCCATATTCGGCCAGAAGAGCCTCCACCTCAGAAAAAACCACTTGGTCGCCGACATCTGAGAAGTCTTCTGCTGTTTCAGCTTCAGAGTTTTGAACCAACATGACAGGATTGCTGCGCTTGGCCCTGCTCGGCACCTGAAACTCTGGATAGCATGATCTCAAACTTGCTGTCACCACGTCAAACTTGAGCTCGCCACCGGACCTAGCCGTCACAACGGCCCGCTGATCGTGGCTCAACCCAGACTGGTTGAGAGCTATCCAGCCTCTGGCTTCTGATGGAAACTCCACATTCACTTTCCTACGGCATTTGGCAAACGTCTCCTGCACTCTGCTGCACCAGCTAGCCATGTTTTCACCTTCTTTTGCAGCTAACTGGAAAACTTCGTGAAGACATTCTGCTAAGTGATCGTGTTTCAGTTTGTCTGGAAAACGTTCTTCCAGGGCGTTCCACACGTATTGATCACCGCCTACCTCAGTCAGTTGTTCTAAGGTCAAATGCTCCACCGTCTCCAAGGCCAAGCCGTCCAGGAGAGTGAACACCCAAGGACCCCGCTGTTTTTCACTCAGGTCTTTGGTTGCGGCCATTTTGGCCTGAGCCCATAGCTTCCATTTCTTCAGTTCTTTCCCATCCAAGCTCTCTCCTGAGAACCTCTTGAATTGTCCACCGCCGCTATCTGACTTAACGTCAGCCATGGCGCTGCTTCACCTCCTATACCTTCCTAGGTATCCGGAGACCCCCTATTGGGGCTCCGCTACCAGTTTGGTAGCTCCACGGAACCTTTGGCCCCCCTGGGCCCACAAAAGCCGCCTTCCTTGTTTTGCACGCCTGAGCAATGAAAGTTGGCTACAGATGGAACGGATGTTGCCTCGATTGGTGCAAGTGATCCCTGAGCTGCAAGTGACATGGTGCTGCTTCAATATATATATATACATATGTATGTATGTATATATGTATATATGTATGTATGTATATATGTATATATGTATACATGTATATGTGTATACATGTATATATGTATACATGTATATATGTATATATGTATATGTATATATATATATGTATATGTATATATATATATGTATATATGTATATATGTAAATTTGTATATATGTATATTTGTATATATGTATATATGTATCTATGTAAATATGTATATATGTATATATGTACATATGTATATATGCATATATGTATATATGTATATATGCATATATGTATATATGTATATATGTATATATGTATATGTATATATGTGTATATGTATATATGTATATATGTATATATGTATATATGTATATATGTATATATGTATATATGTATATATGTATATTATATATATTATATATATATGTATATATTAATATATAGATATGATATAATGTATATATTTTAGAAGCATTCGTGAATGGTTGATGGGTATGGTTGATGTGGATCAAACTGGCTAGCTACACTGGAGCCAATGCTGCCAGTGCAGAATGGCTGGCTGAATTGAATTGCAATATTATTGAACTGACATTGACTGACACTGGCAACTTGAACTGACTGACAATTGACTGGGTTCCCAACTATGTTTCGGGTGGTGGCACTACAAATGGACCAATAGAACTGCAAATGGCTGCAGCAATTGACTCTGACACCTGACACTGACAAAAAGTAGACTTTAAAAAAACCCTAAAGTGAGCAAAATAGCAGCCCCTGATTAACAGAAACTATTTCACATCTGTATGATTAACCATGGTGACGCTCTAGAAGTTGGGCTATGGGCCCCCTGTATTTCTGGCGACAAGTACCCACCTATCAACTGAAATTTAACTGCGCACCCGAAACTGAAATTGAAACATGGCTCCTGGGAATTGGGGTCCGCCAAAATAAGTCCCATCAAAACTCTGGGTTCGAGTGCGATGTGTGAAAGTTTCATAGAATGAAATGTTATTTAAGGAGGTAAACTAAATCAACATTTTGCCTGATTCCCGTGTTGTAAGGCACTTCAGAAATATTCTGTCCAGTAAGGTCAATCCCGGACTCACGAAAAAAACATAATTTAGTTTGCTGGAGCACTTAAGTTGGCAAATTATCACGAGTTGGGTTTGTTTGGAAATGCATGGACATGCGATATATCCTTAAATCATCTTAAATCGCAAATTTAATGGGGAAAATCATCTTCCCGTAAATTTTCAGACAACCAAACCTGGCTAACTTCTCCTCGATGTGGCTCTTGCGAAGGAGGCTGAGTGTGTATAATGGTGTTCAAGAAGCTGAAATGGCAGGGTGTGGATTCTCACGGCCAATCTTCTATACCGTGCATGTGTTTTAGCTGGTGAGTATATTTTCCCATTGAAGGCCGCAGATTAAAGTACTCAACTACTCATCCAAGGTTCACTCGTTTATTCCTTCCAAAGTCCACACAAAGACTTTAGGTAAGAGCGTTAGACACATCCAGGAAAAATCAAACACATTTCCATGACATGAGGAAGGGGATTTGTCAAAATGCCATGGTAAAGCAACCATTCTTCACGTTCTGGGTGATGGTTTCAACCCCGGAAAAAGGAACAAAAATAAGAGATGCATTGACATACCAACCATCAGCAACCGTCTTCACGGACCATTCATTGCTCATTGACTCGTTAAAAGCCTCATGTTTCTATAGGTAAAACGCAGCCATGTCACATGATGCCATTGAGCACGATCAGAAAGGCAACAAACGGCTCGAGCAGGACCTACAGTAGTAGGGCGAAAAGTCCACGGTTTTTGTGGTCACAAAATGTCACAAAATTTGACTGGATCCCTAGGGTATCTTCAAGCCATCAAGGTTGCAGGTATTGCATAATTATAAAATTTAGTGATACATACATATATATAATTACATATATACATCATACGATTTTATTGGGGCAAAGAAATTGTGAAGGGACAGACTTGGTCCACAAAAAAAGTCCACTTGGTCCACTTGGCCCACTTGCACCCGAATGCTGCCCCGAACGAGATTGTTATTTATAAACCAGGACATACCAGGACTATCGTTCACCTGTCCCAAAGAAAACCACACATGTTTCTAATTTTTTTGGGGGGCATTCAAATTCGACCCATACCAATAATGGAATATTGATAATCTGCGAATATCGTTATATTGATATCGTTAATATAGATGATCTAAAATCTATCAATAATGGAATATTCGACCCATACCCATCTGCGAATTTGTTTAATGCCCAGTCCAGTGGCTATGAGTTTTTAAACACTGCATGTCCGACGGCTGTGACATTTCACCTCAAATGTGCTGCGGTGATATATTACCATTCGTTGTGTCACTCTTATATCATTGTACATATACAATGCAAAAATAACAATAATTTTAATAATGATAGTAGTAATAATAACAACAATAATTAAAAAACAAATAATATATAATATATATATATATAATATATATATAATATATATATAATAGAATTAAATATGAAATTACACATATATATATAATTATGTATATATATAATTATATGTATATATAATTATGTAAAAAAGTATGTATATAATTATTGATATAGCTATATAAATAATTAAATATATATATATATATAACTATTTATATAATTATATATATAACTAATTATATATATAATTATATATCTAGATTGTGAGTGACCCCACAATTGGTAGCGGTATCTGCAGTGATGTTTCCCAAACTCACCTGAAGGCTGCCACGCCCGATAGATTCCTTTTGCACCACAAGCCTCGCCCAGGAACAACTGGTGTTCCAATCCAAATCTCTATGTTTCGTCGGCCACGACGCGCTATGGCAAAAGTCCAAGCCCACCCTGCTCCACCCAAGGCTGACCACAGCCGAAAGGACTGCACATGACATGGTTGGTACCTGCTGGTGAACCCTTGGAGACTATGGGACCTGAATGGAAACTAAGGGAATACTTGAACATTCACACTCCCAAAACTTCAATATTTAGTTCTTTTGTTCAAGAGAATTTTGTTGGAGCCACTGGACTCGACTGCGGGAATTTGCCCTTTCGCGCAGGATCTCTTGTTCGTCGTTTAGACGATACGTTCCTTGGGATAGCGTGTGTCTCAAGAAGGCGGTATTCATCACTTTTGTTAATGCGTCAGCAACCTGTGCACCTGTGTGTACCCAACGTACTGAAACTCCTTCACTTAACAGGTCTTTCATCGCACGACATTGCAATTGTGTGCGATACTCTTGGCAATTAGGAGGTGCTGTGCGGGTAATGATGTCGTAGAGGGATTTGCAATCCGTGATGGCTAGGTCTGGTGGGTCTTTGATGGTTGGAGCTGTATACGTTGGTGGAAGTTCATTGAGTGTTTCTTTGGCTCGTTTCCATTGAATCTGAGGATTTTGAATCCAACCCCAAAACAGTCTAATCCATGATAGCTGATCAAGAGTGGAATTCATTGACATAGTCTCCGCGGAGAGGGTACTCACTACAACCTTTTGGATCTTTTTGCAGCACCAGCTGATTGGGCTCACTGAGCATTGAAAATTCTTGGCTATGTCAGCATGTGTCGCCATGATCATCATGCCTGTGTGTGAGTCCGGTTGTTTTGCTGATGAGAATGAGGCATCAGAGAATGCAATGAAACGTAATTGATCAAAAGGAATGGATTGTATTTTTATCGTCGTGTCTTTATGTCTTTTTGCTTCATGCAGTATCTTGTTGGCTTCGGTGAGTGTTGAGACTTTTGCTGAATTGATAGCACTCTGTAAATGGCTCAATCTGCTGGCAAGATCCGGACGGGTGTTCACAGCGGCATACTGCAAGGAGCCGATGATGGCTCGGAGGCTGAGTTTCTCGGCTTCTGTCACTGGCAAGTCCTCTTGAGCTCTCCTTTTGGGTTCAATGTGTATCGGTTCAATTTTGGTAATGTATTTTTCTTGTGAAAGGATAATGTTGTGATTAGGTAATTGTTGCATCTCAATACCAGTGAAAGTGAATGATTGGGACTTTTTGGCTCCAAAAGGAAACTTTGACTCCAGCTTGCTGATTTGTTCTTCGAAAAACTGGTCACCCCCGCATAGCCCATCGTCCACATGCATGCCTAGGATCCCTGAGGGTCTTGAAGCACCAGGTTTGTATAGCAAATAAACACATGGGTCAAATGGAGATGGTCGGAAGGAAAGCTCTCGGAGGGTCTTATCTAGTTCTTTGTACCATAAATATGGTGCGTCGATAAGCCCATAAGCTGACTTTTCCAATTTGCACACCTCATTCTGTTGAAGTCCCATGGCCTTGACAAGCTCTGGTACGGGTTCAAGCCCTATGACCCTGTTTTCCTGTGTTTTTCCTTGGAGAAACGCTGCCTTGATATCGAATGACATTAATTTCCATTGAAGTGATGCGATGGTCTGCAAAATGAGCATCCTAGATTGTCTATTCAGAGTAGGACTATCCCTAGGTATGGTTTCCAGTTCGGGATCTAGGTACCCAAGGACCACCAGCCTGGATTTTGCCTTGCGTTTCTTACCAAGGCGCTTTTGTTCGGCTGGGTCTTCAATGGGTTTCCATACGTGGATCCAGCGGCACCTAAGGATCTGCTCTGGTGAGAGGCTATTTCGCAGCACCTTGCACACTGTACCGGTCTGAAGCCAATTGTTGACCTCGGTGGTTTTGGCACGTTCGAATTCTGCTCGTTCCTCACTGGTGAGTTCACTGAGTCTGACTTCGGTTCTTGACTTTTTCTGATTTGTGGCCAACATGATGATATCTTCAACTGGAATTGGATGGCCGTCTTCAAACTCTTGCGGAACTTGGAACTCAACACGCCATGCCAGAGGGACCTCAGTCCTTTGTACATATGGAGGCTCAATGTCTTCACTCAGCAGCAGATCACATACTAGTTCGTCATCGGCATCAGGAACTGGTGTTTCGATCGCTTGCTGCATTTCGAAATCTGTGGGTGCTACCATTGGATGCTCCATCTCAGGTTCCTGATCCGGCTGAATGCTTGAGTCACTCTGTGGTGTGGTGTTAGTTAGTTCATTCTGAGGAACCTCTGGTTCAGGAACATTCTCAGTGTTAATTATAGGGTTCTGGCTGCGTTCATGGGGGTTATTATTGGCATTTACAGGTGGTCGAGTGGCATTCTGTCTGATTTCATTTTGGGGAATGGTGATTTCTTGAGTGGCCTGTGTGATGAGCCTTTGCATGTGGCTCTGTTGTTCCTGAGTCGGTGGAGCCTGTTCGGAAATCTGCTGTGCCTCTATTGCGCTGACTGGTCGGACGTGTTCCGGGGCAACACGAACCATGGTTCCCATGTGCAAACAGAAAATGGAGTGTCTGTCATCCTGTTGAATCACCTTTGCCGGCCCATGCCAAGCTTTGGATGTTTCAGATGACTTCCAGTACATGATCCATTCACCCGGTTCGTATGATCCCCGATCTGGACGTTCTCTTCGCAGTGCAGCCCTACGAAGTGCAGCGCTGTTGTCAGCGTCATGGAAGGCTCTCCGGGCACTTTCTCTCATTGCTAGCTGGGCTCGGAACTGGATTCCCTGAGCATTTTCCTCATTTGCTAGGCTGTGAGCTGGGAGGCTATCATCACTAGTTAGGGAACCTGGAACCTTCAAACCCTTTCCGAAAACCAGTGTTTCTGGAGAAAACCCGTGTCTGAGGCTACATGCATTTTTCGCCGCAGTGCACATCATTAAAGCCCTTTGCAAATCGGCATATGAGTTGATTGGGTGATCTTCTTCATATTTACTGAGCATTTTCTGGAGGACATCCCCATGTCTCTCAGTTCTTCCCATCTGCCAATGAGCTCCTGGCGGGATGATTGTACACTTCACATTCAGTTGCTGCAAAAAATTCGCGAACTGTTCGCAATTAAACTCAGTTGCTGAGTCGGCCATCATCTCATTTGGTGGACCAGCCCATGTGAGCCATCCGACTGTTAGCTTTTCAATGGCTTTTTCAGTGGTGCGATTTGGTGCAATTGTAGCAGTGTGGTTATTTGTTCCGTGATCGAGGAAATGGTAAAAATGAAAGTTGGTTCCTGTTTTGTTTGTCCATGAGACTCCGTCAACTGAGACTTTATCGCCAAAATCCAGCTCTGCCTTGATTGTGGCCGGTCGTTGTATTTTTGGATGTTGATGTTGAACACAAACCGAACACTTCATATCTTCCAAGGCTTGTGTGAGATGGCTGGGATACCCTTGTCGTCGAAGAACCTGTGACAGCACTTGATGAGAGGGATGCCCAAGATTCTTGTGAACTCGAAGGAGGTGTTGTTTCTCATGTGCTGGCAATGACAAAAACCGTGAACCATGTTGTTGGGATTGGGAGTCAATCACAACATTGCGATCGTGAGTACTTGTTGGCAAGGTTTCTGGAATCTCAGGCTTCGGTTGTGTCTCAGGAAGCATGCTTGACCTGTGGTTGGTCTCACTCATGGCTGGTTCCTGATGGGCCATGGCTTCAGGGTTGACCGTCGCTGCAGGACCAAGCTCGTGCATTTGCCCATCCGGGACTTGGTATTGCGGTTCTGCAGGCATCTGAATTACACTCTCGGGCATGCTTGTGGGTGCACTTGGATGATTGCAGGCGAACACTGTTATATTCACTGAGCTGGGTATCAAGCTACGTACAAGTTTTCTCTGTGCCAAAAGTTCCCATTCTTCCCATTGGTTTTCTACGAGGATTCTTTGGGATTTTCTTTCAAGTACAATAGCTCTTCTGTATGGTGCTTCTCCTTCAACCATCTCCTTTGGTGGTGGTAGTGTTCTTTCAGTCCCCTTACAACCCACGACATGCATGATTTTCTTATCATCAAAAACATTCTGTATCTTATTGATGATTTGTTGGTCCATGATTTCTTTCTTGCCAACTCTCGGAAGCATCTTCTTGATTTCATCCATGATTTCTTGAAGTTTGGATGCCATGTTGGTCTCAGGCCCTTTATCTCCCACACGGCGTCGTTTCTGTGGCAGATTGTCTGGCTCAGTCAGCTGGGCAGTGATCACCTTGGGACGTTTAGCGCTAGGCTCACCTGAGGCTTTCTTCGGTCGCTTCCCGACGGCTGTCAGGGTCTCATTCCAAAGGGAAAAATCTTTGGGCTCTTGTCTGCGATTGGAAAAGCTGGCTAAAACCTTGGCTAAACTTCGTGCAAACTTTCGTGGATACAGCTCTGAGAATTCAGTACGATTCCTTCGTATCCCCTTATACACAGTGGTTCCTTCAAGGACTTGATGTTCATGGTCGTGGTTGCAATATCTTCCATGGAGTTGTGAAAACACTTCCCATGATGTGGTTCTGACTTCCAAACCCTTCTGAATCAGCTTGTTGTTTTCAGGGTCACGCAATTGTCCAACTTTGCACATATCAAACAAGGCACAGTATGTTTTCTCAAAAAGCTCTCTCAAAAGAGGAGACTTGAACATCAAAGATCTTCTTGGTTGCTCCCAATGGAAATGCCGGCGACTGGACCACTGGTGGCGCAAAAGCACTATGCCTAATGCCAATTGATAAAGGTTTTGCACTCGCTGAGCATGGATGGCATCAAAACTTTCCATGGATTTTGAAGCATTCAAATTGTTCCAGCTTGACCAAGGACCACAAGTTGGGCTGATCCACACATTGTCTGGTTGTTTCTGAATCAGAAGCTGAAATAGTGATCTACGACCTTCAGTGGTGGCTAAATCACCTTGATCATGTCCAAACCTCTGTGCACGGTGTCCTAGTTGGCCAGTCTGGCGGGTAAGTTCACTGTTGGAACTGCAGAATACTTCTAATACATTCAGCTTGGCACCTGAAATTGCTTGGCATTCGCTGGCAACATGCTGAAGTTCTTCAGAAAATTGTTGAATCAACTGGTTCATTCTTTTCTGTAGGCTAGACATATTACTGGCATGAAAACATGTTTCTTCAGCATCTATGTCACCTGCCTGGCACATGCCTTGAGCCCAACGTTCCTCACTCATTTCTGGGATCGCAGAAGATTCAAGATCTCCCCCACTGCATTTTCCACTCCGCTCATTCGATGCTGCAGTGCATGAATGTTCTCGGTGTGCTGCTGCAATGCATGAATGTTCTCGGTGTTGACGTTCATGGGCACGTAGAGGGGCATTGACTCCATCCATGCTTCCTCCTCTTCCTCTGTTTTGGGGTTGAGTGGCACTGTGTGAGCTGGCATGCTCTTGGCCTTGGCTTTCACTTTGGGCTGTGGCAATTGGCGGAACTCTGATTCTGTCTCCAGCTCCATACGTTCTACCATCATCGTCACATAGTGAATGAGCTTCTGATGTTCCAGTTTCCCTGAGCTCTCGAAAGTGCGGACAAACCATTGCACCCAATGGATCTCCTGATCCCACATCTGGCGATATGTCTTGCCCAGGTGGGCTTTGCCAAAGCTGATGGGAGTGGCGTCCATCTGTTCCGGTGACAACGCCTTGAAAGTGTCCAGGCTGTCGCCAGTCCCCGCTGGCAGGCACCCTCGGCTCAGGCGGTCGGCAAGGCTCATGTTTGGCAGTGTGGTCGGATTCACGCTGCTCACTGGTGACTACCTTCTTGGTCCCAGGCTTTGGATTGGCATGAGTTAATTCATGAGGTGAAAGCGTGTGTTGGACATCCATTGCATGTGCATGTTGATCATGGCATGGGTGTTCATCTACGGTGGCATCAACAGTGAATTGATTGGTATGGCTGGAAACTGCATGTTCACGCGTGTGTGGTACTTTGTTATGAGAACTTTCGAGTGATTCTTTGTGGGAACAGTTGGCATTTGAAGTTTTGGATTCACACTTTTCACTGCAGAAAACTGTTGGGTCACTCTCGGACATGATTGGGCTGCTCTTTGTCTTTGGCTGTTTCGAAGTCTCTGGCGTTTCATGCACAAACGTGTCAGCAGTCGGGATTTCTTTCCTGGCATTGAGTGAGATCTCATTCAGGTCAACAAGAAACAAACCACGGTTGTTGAGTGTTAGATGAATTGGTACCTTCAGGAAAGGACTGTGCATCTGCTGATTGGCAACATCTACAGTGGCTTTCAATGTTCGGAGCAGGGTGTTCGATAACAGGAGTGGTGTTCCTCCAGGGACAATGGCGATTTTCAGACCTAATCGACCTATTGGGATGACCATGGCAAATTGGCTATCCAGTGTTCCCTGGTTCCCGAACCGGAAAGTCACTTCACAACGACATCGACGGACATTCTGGCGGACACTCGGATGCAGGTTCTGTAACAGATCAGACACTAGTTGGCTGCCTATCACTGTCTTTGTGGCCCCTGAATCCAAAATTCCGAATGTCCCATGTGACGCAAACATGATTGTCTCGTCTTCTGCGAGACCTGTGGCACGAGCGGATGCTCTCATGACTTCGCATGAACTTGGCTTAATTTGGCACACGTGGTCACTCCTTGGCACGGAATGTGGCTGCAAAACCCCAAACTTATCCTTAACCCGATTAAGGTTAGGATAAATCCCCTGGATGTTATTTATTTCATGGTCTTCATTTCCCCATTTAGAAAACCCTGGGTGGTGACATGTGACGTTCACTTCCTGCAGTCTGGGGACCGCAGGGGCATCTTCGACGATCTCAGGCAGCATCATGAACTCTAAGGGCATGGTTGCGTCATCATCCATGTGTTGGCTAAGGGCCATCATGGCTGGTGCTTGAGCCTTTGAGCTTGAACCAGAACTTCCACGGACTCTCTCTGGGCATTCTGCACGCCAGTGTCCCCGCTTGCCGCAATGGCGGCAATTGGATTCCAGTATCCTCTGTTGCAGGCTCTTACGGGCACCTTTGAAGTTGCCCTTACCCTTGCCCTTGTTTCCCTTTGATTTGCCCTTGGCCCCTGATGTGGGCCAGAATCCACGGTTCTTGAAACGATCATTGAGACGGCGCCTGGCATCTGTGTAGGCATTCAGAGTGGTGGCAAGGGATTCATCCTCCTGGAGGGTGTCTTGCATTGCACTCTCATATTCACAGATCAGCACGGCATCTTCATCACCATCAGCTGCTAGTTGTTCTATCCATGATTCCTCATCCCATTCTTCTGTCACTAGAGCTGTCTCGGATTCATCATACTCTTCTGTGTACATGGTGTGAGCGTCATAGATCTTTCCCTTGGCCTTTTTGATACCTGTAACATCATGGAAAAAGCCCGAGCCAAGCATTCGCACAGAGCTGGTGACCTTGGTCATATCCAAAGCATGTTCCTTGGATGACTCACTTTCCAGAATCACGCGTTTCTTGTCATCTGCACTGAGTTGACTTCCTCTGAGCACTATGTAGGCTTGAAGCTCTTCTAGGGTTACTTGGCTAGCAAGGAGTTCGGACCAAAGGATATCCGCACGAGCTAAAAACGAATCGTTGGATTCATCTGTACGCTGTACACATCGGAAAACTGCCTTCTCGAACTTCTCATACTTGCGTTCCAGTGAAATCTTTCCCCAGTGTCCTCCAAGGATTGTTACCAACTTCTCAACTCCAGATTTATCCCCAGTGAGCAAAGTGCTACGTTGGAGCTGCAGTTTCTGAAAAGCGGCACCACTGGTTCCTAGAATCAACCTGGTGATCAGTTCATCGATCTTCCCCTGTGGCCAGATCTCGGTCAGCAACTCCACCTTTTGTGTGTACTGTTCAAGATCATGCTGTGCAGGGTCAAACTGTGGCACTAACGACGTCAACTGATTTGGCACCTGAGTGTCGGATTTTCCATCAGAGGCTTCAGACATCGGTCCTCTCAACGCCAGGCTTTACGCCTTTCAACTGCTGATTGGACTTCTCGACCCCCTGGAGCTCTGGTAGCTCCGCTACCAATGTGAGTGACCCCACAATTGGTAGCGGTATCTGCAGTGATGTTTCCCAAACTCACCTGAAGGCTGCCACGCCCGATAGATTCCTTTTGCACCACAAGCCTCGCCCAGGAACAACTGGTGTTCCAATCCAAATCTCTATGTTTCGTCGGCCACGACGCGCTATGGCAAAAGTCCAAGCCCACCCTGCTCCACCCAAGGCTGACCACAGCCGAAAGGACTGCACATGACATGGTTGGTACCTGCTGGTGAACCCTTGGAGACTATGGGACCTGAATGGAAACTAAGGGAATACTTGAACATTCACACTAGATAAATATAACTATATATATAATTATATATATAGATAGTATCAAATAGATATAGTTATTATATATATAACATATATAGTTATATATATATATATGTATATGTATATGTATTGATATATATAGTTATATTTTTATTACGTCCGGCGAAAAAGCATATGCCACGGTGCCAAGGGATGCATTGGCTCAGGCGGGGCTGCAAGGTCATTGATTCCTCGGAGACAAAAAACATCTCAGCGTTTTTGGGACGTTTCCTACAATGGAAGTGCCTAGTATAACCCATATGCTCCATGTATAGTATATTTACCTACATCTGGCTCATTTATGGTGTAAATGTAGGTAAATACTCCATACATGGAGCATATGGGTAATGGATGGTTTACAATGGAAAACACCAATTTTAGGAAATCAGAGGGTATATCCCATAATCATATATAATCATCCCATTCAGATTCCATTAACTATAGATATATGGGGGTTTCCATAAATGAGGGTACCCCAGTTTACAATGGAAAATCCGTTGAAAATGCATGATTGGGGAGAACCCCCATTTTAGGAAACCTCCTTCAGAGACTTGACATTATATATGTATAAATATACATACCAGGTAGTGCCCGGCCATCGCCGGGGCGAAAACTTCGAAAACATAATGGTTATAATAGTTATAATAACAATGCAATGAACCAATGAAAGAGTGAATCAACAAATCAATCAGTGAATCAGCAAATCAGTGAACCAATGAACCAATGATTGAACGATGAACCAGTGAGTCGTTGATGAGTCAATGATCCAATGAACCAATGACTCATCAACGACTCATGGAACCGATGAATCAATCACTGGTGAACAACGATTCAATGAAGGAATGTGTCAATGTATCAGTGACTCGGTGAATAAACAAATACGTAAAAGCAACAAAAAAATGAAACAGAAAAGATAGTTTCAGGTAAACAAGTCAAACAAAACCAACAAAAACTGAGGTAAAAACAAAAAACAACGTGTTTTACCTGAAACAATATGTTCTGTTTCAAAATATGTGTTTTTCTGCTTTTACTACAGTCATTGCTCCAGTTAGTTGATTTCAGCAGACGTACTGCCATGTCATTCTTACACGTGTAGTGTGTTGTTGCAGCTCCTCATGCAAATCTGCTTCAGAAAGTTCACTTATACTGGTGCTCTTGTAGCTACTTCTGTTCTTGTAGCTTTGTCGTCTAACACACTTTTTTCAAAAACACACCTCTCAATTCACACCGGTTTGTTTTGAACGCCGAAACCGCCCTGAAGCCATCAATGTATATATTTAATGTGATATTTCTGTTCAATCCAAAGCAATCAAGTAAACACAACTCATTGAGTTGATGAACATCTTAACATAACCGCCATTCTGATCATGTTTCGCCGACCAGTCTGACAACATGTTTGGGATGTGAACAGCAGGGTACCAGAGTGAAATGAAATGACCTATTCCGATGCGTGTGTTATGCCGTTAAACGAGAATGGCTCAAATTTACCTGCCCCAACAAAAATAAGATACAATGTGGGGCCCCCTAGATAGCTAAGTTGGTGAACAATTATGGTTTATAGGTGATATATCTATAGTTTTCATGGGATAAACAAACCCATATCTCCAGCATCATCTAGCGGATTCTATTGTTCTATATTGTTATCTGTTTATGGATGTTTACTAATTGGTGGTTTCAAGCCCCCTGAAAACTATGAGTTCGTCAGATTGGATCATCATCCCCAATCTGGTTGGGGAAAATAAAATTCATGGTCCAAACCACCAACCACTTTATGGCACTTCTAACTCTAGTTCATGGGCTTTATAAAGCAACGAATATCACTGGGGGCACCAGCATCATCCAGCTTCCATCGAGCCTTATTGGTTGATCAGTGATTCACCAATGGGATCTTCCGGTTTTAATGGCTTAAATGATTAATGATGATTAATGATGTTTAATTAAATGGTCAATGATGGTTAAGATGGATCGAACATTACCATGTTGTGTATCTGGTTCATTCCAGCCTCTGTAAACTTATCCAGCCTCGTGGATGGTTAAATCCCATTTGTTGTCGCCACACCGGTAAACACCCGTTCGCCACACGCTCGCTGGTTCCCAGCACCAGGCGTCTAACAAATGTAAGCTCCGCCACCAAGCCTCATTTTTGCGCTGACCCTTGACCAAATCGACATCAGAACGTGGATATTCCAAGAATTGTCCAAAGAATTAGCGGATTTTATTATTGCAAATCTTCTGTTGACAAACAAACAAGCAGTATCCAGTTTACTCACCTCTCCACCATGTTCTTTGTGGTTTGATGATCTCCTACTGGACTAAGTTGTCTTTTTTCTTTAGTGGCATGAATGGTGTTTATCCATCCAACCCCAAAAGGCGAAACCGCAAACTGTCTGGCCAAAATCTTTCCAGATTTGGAGACAAAGACCAGAGATAGTCTTAGTTAAGAAAACATGGTCTAGCAGTTCCAAGATTAAGATTAAACATGGCTGCCCAAAATAGAGAATTAAAGATTCATCATGATCATGGATTGATTTGAGGGAAAACTTTACAGGAACGCATTTCTTTGACACCCAAATATAGGGTGGTCCTGCTGATTGAAGGACTAGGCTAGATATTGTTGCACAACATGGAAAAAACATGTACTGTATAATTTGAGTGTAATGGCAAAACTGACATAACATGATACAACTGTCTACTGATCACATGTGGGCATATGTTGGGAAGACTGATCAAAAACAATGGCAAACCATAGATACTATGCCCTGGATGGATCTGGATGGAGAGCGACACAGCATGTGTAATTTACACCACAGGCGACTCTTGTCCCATATGCTCCATGTATAGTATAGGTAAATACTATAGTATATTTACCTACATCTGGCAAATTTATGGTGTAAATGTAGGTAAATACTCCATACATGGAGCATATGGGTATGGCTTCTTTCAAGCAAATAACTTGATAATTGCCAACTCAACACACATCATGAATGTGAAATAAACAGCAGCAACAGGGATAATGAAGGCCGAGGGGCCTATGCGTATTTCGCAAGGCCGAAAGAATCTCTTTAGAATGGCGACGTCCAAAAATGGGGACTGCCTTTAAAAACATGACACTTTGAATAGGAAAACAAGCCATCGGGAACCCCCCCGCAAACCTAGCGCAAACCTAGCGCAAACCTAGCGGGTTTGCTAGCGCTGCCTTGCAGAATTGCTGAATTTAGTTGCGTGCCGCCTCATAACGAAGAGGAAAAAACAGTAGACCCACATGAATTATCAACAACCAATACTAAACTTCTAAACAACTATTTTTGACAAATGGTGATATATCAAAATATGATCTGGATAATTAGATCATAACTTTAGGGCTACCCTCTGGTAAACTAACATAGCTATAGAAAATAGCCATTTATAGTTGATTTACCCATGAAAAGTGGTGATTTTCCATAGTTATGTGAAAGTTTACCAGAGGGTAATACCTTGTAACTAATTGTAACTATACCCAAAACATATTGCCATTATATAGTCCTTGTATATCCATTATATAGCCCATACATATATATATATACATATATTATACAGGATGGTGCCCCCCAGTTATAAGTTTGTTTATAAACCCCATTAACTAGTTCGTTATATCTGCCATAAACCATAGTGACATGGGAGTTATTTGCACCAACTTAGCTAACGAACTGGGGCACCACCACCTGTTGATCCAATCCAACGACGGGTCGCGATTGGTGTCCCCCGCCAGGAGGATCTCCCGAATCGCGTGGAACGTCTTCAACAAACGACTTCCGAAGATGCGTTTGTGGATATCACCTGCAGGAAAAAAAATAACAGTTATGAATGGGATTATAATATAATGATATATATATATAACCTTAGTTATGAGTATATAGGAACTATAATCCCATTGATTGAAAAAACACCATGAATTCAAATCTATCTTGAAACCATTTTTTCAATCTAGCTTAAGAAAACATTTTTTGAAACCATCTTTCAGCCCATATTGAGCCCATATTTTTCAGCCCACCCAATGTTAGATACCCTGCAAAAACCAAACCAGAACCGTTAGCTAAACTCAGGCTCAAATGCATCCCCACAGCGAAAAAAATGTAAGTTTTGTGTATTATAAACCTGGTAAAGGTGGTATACCTATATACCCTCTGAAAAATATGAAAGCCGTAGTATACCTACCCATCTGAAAAATATGAGTTCGTCAGTTGGGATGATGACATTCCCAATATATGGAAAAATAAAATTCATGTTCCAAACCACCAACCAGAAACTGTTTGTCTTTACCAATCAGTACCCAAATGCAAACCAAAACTGTAGTTTGTCTTTTTCCAGACCAATTCCCCAATACATTGTCCGCTAATATGTCACCCGTCCAGGTTTTTTACCCTCAGTAACCAACCATCATGTTTTGCTACATACCGCAAAACCTTGACTAGGAAGGGTTGATACCTCCACTTCTGTTGACTATAACTTACTGTATATAAATTATGATCCCATTAAACAACCAACCAGTCAGTTTACCCAAGGTATCCTATTGTTTCTGAGCAAATTGCCAATTTGTGTTGGTGGTTAAACGTATAACAAACAGACAAAAAAACAAACAAACAGACAGACAAACAAACAAGCAAACAAACATGTACATCGATATACCATATGTTTGTGAATACCAATGTTTGAGATCCTTGCCGCCTGGTATGATCGATTTAATTGAATAATCCGTTCTTCATAGCAAATTGTCAACTTACCGAAGTGTATCTCCATTCATATCCAATTCACTGCAACTGTTCATTGGGTATATCACCGTTGTAACCCATTACATATCCATTATATCATCATTTATTTAGGTCCTGGATCATAATATATTCATGTGTATTTTGATATTAATGTTTATTGTGGTGATATATCCATTACATATCCCAATATATATATATACATATTATACATGTATATACATGTATATATATATACGGATATACATGTATATATATATGTATATATACATGTATATATGTATATATATATATATATGTATATATACATATATATATACATATATATATATGTATATATATGTATATATATATATATGTATATATAATTATGTATATATATATATATGTATATATATGTCATATCCCATGAATGCCATAGATAATTCCCATGATACGCCCGCTTTCATCCCAATCATTTTCCAATCATATTCCCAGTTTGTTGAAGGTAAACATTTTATCGTTCAGATGTATATTTCCCAGTAATATGTCATAATACTCACATATATATATATATATATATTGGACAACAATTTTGATTGGGATTAATTCATTGTCATATCCCATATACTGTACTCAATTCCCAATCATATTGACAATCACATTCCCAATAGTCATATTCCATAATAGTAACGTTCCAGAATAGTTACCATCTTCCCTTAGATGCAAAGAAACAAAATTCCTCATCATATTCCGTTATGTTTTATACCATCATATTCCATCCAATCCAATATGTTCTCAACACTTAAATTTATATAGGTTGCGAAATCCTGCACCAGTTGATGGTTTATTGATAGGGTTTCAACCATCCTTTTGGTGGTACATCAGATTTCGCAACCATCCACAGCTCACCCGTCCCTTGGAACGCCCACCTTCCTCGGCCAAGAAGAGTTCCATCAAGGCCTGTGCGGGGACCACGTTGTACTGCTCCCGCGCCTCGGCACCCAGATTTCACCAGAGATTTTGGTCCATTTTCAGCCAACAACTATGGTGTATGAGTTTAAAAAATGCCAGATTTACAACCAAAAAAAACTATAATTATAGGATATCATAGGTATAAAATATGCTGTTTTTTTTTCAGTTTTTCTGTAACGCGCCATGATCCAATTGGGAGCTTTCGTACGGGTCAAGTCCTGGGAGCGATCGAGTTTCTCGACTGTGACCTATTCAGTGAAGGTTTATATTTAGGCTGGTTGGCGGTTTTACCCTCTGGTAATTTAACATAGCTATTGAAAATTGCCATTTATAGGGAGTTTTGCCATTAAAAATTGTGATTTTCCATAGTTATGTTAGTTTACCAGAGGGTAACCATCTTGAAAAATGATGGAGTTCGTCAGTGGGAAGGATTATCCCATATATGAAATGGAAAATAAAAAATGTTTGGAAACAACAAACCAGATCATATTTAGGTGAATATTACTGGTTGGTAGTATACCTACCCCTCTGCAAAAAAATAAAGTCAGTTGGGATTATGACCTTCCCAATATATGGAAGGGTAAGATTCATGTTCCAAACCACCAACCAGATTATGATGAAAAATATGATGAATAGGTTATATATATATATATATTTCCCCTTGATATATTTCTCCTTGACCCCAACTTCATTCATCCGAGTCGTGGAGCCTGTTTCTCAGACCACACGTTCATGGTCGTTGCCCCACGTTGGAGCGAGCCATGCGACAAGGTGCCTAAGCCATTCGAGCCCCGCTGAACCGGCACCAAGAAAAATGTTGATTTGACCAGTTTTACCATGGTGAACTCTGTGATTGATCCAACAAAAAACTGCTTGGTGGTTTCAACCTACCCCTCTGAAAAATCATGGACTTCGTCAGTTGGGATAAAATGACCTTCCCAATATGATGGGAAAGTCATAAAAAAATCCATGGTTCCAGTCACCACCAACCAGAAAAGCTTATCTGATCAGCACAAAATGGGACTTCACCAGGTGATTGGTTTAACCAAAATGATGATCTAATTCCCCGTGATGAATTGGGGCTGATTGCCAAAATCACCTGACCTAAGACTTGTTATTGATATATAAACAACTCCAATAAACTTGAAATGGGTTTTGTAAACTAATAGACTTAGTGCAATTGTTATTAATCAATTGAATATCCAATTGTCTGTTCCTCTCCTTGAGTTTTTACTATACAAACTGGGTCCAGCACCCAAATATTGGCCCCAACAGACCCAATAGCCCAAGTCGCCGGCCCGAATTCCAACTCTGCAGCATGTGTTTCACTGTCTTTATATATATATATACCTCGCAATTGTTTGCATAGCTATGGAAAATCACCATGTCTGATATATATATATATATGTTAATATGTATATTATATCAATAATTATATACTGGTATTATATATTATGTGATAGGTACGTATATATATATATATGTGGGTGTGTGATCAAACTCAATGGGCCCCAAATGGGCCAAATGGGTGATTTTCCGGAGCTAACTGTTAAATTATTACCGGAGAGTGACTTAAAAAGAATGTTACGAGCGGTTGCGAGCCCAAATGCCAAATCTAGGACATGGTGAATATAGCTAGAATCTAGAATTCATCATTGGATTGATTTAAGGGAAAATCTACAGGAAACCATGGTTTTTACCATCAAATATAGGGCTTTCCTGTAAATTTTCCCATCATCCAATTCTATGAATTCAGAGAAGTCAAGGATTGAAGTGCTTGGAATCCCAACACCCTGTTGGAAATCCTGGAAGCGCTACTTGATCAGGATCTTCATTCCGCACAGTAACGGTCAGTAACGTGCCCTTCATGTAGATAACCCATGGAAATTCATGGGCACCCCTGGTATCCCCCTGGTATCCCCCTGGTATCCCCCCAACATTTAAGGTGATACCGCTGGGTGGTTCACCCTTGGATGCAGCTGGATGCAGCTGGGAAACTATCTCGGTATGGTGGCCACTGCCAATAAGGCGTGCCAAACTTCTGAAACTCCTCACGGCCAGGCCGCTAGGCCCTGGAACTTCTGTGTCAAAGTTCGGCAAGGCGAACACTGAATATCTTGGAATGCGCACTGAAACTTATTGAAACTTGGTACAGCTTGATGTACTTGGTAGTTCTAAATATGGCTCAAATATGATTGAATGCATATGTAAATATCTATATACATTGACACATCATACATACAGCATATAGATGTACATAGTTTTGGAACCAGGCAGAGTGGATCCGTTTCTCTGACTTCAAGCCTTGTCACCCAAACGGAATCGCGAATCATTGGTTTAACCACTGATGGGGACTCATAACTGATTTGTGCTGATTTATGTTTCACATCAGAACATAACTCCAATTGCCGGTGATATTAATCGAATTGGTGCACCGCGGGGATAAAAACAAAAAGAACAGGGGGGCAACACATTGTAAAAAAGTTGCTGTAAGCACCAAATCTACTGAAAGTGAGACTCTTGCCCCTAATTGCAATCATTTCAATGGCTGTTCAGTTCCGCTCCCATAGCTGGCATGAGCATCCACAGCTTTCTGCCTCAAATCTTGCCCAGTTCTCGGGTATTTCATCATTATACACATGATAAACCACTAAATTTAAGCCAATAAACCACAGAAAGGCACATTTTTGTTACCACTCAAAAACAAGAGTTTTAAGGTGAACTTCCCATGGACTCTCGGACCTCCAAATTCAAATCTTCCTACAAAAAACACCACCGGTCCCATCCCATATCCCCCAAAAATCCACCATGGTTTCCACCATGGTTTCTGCGTGTCGTCGCCAATCATTTTTGGGGGGAGAAAAAATCATCTCCGAGCCCTCTCCTCTTGCACCATGTTCAAGGCCGCATTTAAGGAGTAGCGGTGGTTCTGTGGCACCGCCGTTAAAAAAGGGCCGGATCACTTATGGGAATTCTGGGGAATTCCCTGGGGAATCAACCAACGTTTTTGATTTTCTTTACATCGAATTTCCGAATGAATAAATAAATAAGATAACATCACCCAGAAATTCATAGAATTTCTATCCATAATACATACCATACTCAATGATGTTCTCCCCGCTACAGTTGCAGTCGCTGCATCCTGAGAGTTACTGGAGCCAGTTCCTCTCGTTTCATATCAAAATTCAACGTGTGTACATATGTTATACTGTATATAATATAATATAATATAATATAATATAATCATATATATATGCTGCTATTGGTGTACGAGGGAAAATCCTAGACAATTTGCAGAGATTTAAAGGACTCGGCTTGGGGGGCCCCCTTGAGATGTTCTCTTCTCGACTTTTGAAAAACCTAGGCATTTATCTCGAAAGTGGCGCTGGCATATTCAAAGATTTAGCATGATTTAGCTAATCAATGCTAGTCACACATTCCAAAAACACTTCCAAGACAACCCTGGACCAGGGTTGGGGCACGCTGAAAACAGCCCAACATCACCAACCGCAATCAGTCGGCAACCCAGCTCGACACCTGCCCTGCGATATACCAAAATCGATCAAAATCCTATGCCCTGTGCCCAAAAAAGTGCCCTGCCTCTGTCTGATCGAATTGCAAACCGATGAAGGCTGCGAGCAAATTCACAATATCATTCATCCTGAGATTATCATCCCCGACATCTAGGTCACTTGTAACAAAAACACATGGAGCTTTCCTGGTTGAAAAGGGGGATTCCGAATAGCCGGTTGGTTTATGGAAAATCCCAACCTAAAATGGATGATGACTGGGGGTACCCCCATGACTTAGGAAACCTCCAAATATTGGAAAATAACATGACACAAGATCTAGATCAGGATCTATAGAGGATTGTACGCAATCAACACTTAAATATTTAATGTGGATAGGGAGTTAATCCTTGTTCTTCACTGCCGGCAGCCGAAAAAACCTCTGATCCAGTTTCTGGCCATCCAAATTAGTTGAATCCCCGTGTTTGATATGGAGAATGGCTAAATAAACATAAATAAAATCTAGAATATAGATGAATCTAGATATTAACATTCATAAATAAATAATGGCTAAATAACATTCATAAATATAGATGAATCTAGAATGTTCATCAATGAACTGTTTAACATGCTTAACCCTCTGTTTTTCTACCGCTTCCTGTACAACAAATCAATCAATATAGATCATCTCATCGGGTACTGTAACCATAGTTGTTCTATCATCTACATACTATTGGTGGTCTCCCCCGGTTACAAGATGAACCATACACACCACATTGACAATAGATATACATGATATACATGCCACAAATATCCACAAATCCATTTCTAATCCTAGTTAACTAGCTACAACCCAACTTAGCCAAGTAGTGGGGTTTCACCACTTTGTTAGTTTGGCCCTCGGCAAACATCACCATTCGTCTTGCTTCGGCATCTGGAGCACCAAGACTCTCTTCCAAGGTATATCTCGTTAAGCCCAGCGCACGAATGGCATCGTACAGTGAGCTTCCAGACACCAGCCTGGGCCATGGTCATCCCATGTTGGGAGTGAAAAAACTTGGGTAAAAAAAAAAACAACATTAATGGGTTAAGAGTCCCATTAGATCAACATCATCATCAACAACATCATCAACATCATCATCAACAACAACATCAACATCATCATCAACAACAACATCAACATCATCAACATCAACATCATCATCATCATCATCATAATCATCATCATAATCATCATCACCATCATCATCATCATCAACATCATCAACATCATCATCAACATCATCATCAACATCATCATCAACAGCAACATCAACATCAACATCATCAACATCATCATCATCATCATAATCATCATCATCACCATCATCATCATCATCAACATCATCATCAACAACAACATCAACATCATCAACATCATCATCATCATCATAATCATCATCATCATCACCATCATCATCATCAACATCATCATCAACAACATCATCATCATCAACATCATCATCATCAACATCATCATCAACAACATCAACATCATCAACATCATCATCATCACCATCATCACCAACATCATCATCATCATCATCATCAACATCATCATCATCAACAACATCACCATCCTCACAGATGCCTGATTTGTGTGTATAAGTGCGAGCTTTTTGGCGTGTACCACCGCTCGGCACGTCTTTGCACGTCTTTTTCGCCACGTGGCACCGGTGGGACCGTGGGACCGTGGGACCCGGAGGAAAGCCATAGTCGTGGGGGATACCCCAAGCGAGCATTGGATGGTTTATTTCATGGGAAATCCTATGAAAATTCATGATTTGGGGGTAACCCGTATGCCAGGGAACCCAGGGAACCCCGGAAAAAATGCGGTGTAAACACCATGTCACATTGAATCAATTCAGTGATACAGGAGACTCTGGAGTTGTATCCATCTCGTATGGCAACTCGAAGGGGTTTCAACCGTATCTTGTCCTTCAAACCAACCCAGCAAGACATGTTTCCCGGACATGAGAAATGATGACGCTATGGAGGCAAGGTGGTGTCTAATAAGTGCTACGTTAAAAAAGGATTAAAACAGGTGGATATATCGAACTAACTCAACGGGGAGGGCACCACCGTGAACATGATTCTGGTATATCCTGGTCAATGATATGAGCCATTGATCTTGCCATAGAATTGCTACTTGTTGTTGGGACCCGCCTGCCACCGTATTGGATACCTTTGGATACCTTTGGTACTGGACGTTCATTGATATCTCCAATGAAAGCATTGGATTCCATCCCCATGTTTGTCAATCCAACCGATTGGGATAACGATGCCCAAATGACCAATCGAAGTGGATGTTCGTTGATCATCGTTGATCGCGATGATATTACTCGTCTGTATCATTTTCTCGGTAGATTCCTGTTGAACAGGCAAAAAGAGAGTTGCGGGGATACCTGGTCTGTATGTATATATATATAGATATGACACATGCTCAAATGATATCAATTCACCAGTCGCTGTTCTGTTACTTGTCATCATCTGTCTAGATTCATCACAGTGATCGAAAACAGGCCCTCAAGACCCTTGATGCGTGCGGTGACATCCGTCAGGTCGTGATTTCATCGATATGACTCATATTGCAATGGTTCAATATGTCAGATGTCATCTGAGTGGAATAAGAACACTTGTAGTGTTGTAGTTTTTTGAGGATCATCATACAATACCAACCTTCATTTATCATGTGTTGTGACTCTTTTGGTGAGGTTGCTATGATTTACCGAAATGTATTCCATTTCGAGGTAGAGTGAACATCCCCCGTTTGGGTTTGCCTGAAAATTGGTACCCCTTTAAGATCCAATGGTTTAAGAAACCATGTTCCAATTCTTCTTCAATGGGCCCATCCCCCTTTTCGGACAAACTGACATACCCAAATCAGTTAAATCCCGAGTCTTTATGGCTAAATCAAAAAGAATGACTGGTGAAATCCCACTGTTTACTGCTTAAACATGCTTAAACCGAAACCTTATGTTTTGTTGGGTTAACTCAGTTAACTCCTCATTATTCATCCATTAAAACCCCGAGTTTTCATGGCTTCAACTGCTGAATTCCCAACAATCACTGCATCCATGGAGTATATCTGGAGCTTCGGACGTTAATGGGAACCTACTCCTGAATCATTTTTCAAAATGTGGGAACCAATCCATGGGGATTTCTAAATGTTCTAAGGATTTCTGATGGATTTCCTATGGATTTCTGGATTTCCTACGGTGGGAACCCAACCGGTCGAGCCACTTGGTGGAGCTCAAGGCGCCCAAGCGCAGCCGCAGCCTGCGGCGGATGGCCTTCTGCTCCTCTGGGCTGAGGCCCTGCATTTCGCTTCGCGCGTGGCCGCGGCACGACCGCGGCACGACCGCGTGACCCACTGGGGGAATGATTATTATCATTTATCACATAATAAGGATATTAATGGGTATCATAATCAATTAATTTTCCCACTAATGATTCTCCGATTAATAACATTAACTATCACATAACTATTATTAATCATCATTAATCACCATTATCCCATACCATTAATATCCTTATTATGTGATAAATGATAATAATAATTAATGCTATGTGATAGTTAAGATAGCCAACTCTTATCACTCTGGTAAACGTTAACATAGCTGTTGAATGGTGATTAATGGTGTTTAATGGTGATTCATGGTGATTAATGATGGTTAATGATGCTGATTAATGGTGATTAATGATGATTTCACTTACCTTCTGGTAAACTAACATAGCGAACTGGAAAATCACCATCTTTAATAGGGAAATCAACTATTTCTATGGGCCATGTTCAGTAGCTATGTTAAAATACCAGAGGGTAATGTTAAGATAATCAAATCATCACACAATAAATAATCACCAGACAGGACTGGGATAGACCCAGTCCAAAAAGTTCTACACAATTTGAATTTTCTATGGCTTTTGTTTCAGTATTTGTGAAACTAGATCTCATGATGAGTTACCCTCACATAGCTATGGAAAATCACTATTGTCTAGCTGGGTAAATCCACTATTTCGACTGGGCCATTTTCAATAGCTATGTTAGTCATTACCAGAGGGTAGTCATGATCATACCAGCAGCCGTGGCTGGGGTTGGATCACTGGAATCTCCAATTGTTCATAGCTAAAAAACAAAAAAATCCCCATTCGAATATCCCAATAGACCATGATAAATTATGATAAAATGTATTATGTATATATATATATGTATCATATTCCAAAATCATAGAACAATATAGAACATTGATAGCATCATTCACAGGGGAATCCCCTATTTCTTGGGCTTGGAAAAAAAGGATCCCTTTATGATTCTGTCCTTCTCTTCTCAAGCACCCTCTTAGCTCGGCCAATCTTCCAATCTTAGACCCCTTGCAACATTTGTGGCAAAAGATTGAAGTACTAAGCCAACTATTCACCACAATTGCAGCTGCTTATATATTACCATGTCGTTCTTGTAGTTGTTTTCCAGATCAAATCCCCATTCAATTGTTGACGAACCAGATTCAGCCGCTTGTCCCAGAGATTCACTCATTTCTTCTGAATACTAAAATCCCCCAATGTCTACAAGGTGGTGCCCCATAGTTAGCTAAGTTGGTTTATAACTCCCATAACTATGGTTTATGGTACTTATAACTATAGTTAGTGGGGTTTATAAACCAACTTATAACTGGGGGGCCCCACATTGTACTGGTTTACCCTCCAGTAAACCCTGCCATTCATCGGGGGAAGATGAATGAAACCACTCAAAAATACATCCCACCTCCAAGCGACTTCGCAAGTAGGGCGCTGGCTGGTTGGGACTTAGACCCGGTGCCACCTCAAAGTCGCATGAGATTTTACCCATCAGAAAGCATGGAAAAAAACCATCAGTTTCCGTGCTGATCATCCACTTACTTTAGCCAGCCAAATGATTTAAATGAGTCCTTGGGATTTTCTGGAGTACACCTCAATCGATCAGCGAAGTAACTGGAATATTCATGGGATTCTTGAAGGCATGTGAATGAAACATGACATGTTTCATGGGATTATCTGGAGGTTTCCTGAGTCATGTGGGTACCCCATTCATCATCATCCATGTTAGATTGGGATTTTCCCACAAAATACACCAGCGATGGGGATCCCCCATGACTAGTCGGAATCCCCCCCCAGGAAAACGTGCACGTGGCGCGCCCGCCGTTGCCACTGGATCCATCGAATTTTGCAGTAGCCACAGCAGAAAATTACCCTCTGGTAGACGTATGAAAATCGATGGAAAATCAGCATTTTTAATGGGAAAACTCCACTATTTCTATGGCCACTATCCTGTGTATGTATATACCCTCTGGTAATGACTAACATAGCTATTGAAAATGTCCCAGTCGAAATAGTGGATTTACCCAGCTAGAAAATTGTTATTTTCCATAGCTATGTGAAAGTTTACCAGAGGGTACCATTCAGCATCATTGACCATTCCATTTCCTGGGTCAACGAATCACTATTTCGAGTATCAAACAAAGTGGTGAATGTCAAAATCAACTGTTGATTCTTAAATTGCTGATTCGCTTACATTGATTCAATGCAAATTAGATTTTGGTAAAAAGAAAAACAACAAATCATTTATGGGAAACAAGAGAATGTGTGGTTAAAAATTGCTGTGTTGTTAAATATCCGAAATAAAAATATGACATTGTGAAAATCCAAGTTTTGTGCTATTAAATATCCCAAGTAAAAACACACATGTCATGGTGAAAATCCAAGCCTTGTGCTGTTAAATGTCAAAAAAAGTAAAACAAATAGTGTCATGGTGAACATTCAAGTTTGGTGCTGTTAAATATCCCAAGTAAAAAGCACGGTGAACATCATGAACATCCAGGTGTTGTGTGCTGTGCTAATGAGAATATCCTAAGTAAAAAAAACAAAGTCGTCATGGTGAGAGTCCAAAGTCGTGTGCTGTGAACTATGTAAAGAAGATTGTCATGGTCAAATTCAGGTTTCGTGCTGGTGATTTTTTGTCCCGAGTAAAAAATACACATGTCATCGTGATGAAAAGTTTATGCTGTTACTGTTAAATATATTTAAATATCCCAAGTAAAGAACAACTATCACGGTGACAATCCAGTCTTTGTGGTGTTAAATATCCCAAGTTTTCAAAAAAACAACTTGGTGACAATCCACGCCTTGTGCTGTTAAATATCCCAAGCAAAGCACAAATGTCATGGTGACAATCCAGTCTTTGTGGTATTAAATATCCCAAGTTTTCAAAAAAATAACTTGGTGACAATCCACGCATTTGTGCTGTTAAATATCCAAAGTAAAGAAAAAATGTCATGGTGACAATCCAGTCTTTGTGGTATTATATAAATATCCCAAGTTTTCAAAAAAAACAACTTGGTGACAATCCACGCCTTGTGCTGTTAAATATCCAAAGTAAAGAAAAAATGTCATGGTGATAATCCAAGCTTTGCGGTGTTAAATATTCCAAGGCAAAAAAAACACAACAACATAGTGACAATCCAAGCTTTGTGGTGTTACTCATGTACCAAAAAAAAGTTACGTAGCACATCTTCCCACGTCGCAGGCCCAGAAACTGGGATACCTTCGCTTCCATCCGAGGCCCCCGAATTTAGAGAATTGCCCGAGTGCCTGGCAGCGGCGGGCAACCAGCAGTCAGGCTGAGTCAGGGTGATCTTTTCTGTGTAAATTAAAGGATTTGAAACCACAATGGGAAATTAAACAGCAATGAATAGATTTAAAAAAATGCTAATTATGTTAATTTATGTTAATTTGAGATGAGCTATCCAATAAAAAGATGTCCGATTTCCGATAATAATGACGATTTCACATATGCCACAACAATGGGATTTCACCTGTCAAAAATGGCAGATTGAATCAGCTTGCGCCAGGGCCACGGCAATGGCAAGCATGCCACAGCACTCTGCAGCTTATGGTAGCCCATGTAGTAATATCTCATCTGTGTATACGTGCTTTGATCATCTTATCCATGGATCAGTAAATCGTACGGTGCCCCGGCTTGTCAATCAAGTTGTTTTACAGGTGCACAGGTGCAATGACTAAGGTTTATCGCAGAGGTTGCAAACCAGCGCAATGGGGGGCACAAAATCGTAGTGTATGTGGCTGTACGGCATGCAGGCCAATGATCATGATCCGGTCAGGGTGTACTCTGTGATATCCAAGTTGTAAGGGCTACAAACCACGTGCTAAGGATACTCCGAGTACCCGGATGTGCACCCCAATTCGACATGGGTTGTGGCAATGGGATGTCTCCGAATGTCTCAATGGCTCCTCAACCACTTACAACATACATGGAAGTTTCCTAATATTGGGGGTACCCCGCAAAAAACAACAAAAATCATGGGTTTCAATAGTAAAATGGACTAATGACTGGTGATTTAGGGTTATCCCCCATTAAAAAAGAACCCGAAAGAGTCATCTACAGCCACCGGTCAAGCCACCCTGAGGCGGTCGGATCTGATTGCACCGTAAATCTCAGACCCTCTTCCTCCTGGACTTCATCGGCAGCGACCGCAGAGAGATTGTGCGCGAAAAAACTGGATGGAAACAGATCTAAAATCGATGACTGGTCGATGAGTCTCTCGCATTGCGCTTTTATAAGTCAGGAATATTGTGAATACTTACACATCTCACATCATCTCACTAGTATATGTATAAAAAAAGGGAATAGTCATTGAAGCCACCGGCGAGTTGTATAATCACACTCTGTTCTTCCTTATTCTCATGGATGGGGTATATAGAAGGTATAAGAAGAGGGTCTCGTAGGTGCTTTACTTGGCTTTTGCCAACTTCTAGCCTTCCGAACTCCTTGCATGGTTCATTTCCCAAATGCTCCATTCATGACACAATGTGGCAAATAAACATTGTAATATGTATATATATATACATATATATATATGATAACGAATATATGATCATATAATGTGTATATGTAAATATGTATATATATATATATACACTATATGTAAATATGTATGAATAGAGGTATGAATTCCAATGAGCCAAGTCTAAGTACTTAATTCTGCATCCCGTTGTGAGTCCCGGTCACAGCGCCCACACCTTGCGGCCTTTGAATGTCACCTTGCAGCGCGGGAACCCCGGGCGTCAAGACGTCAACCCTGAAAGGTAGGGCTCGTCCACATCCAAAATTCAAATCTTACCAGTCCTGAGATAAGTCTAATAATTATGTCTAATTGATTGATCCGAATTCTTGGGTGCAGAAAAAAAACTCGAATGGCCATGGTTCAGTATACTGACCATGATCATTCTGCAAATGCTAAGTGCCAAATAGGATTAATTAGCGTTAGTGTAGGTTCAGGAAAAAGAAAAAACTCTTCAAGTTACTGGGTTTCCGCAAAAATGTTGTACTCCGACAATCCGACAATCCAATGGCTTACCGTTCTGGACAAACCCATCTAACATATTTGATGGTCAAGGGAACCCACGGCCTGCCGTTGAAAATGAGATGTTTGAAAAGTGATTGGTATGGATTTGCATTTCCGCCACTGAATGCAGTGGCCAACAAGGGTGGATATAATATAATTATATATTTCTTCCTGACAACCTGAAGTTTCAAACAATCCCTTAAAAGGATCAAAACGTTCCATTTCCAATCGAATACTGTAGATCATCTTCTCCAGCAGTTGTTGATGGCGCTCTCCATTTCTTCATGAAATATGTTTTGGGCTTATCAACCCATCAATCTTTGTGAATTGAATACACTAGGAGTTTAATTCAATAAACCATCAACATATGGTTGGGTTATGGCATTGCTTTACTAACATTACCCACCAATACTTCAATGGATTGGCTTAAGGGAAATTTACAGGAACACCCCATGATCTTCATGGGAAAATCGATGGTTTCCGGTGTAGATTTTCCCTCACATCAATCCATTGAATTAATGAAAAACATCTATCGTTGGAGGATACCTTTGGGTGGATGTGCCTCCCAGGAATAGGTGGCTAAACTCATCGCATTTTACTCCAGGTATGTATGGAATATCACAACTGTATACATACACATACACGTATGTATGTATGTATGTATGTATGTATGTATGTATGTATGTATGTATATATATGTATATATATGTATATATATATATACACGTATAATATTTATATATATATATATACACGTATAATATATATATATATATATACGTATAATATATATATATATATATGTGCCATTGTCAAAATATGGTATACTCCAAAGTATGGACATTCCATCATGATTGGGAACCCCTACCTTGGTCATTATAGTTCCTTATTGATCCTATTGCTTATGATCACCTCCAAATTATGGGTATATCATCCAACGATTGACCATGACATGTATTTTGGTTGTTAAATATTATGACTACAATGTGGTGCCCCCCAGTTATAAGTTGGTTTATAAACCTCATGAATACTATAGTTATATCTACCATAAACCATAGTTATTGGACTTACTAACCAACTTAGCTAACGAACTGGGGCACCACTTTGTAACTAACCACTTTCTAAAAGCTGGTGCCCCAGTGAGTTACGTAAGTCGGTGTATCTATTTAATAACTACACATGGGGTTTTAAACCAACTGAGCTTACTAAACTGGAGCATCACCTTGCAACACAGAGTAAATTAATGTAAACAAAAAATAACACAGAGAGTCTATTGAATCTATTGAAGATCATGTGGGTATGGATCAAGACCGATAAAAATACCATTTTTAGGGGAATGAACATCCATTTACCATCATTTACCAGCTATTTTGATGTGAACTACAGGGGTACTATTGGTTTTGACACACTGCCATATATATAATATATAATATATAATATATAATATATAATATATGATATATAATATAATATATATATATATACACACATACATTTGGTAACCAGTTCATAAACCATTGCTTTTCCGTATGCTACCCCTGGCCCCGCGGGGCCCCGGGATGCCACGGCACGGCCGTGGAACCGGCGTCGGTACTCGCTTCCTTCGCTTCCTTCGCTTCCTTCGCTTCCTGACGCGGCGACTCGATGTTCGGCTTGTAGAGGTCAGCACCTGGTCGCGAAAAACGATGCAGCAATAAGACATGGGGAATTCATCCATATATATATACTATAGATATATATATATATATATATATCTATCTATCTATATATCTAGAAACTCTTTCAGCGAAATTTTTGCAGGCAAAATTGTTGAATTTACGCCGGCAACTTGTAAAACGCCGGAATTCTGCAAAAACGCCGGAGAATTCAAAAAATGCCGGATCTGCAGATGTATGTTGAAGCAACAAAATGCAGAAAATATACCCACTTACAATTACGCCGGCATTACGGGCAATTATGCCGGAATCACTACTTCAAAAAATCTGCAAACCAGAATTGCAAGCGCGGGCTTAAAAACGCCGCGAAGCATCAGCAGGCGCCTTTTACCAGGCAAAGTCGCCTTTTTCCTAAAAGGCAAAAATAAAAGGGCATTTGGAGTCTCTAATAATTATATATATATGCATACATACATACCAACTGGTAAACTAACATAGCTATATGGAAAATGGACAATTTTTTGGTGATTTAACTATTCCAATAGTGATTTTCCATAGCAATGGCAGTTTACCGAAGGGTATTCATCATACAAAGTGAGAAGATGTGGGAAGCATCACATTTCAGCAAACACTTTGCCCATTGTACCATGTTCTATCAACCCCATCTCAATGATGTGCCATTGACGAAGGCAAACACGTAAGTCTGTAACTCATCCTGGCCACAGAAACTTGAAAGTTTGTTTGCCCATCTGCTCCATGTAGATCCATGTATAGGCTGTATAAAACTAGGGGATCTTTGGGGTACATTTCGATACATCACCTGCGGAGCAGCAGGTCCCGGGTATTCAGAAATACAGGTCCTGACTCTCCAAACTTCAATTTGGCAAAGGACCCAGTTCTAAGTTGATTTTCAACAATATATTAACTAGTTAACTAGTTTGATACATTAAAAATCAACCCAACATTCATTGCAGTTATAAAACAATTTAACTAACAAAGTGTGCCTCAATTTATCCATAAAAATTCATGGACCCATCCACCCCTTGTGGCTAGATTTTACCAGTACCTTTTCTATGGGTTGGAGCAATCCGGCACTTAGACTCCACTCTATATAGACCTTGAATTTAGCCATACAAAAGTATATAACCAATATTCATATTACATATTCCCTATTACATCCCAGGTTATATCTCCCCATTCTACCCTCATTTCTATCAGAAACTTATCAGTCAAAGCATGGCAAAAACCCTGATGATTGATGTGATCCAACCATCTCCACATGATGTTCCCCATGGTTTCAAGCCACCCAGGCCGCCCAGCGGCCGTGGCCTCGGCCGCCCCGTGGAAGAGTTTTCAGTGAGTGTGAGTCTCGAGCAGAAACGATAGCACCTGCACCTGGGCTCTGAAAATGGATGGTCTTTTTTTTCGGGAGAAACCTGTAGAAAAACCATCAGGGGTTAGCGGGGGTACCACAAAATGTAGGGCCTTCCTATGGTTTCCCTGTTATTTTTCCTGTAAATTTTCGCTTTCACCAATTCCGGGATGGTTCAACCATTATTGTCAGGAAAAAGACCATGAACCATTCGGAAAGCGTCACCACATCAAACACGCCTACAAGAGCAGTTCAAGGTTGTCCGCTGTCGATGTCAAGACATTCCAGAATACCAAGACACGGGGAAGTTTTGAAGTCAGCTGAAGGGATTAAAGATGATGAAAGTCAGATTTGCTTGAATGTTCCAAGTATTTCCGAATCATAGGGTCAGCCCAGCCATCTTGCAGTGTCAGAATATTGGAAAATCCTGAGATTGATGGTGATCCCCACAATGGATTATCATAGTCCCCTATGTGAATATATGGGGAAGTAGAAACCCTATACTATACTCATTAACCAACTGTGGAAGACAACAGTTGGGTCCGGTTCCAGCTGGTTTATCACCGGCGAAAGATTACATGGATTGACCTGAAGGGGTCAAATGGTGGAAGTCCCATGGTGAAATGGATTGAAATGGTGAAAATCAACACGCTTTTTGGTATCACTAAAACCCACATTGCTTGCAATTCCCATTTCTGTTCATGTTCTTATTGCCAAATCAAAAATTCAGCTTGGTGGTTGACCTACCCCTCTGAAAAATGATGGAGTGAGTTCGTCAGTTGGGATGATTATTCCATTCTCAACTGTTTCTGGAAAGTCATAATCCATTGATGTTCCAGTCACCACCAACCAGATTGGTCCGTTTCACCAAACTCCATTCAATCACGGATCAACCGGATCAGTCCAGAATTCCATCGCCAGAAAAAACCCATTGGTCTAAAGCATCCCAACGTCTGACGTGTACCCCTATATCCATTGGCTGATCGTCATAGTTTCTGTGAAAATAACTGACCAGTACGGGGGTTATACACAACACAACACAAGAGCAATCACTGCCGATTTTCTCCGGACCCATGCATGTGCGGCGCGAATGCGCCTTAAGCGACGTCCTAAACCCGAAGAAACTGAGACGGCTAGCGGAAGGAAAATCAGCCTTCAAGACAGGAAGGACAGTCTTAACCATAAACCTTATGACAGCAATTTCGCAAACAACGATCGAGAAAGGTCAAATCTCCCCAATAGCACAATGGCAACACATTAAAGATCTAGAAATCCATCCCAGCCATCATTCGCTGAAAAATACCTCCCACTCACACTAGTTCCAGAATATGCGACTTCAAAAACTTCTTACATACAGCGGCAAAAACCACCGTGGCTCCAGGGGCAAGGATTGGGATACCTGACAAAGATTCCCAATACCATGCTACATCGCTGTGTGAGATGTGAATGGTGTACCACGCCTGAAATAGTTCTAAACTCCGAGTCCAGTAATGGGGAATAGGAAAAAAAGAAACCGGTTTCTAGACATGAACAAAATAGCCACACCAAAACCCAAATAACCAACATCCCACACAGATAGTGATGTTTCAGAACTGAAGCTCTTTCAACAATGCTGCTGCCATCTTAATCTTTGCAGCGATTCGTGTGGGTGGTGCCTTCTGGCCATATCTGGTCAAAAAACCGTCCAACCGTTTGCCCGCTGGCTTTACAGCTTGCAGCTGCGACTCGACTGCCCCTACCGTCAAAGGTTTGTTACCAAAATTGACAATATGCCCAAGTTCCGCTTCTAACAATTTCAAATAAGCAACAGGGATCTTATCAGACTGAGCAGGCTGGGGTTTTCCCTTACCTTTAGGCTGAACTTGGGTCTTACATTCCTGCTGGGGTAATGGGGGAATTTCAAGACCGCTGCTTTGGGCAGGTTGGATCTCTGGCGCCGCAGCTGGAGCCGGAGGGGAGACTACAGGTGCTGGCTGTTGCTGAGCACTAATCTTTTGACGTTCTCTCTCCTCCAGGCATAAAGCTAAGGCTTGCGCTTGCAAATGTCTCTCCTGCCAAGCTGCCGCTTCTTGTTTTTGTCGCTTGTATTCTTCATATCCAGGTGAGTTTTTGGGCGGCTTCTCAGCAGATCTCCGTCGATGACGGTCAGGGGTCCTAGAGTCACTATAGAACGTCGGCGACGTCGACGCCGTGAGTGAGACGATCCCCGGCGATCATGGCCATGGTCATAGTAATCATACTCATAAGAGGAACGGTGGGAATCTTTGTGGGAACGACCATCATATCTCCTACCTTGGCCTTTGGCCTCACGTTGACCTTTTCCTGCTTCTGCTATCCACGTGCCAGCAAACAGGCAAAGGAAAAACATGATCTTCATGGCAGGCTTCATGCGATCTGGGCACGGCCGGTATGGGAGTGAGAAACACAAAATCTCCTTTCTTGGCAAGCCAAAAATTGCTAGGCCCTCACGCGACTGTGCTTGGAAAGCCGTTCAAACACTAGAGAGAAGCATTCCAGGCCCCAAGTGAAGCAACCTATAAATCCACATCCCATAAAGGTATGAACGCATTAAATATATAAATAACCCTTCTCCACCAAAACATATACAAAGATAAAAACAAAAACAAGAGCATAAACAAATATTTATATATCTATTTTACTAGATTGCACCGAAAATTCACTGCTCAAGGATGAAACTGCTTAACTCCCTTGAGATTTAGGGCCATGCTTGCAAACATTTCTAATGGCTTTGCGGAGCTTTAGGAAAATTGGATGGGCTACAGGCAGAGAATGGACTAGAGCCCTCAACAAGTGAAGCGGATACCCTTCCAAAATCAATTCTTGCAATTCTTCTGCGAGGAGTTGCAGCTGCACACCACAAGGCAACTCTAATTCTCGGAGCCTTGCTAAGCGGCCCAGCATGAGACATCTTAGCAATCCAAATGAACATTGCAACCGGCCTAAGAATGGTACGAACCGCTCCTTGGTTTTGCCTCCTGCACCTTGGATCCAGAGTCGGTTAGGGTTCTTAGCTGTCCAAGTCACTGCTCCACTCGCTGGGTTGATGGTGAAAACCAAATCTGTCCAAGTCTGCTGAATCTCTTCGGGGTTTGTTGTAAATTTGACAGAGTAAATGTTCGCCAGCCAAGCTTGAAGACAGTGGTGGCACACCGCTTTGGAAACAAGGAGGAGGTCATCAACGTATCTCAATCCAAAGAGGAGTTCCTCTACTTCCCAGTCTTGAGGGGCACCGCAAATTCGCATCCAGCCAGATTCCAAAAAATTGTCCTCTTCATGGCTTAACAGGCACACAGCTGCGATCATACTCAACAATCCCCCAATAACTAAACCCTTAGCTCGAACAACAAGGTTCCCTACACTTGCAAAATTCAACATACAGCTACCTTGCAACATGCGTCGAAGTTGGTATACTGTAAGCACCACCAAGCCCCGGGACCGGGTATGCTCCGAACCGCCAGGCCAGCCCCGAATGGGCCGCTGTCGAGACACTGTGATGGATACAACACCATATTTGTGCCGTAACTGTTCAACCTTAGCATCAAAAGCTTGCAGCACCAACTTGCTATCCACCTGCTCATACATTTGCGCTGCATCTGCCACCAGTAATGTTGTTGCGTGCTTGGGGCCCGTACAGCAAATGCACATCTGCGGGCAGGGCGAGCTGCGTAGTCCCGCCATCTTCTGCTGAAAGATTGGAACCACCTGTTTTAGCTTCCATACTGAGAACCCGGGACCAGTGACGTGGATCAGAACTTGTATGGCACGCCCTCCGAGTCGCCATGCCCTTCGCCACGGAGCTCGGAAAAAGGATACCACTTTGCGGAGGCAACTATGGTTCTTTTTCTTGCAAGTATGACCACCCGAAGCTGCAAAACACTTAGCTTTCACAAAAGGGTACATATATGGTGCAAATGACCCTTGGGGCAAAGGGCCCCGTCGTAGTGCTGCAGGCAAAGCAAACAGAGAAACGCCATGCACCAAAATGCTAAGCTGTTCCAAAGACATGGAAGTGGGCTCCCATTGTGAATCCAGAAGGACTAAGCAAACCAATGTTGTCGCTAAACAAGCAAAAGGCATGGTCCAAGTGGACTTTTTGTCCTTGTCATCTTGCAACAATACTTCATCCTGTTTGGAGACTAGGGCGGCGATATAGCGAGCTTCTTCTTCTGGCACTACGTCAGGAGCACTGTTCGCAGGCTTTTCCCATGCTTTGGTGCAGACGCGGCTCACGCGTCTGGGAAATCTGTTGGTGAGCAACCACGCTTTCAATTCTCTGTTTTGCCCGGATTTGTTGGTTAAGGCCACTTGCCTGTCAGGAATTGCCCAATTGCCAGGGATCTTTTTGACTTCAGCACCTTGGCGCCAATGTTCCCATTCAAAGCACCCTTGTTTCCAAATCTCTCCAATGGAAATTTTCTTCGACCATTGCACCGCATTGCGTTGATCACTGAGGCGAGGAAGCGCGCCAGCTGTAAAATGTACCCTTTCTATAATCCACCGGTACAAGAATGCCCCATGCAACTTGGCAGCAGACCTCGCAGCTAGTCGGACAATTGTAGCTAGTCGCTTCCGATCACTGGCATCAAAGCATCGGAACCAATGGTGGCGCCGAGAGGGCAAATTGAACCTCGCCAAAAGCCAATCAACACGCCGGAAGCCATTGCTTTGTCGGACATATCCGCGCACCAGTTCTACTAAGCGGGCAAGCCTGAGCACCGCTACAGCAGGCTGCCTCCGTTTGAGGAGCAAATGCAAGTCAAGCGTGGCATGTCGAGAGCAAATCCAAAGGGCTAGAAGTCCCCCCTGACGATCAGAATAGATAGAAAGCGGACCCTGCTGGCCAGACTTGGAGAATAAGTGCTGTTGCTGTCGTCTATAAGCCACTGTGAATGTCTGAGCTGCCCAGGCTGGCGCAAGATTTCCAAAAGGTCTGATCTGCTTGTGTTTCAAAATTGACCACACTTGGTTCATACACACGGACGAGTTCCAAAAAGGCTGGGCACCCCGTTTGCGGAAACGCGGAGGAGGACGTCTACGTTTTCGTGACGGCCGGGCATCTCGATGATTTGATTTGCATTGTCCATGGTTGCCAGGAGGTCGTAAAGTGCGGATAGCCACAGTCTCGCTCGCCTTGATCCAGTCATGCGGCCCTTTTTTCAATACAAGGAAACACACTTCTCCAATCGGCTGTTGACGCAAGAGAATTGCTCGGACAGACCGCGCTGCTTGGGAATGCACCCGCAGAATGGAAGTGAGATGCTCCATAATTCTGCATACAATTCCAAGTTTGCCGTTCTGTCTCCGAAGGAGTGCTTTCCCAATGTACCAAGAATGTTGATTGAACACCGTATAAACACAAGCTTCATCATTCACCCCAGTTGTCTCCAAACACTGTCGTAAAAGCGTGACGGTTGCAAAAACTACATGATGGTCTAGGCTAGGTTGTAAAAGCAACTGGCGCAAGGGACCTGTCATCACGTGAAAAATTCGCCTGGCCCAAGTCTTGCCACAGTTTAGCCTTGTCTGCAACAAGCCTTGCATAGTCATCACTGAAGCAAGCACAAGTGTCAACCCAGTGTTGTGCCTATGCGTCTTCATATCTGGCGGAAACAAAACCTCTATCAGCCATGATTGAACCTTTTGGAGGACCCGAATCACCTGCTGTAAGCGGAGAGGGTTGAGCAAAGACAAGCCTACCACATCCCACATGTCATCAAGCAATATCTGTTCAGAGCCCATGTCTCGTACTGGACGATTCGCTAAAGCACACCAGAGCACAACTAGTTGTTGTAGTATGTCTTTTCCAAAGCGCATATCTGGAATATCGTATCTTGAAAATATGGAAAGCAGGATTTCGCACAACTATAGAGAAAAAGAAATCAAGAAGTCACCAGTCTAAGAGAAATCAAGAAATTGGCTGTGTCGAATATCGTCAAGGGCCGTGAATGTCGCCAAGCGCGTAGCGTCAGGTTCACCCTCTCCTTGCCGTGGTGTCGTTCACAAGAGCAATCACTGCCGATTTTCTCCGGACCCATGCATGTGCGGCGCGAATGCGCCTTAAGCGACGTCCTAAACCCGAAGAAACTGAGACGGCTAGCGGAAGGAAAATCAGCCTTCAAGACAGGAAGGACAGTCTTAACCATAAACCTTATGACAGCAATTTCGCAAACAACGATCGAGAAAGGTCAAATCTCCCCAATAGCACAATGGCAACACATTAAAGATCTAGAAATCCATCCCAGCCATCATTCGCTGAAAAATACCTCCCACTCACACTAGTTCCAGAATATGCGACTTCAAAAACTTCTTACATACAGCGGCAAAAACCACCGTGGCTCCAGGGGCAAGGATTGGGATACCTGACAAAGATTCCCAATACCATGCTACATCGCTGTGTGAGATGTGAATGGTGTACCACGCCTGAAATAGTTCTAAACTCCGAGTCCAGTAATGGGAATAGGAAAAAAAGAAACCGGTTTCCAGACATGAACAAAATAGCCACACCAAAACCCAAATAACCAACATCCCACACAGATAGTGATGTTTCAGAACTGAAGCTCTTTCAACAATGCTGCTGCCATCTTAATCTTTGCAGCGATTCGTGTGGGTGGTGCCTTCTGGCCATATCTGGTCAAAAAACCCACATGTATTTGCCAAACATTCCGCCGACAAAAACATCTAAAAACATCTAAAAAGCTTCTTGCTTGAAGCGAAAACCAGTGCCATTTCCCAAAATATATAACCGCCTCAAAAGAATATTTAATGTTACTGTAGTAAAGCAATAGTAATCCATCCCCAAATTTACCATGGCTGGTATAAACCATGAAAAAAAAGGGGCACCATTGCGGCCACGTCGCTGCTCCCGGTCTTGCTCCCGGCGACACCACGCCCGCCATAGCCATGGCCGTTGCTATGGCTACTGCCTCCGCTGGTGGAGCGAGGCCGTGAAGTAGGTCCTGAGCCGCGGCATCCTTGATTTTAATGGGTTAAATATCTATGGTTAATGATGGTTAATGATTGTTAATGATGGTTAATTTCATGATCAACATTATATACACAATAATGATGGGGGTTTCCATAACTGGGGGTACCCCAATAGCTGGATGGTTTATTTCATGGGAAATCCCAATCTAAAATGGATGATGACTGGGGGGTACCCCAATTTTACGAAACCCCCACATAATTCATCTATAACATTGGTGTTTTTGGGGGGGGTCAAAAATTGCGGAGGATTTAGACCCATATCAAACCAAAGGTTAATCATCCAAAAGAATCACAATTTTTGACCCCCCAGCTGTTAGATAATATATCTACCAAAGGTTTAGACCCATATAAGAATCACAGAATCAAACCAAAGGTTAATCATCCAAAACCGGGGTCACAGCTGATATAGATCGATACACTGGTAGATATGATGCCACAGCGGTACAGACGTAAACATATGTCATATGTAGAAAAACATGTGCATGAACATGTGCATAAAATAAACAATAAACATGTGTATATTTTTAAACATGCATATCACATATATGTATGTCACAACTATAAACGTATATATTATAGACATATATACACATATTCATAGACATTTGCATATCTATAATATATTATATAATGAATAACACCACTCCATGCTCCCCCAAAAGCCTGGCTGCCGTGCCTCTGTCACGGCTTCCTTCATTTTTCTCGAAGGCATTCTGCAGGAGCTGCCGCCGAAAGTTGACCAACGAGTCATCCAGGAGTTGTGTAAAGGAGTCTCGATCCTTGGTCTTCGCAATGGTGTATTTCATCCAGTTGAAAATTTCAAGAAGTTATGATGCAATTTTTAGGAGTTGCAATGTGTCTCGATCCGAAATCTTCGCAATGGTGGATTTTAATGATTTTTTGGGGCAAATCTAGAGGAACTTTAAAAAAAAAATCAGCGATTTTCCGAACGTGGCAATCATTGACCTTTTTCACGGCTTGGAACAACCCGGTTGTTCCAAAGTTGTCTTCATGGATATCATTGGGGATTTCATGAAAATTTTATGGGGACAACCACAGATTTTCATGGGACAATCAATTGGCTGGTTTACCAAGCATAATGGGAATATACTTAGTATATAACAACGAGCAAGTAGGAGAAAGAAAATGGTGATATAATTAGTGGGATAACAACAATTAATGGATAATGATGGACTATGACCATCAACCAGCAATATGGTTTAATAGTTTGATAATGTTAAATGGGGACATAAGGAATATTCTATAGGAATGTCTAAAAATGGGTATGCCTCCAAATGGCTTGTTCAATGAAAAATGATAATTTTAAAGTAACCTGGTTTCAGACAAACCCATATCTATGGCTATCCCAATATTTGTTTTTTTTTGGGAAAAATACATGAAGTCCCCTGTCTTAGCTGGTAAGTGCAGCTTCACCGCAAAAATATATAGTGTATATCTACAGTATCTATTTAATCTATTTGGTGGTTTCAACCCACCTGAAAAATATTAGTCAGATTGGATCATCATCCCAACTATTGGGGAAAAAAAATGTTCCAAACCACCAACCATTTTGATCCATCCCAATTCGGAAAGTTTACACCAAAATATGAGGACCGGAACAGTTCGAGTTCGAATGTTTGCCTACGGTACAGCCGCTACAGCCAGGGGGATATGAAAAACAAAAGAAGGATTCTACCAATTACAGCCGGGATAGATATGTATCAAAATTGGATACACTCAAAATGGGATGCATCATGGATGGTTGGCAGTTTGCTTTGGATTGTTTACCGTCACTGCGAGATGGAACACATAGGAGGATTTACAGTATACATAGTAACCCCCAAACAGATGGAAAAGTCTCTCATCACAGTTTTAGGAGTTTGCCTTTTTACAGTATCATCAATATCTCTGTGGGAGTTCATACATATACAATGGAACTTAACAACGGGGAAAGTAAACCTCATCTGGATCATCTTCCAACCCCCAAAGCTGATGGGCCAGGTGAAGTCATGTCGCTGAATGTCCAAACGTTTGGGAATAAAAACCTAATCAGAAGTGTGTTCTAGGAACATCTAGTGACCAAGAAGAGTAGAGAAAGGTCAAATCATGTCAGTGTATATATATATATACAGTATATATATACTATATGAGATGGTAGTGGAAATATCAGGGCTGAATTTACCATCAAACATGTGACAAAAAAAGACAGATACATGTCCATCTTTTGGGGAGTTACTATTTCAGCAAACCAGCAAAACACGATAGTGAAATACCAGGGGCCCATGGCCTATACAAAAATCCAACAGAAACACACAAAACATGTTGGATAATGTTGGATGATATATGTGGCCAACGAATATAGTCTTTAACATGATCCAAAAAATGATCAACTATGAATCCAACAAAACGCCGTCATCAGCCACTTCAGGGATACTTGAACTCACTCAGCATCATCTCAGAACAAGTGAGCCAATGCGACTTTAGACATAGATCCATAAAATAGTATTAACATGTATTAATCTTTATCGGAAAACGATCGGAAAACGATCGGAAAACCTGGGGGTACCCAAGTTTATCCAGTGCTGAAACCACCGCCATATGTGACTGACCCCCGATTCAATGGCCTGAATCATAGACAAAAGCTGACGACCGGAAGGTGTTGATCCCCATCTTGGGCCACATATGGCCACAATTGGCATTGACTTCATCCCACATGGACCAGCCATTGCCGTGACAAAAAGCACTAAGCATTGGCTTTGAAGGAACATTTTTGGGGATACTGGCTGCGACAATGACTAGCAACACTTGGAGGCGTAGGCCAGTTACAAACCAGACAGAGGCCCACCCTGGCCCGATTTCTGCCATGCATCCATGCTTGGCACAAAGGCTCAGCCCGGCTGAGCCGAGACTTTCAGAAAGTGGCGTTTTTTGAAAATGGCGACAGTGCGGTACCCCCAAACTGGGTTCAAAAAACATAGGCAAACGATTGGGTTTATGATGACAACAGTGGTATTACCCTCTGGTAAACTAACATAGCTATGGAAAATCACCATTTTCAGTGGGTAAATCAACTATAAATGGCAATTTTCAATAGCTATGTTAAATTACCAGAGGGTAGGGACAATGTTGATCATCATGATATGGTAATCATGATTGGTTGATATTGGTCCACATATTCACGTCCAGAACAAAGCAGTGTGACAACAACCCAACTGTGGTCCAATCAGTATTACAGTAAGAATGCAAAAAAAACCTTTATATATAATATATATATATATCAAATACCACGAAATGAAACCCTGGTTTAGTATTAGATCTATGTGTTCATTTTTGGGTTCGATTGAGTGGGTAATATGTAATATAAAAATAGGGGATGGTATTAAATATCCATTGCCCACATATGGTCACGACCAAAATGATTCTCACTGAAAAGCGCCAAGTTCACCTTCTCATTGCTTCAGGGCCTAGATTACCAGTTCATGGAATACATTGATTCCCATTAGTCCCCTCCTAACATAAAATACCTAGCAGGAAACCCTGGTGGAATGTATTCCATTTTAATCATGTTCTCCCACATCACATCGTGGAGGAAAAGTTTATTTTTGTGACATCAAACAAGACCATTGACCAACTCCTTTGAATCATTGAAGGTTTGACCCCAAACCCTTTTTCACTTACCAAAACTGGGTCCAAAAATGGGTGACCATACACCAAGACACGTGAGGTCAACATTCTTGAAAATTCAATGCCCCCTGTCGCCTAAACTCCCTAGAGGCACAAGTGCCAAAGGATTCATCAAGTTCCTCTCCTTGCAATTTAGCTGCAACCATTAAACAAAACTCACAATTTGAAACCGGTTCATCGTTGAAATCAAAAATTCGCAGCTCCCCTTGAGACAGTCATTTTGCCTGTAACTGGCGGGAGCAATCTTGCAACATTGCAGCTCATTGACATGGTGATTTTGCCATCAAGGTTGCCGATACTTGCTCTGTCCCACCAAGCTATGGCAATTTGAAGAAATACAAAATCAGGATAAACCAACGGATTTAGGGTTTGCATCATTGCACCAACCCCATGGCTGTGAAGATGTAGTGCCAATATGTGCCAATTTAAAGAAAGTTTTGCACCTGCAGCTGGCTGTTCTGGAATCTTCATGGGCTCCATTAGTTCTATGGCCCCTGCACCAATCGGGGAGCCCACAGCCTGAAGGAGTCATCAACAGCAGACCTTAGTTTTCACATGGTCATCGATGTGCCCTCAGATTTTGGTCGGATATGTCATTCAGCATCCAAAGATCTATGGTCAGTGGTCAATAACTCGGGTTAGGATGTTTGTCTTCAAAGGTCCCAAGGTATAGACAGAAAAAACAATCAACTAATAGATGACCATGCCCCATTTAGCTCGTTCATTGACCACTTGAAAATGATGATGTTCCATAGCAATCTTGCACAAATTACCGAAGAGTATCTTCTGGTAAGCAGCCACATGGCGGGAATCGGGTTCCCATTTATAGATGACAGGGGGATTTCCCATATATCAGGATATATCAGGATGCCAAAGACCAGCCCTAGATCAGTAGGGTCTAGATCAGGATGGTTTTTTTTTATTGTCCCATGGTTTTCCTATGAAATATTTCCGTCCTGTGTTCATGAAGATTTTTTGCGTGTCCTGGATCCTCATCCGACTTTGTGGATCCTGATCCCAGACAGGGATTCCTCGCATGTGACCAACGCCTGGATGCATTGATCAGAAACCATCAGAAATACCATGGAGATATGTGATTAATATGGTACAATCTATTTGTACAACATGAACTAACCAACACAAATGGCTGGTTGGTGGTTGAAAAACCCCTCTATCTTTGATCACTCAAAACAGGTCAAACAGGTCAAATCTCCGCGCTGCATCCATGCGAAAACACCATCTCGATAGGTCAATATGCCCTATTTGTTTGTCGGTTAGACCATGAATGACCAGGACTTAGTTGGTTGGTATATACGATATATAATGTACTCACCAGTTAACCTTCTTAATTAATGGGTTAAACATGGTTAAACCAGATTAACCCGTTTGAGCCATCAATATAGTTAAGTCAACGTTCAGGCTTAAGATTAAACGTCACAAATTGTTTAATCATGTTCAACCACCAAGTTATTTGAACTATCCTGGCGTATTTAAACCTTCGTTTTCTTGGACCAATCAATGGTCTCTCAACCTGTCTAGGGCCGCTAGGAGACCACAGCTGGACTGCTGAATCATCTCAGCAAAAGTAGGACCATCCTCTTGTCCTCGTGGATCTGCGCGAGAGCCGGGTGGATCTGTGCGAGTTGCAACCTCTATGTGGACTAGGATGTTTTATGTGTGTTATGTATTCCGTGTACTTTTGAATACTGAAAAAACGTATAGTGTCTATAAATAAATACAATATATATGTATATATATATGCTTACAATAAATAACAAATTATAGCTGCTTGAACACAGGTATAACGGTAAAACAACCGTGATGTCATTCCCATAAATTGGGATACAACCCCTGTAGCTATGGCTATACCCACTCATGAAGACTCATGAAGTGATTCGCTCCCAGAGGACAACCACCCCACCAAAAGTCCTCCTGGAAAAAAAACGAATTCACCAACCCGCATTGATGCCAGTTGGAGATTACTAATACTATAACCCTCAGTGACATCGCACTGAGGTCGCTATAACTTTTGCAGATTTGAATGGTACCACAGGATTTCTCACTAGCGGGCTAGGACTGATCATTTGAAGAGTGCCCATTTTGTGGCTGGGACAAAGGACAAAACCGAGCCAAGAATTGGTGCCCCCATGGACGTTTTCCTTGAAACTCACATGTGTTGCGGTCCTGGCATCTTGCCAAAAGCATTCCTTGACGCAACCGTTGAAGAACAATTGTCAAGTTCTCACGTTGCCAAACGGGGTAGACACACGCATGCAGAACCCATAAATATGAGAGACCTTGAGATACATCATAAAGATTCATAACGCGCGTGTATGTATTATAGTATGTATAATTAAATATATAGTCAGACATTTTAATATATATATAATTAATTATATTATAGTTATATGTATTTCTGTACGTATGAACCTTCAAATCCAACATATTATATACTTTTAAAACATGTTTTTGTTTTTTTCAGTCCTACACGTCTCAAATCAAATGGTTTAAAGTCTGTCTCAAAGTGTCCCCATTTTATTCATCAGAATTCCCAGGCACTATCATGTTGGTGGTATACCTACCCCTCTGAAAAATGTGAGTCAGTTGGGGTTATGACCTTCCCAATATATGGAAAGTCATAAAGTTCCATGGTTCCAGTCACCACCAAGCGCATCATACATCTGCATTGGGATCTGCATGGGATTTTGAGGGTACAGCATCCCCCATGTTGGGCCCAAAATGAATGGCCATGCCAGGGCGTCGTTGGCACGGTCAAGGGGTCGTCCATGGCATTGATGATGAGACATGGTGTGCGAACTTGAGGGGCATAGAGCACCTCGTTTTGTTTTGGTCAGTGTTTTGGTTCATGGAGAGTATTGTTTTGAGGGGTTAATTAACCTAAATTGTGTTTTGGTCAATGTTTTGTTTTGGCCAGCCACAAATGAATGAAGCGCGCCCGGGGGTGCAGTTTGAAGTGAGTTGATTTCACCATGATGTTATATGATGAAAAATATGGGCCCAACTGCACCAAGGAATTTGGGGTAGCTACCCTCATTACTCATGGAGCGTACCCCTCTTGTAGGCTTGAAGCGTTCAAACGAACAACATCATATGTCCAGTCTTTGGATGCTCTCCGATATGTAAGGACATAAAACATAGGATGCCACAAGTTGGGGGATTCCTAGGTGAAAATTTATTTCTCTTGTCCTATCAATCACCACGAATCTTTGTCTGAAGGACTTGATGGTCCCACATTTTGGGACACGAATTTTCTGTTGAATTTTGATTGTGATTCGCTTCAGGCAATTACCGTAATACTGCTGTTCTCAATCAATAGATTCAATAGAGTCTATATATTTTGATCTATTTTGTCTTAAATCACTTTCTGGGCATTCAAAAAAAAAACACAATGGTTGGCAGGTGAATTTCTCATGCGGTCAGCCAAAGCACAGGATTCTCGTGCTCAAAATACTCTTTCCCTGAGCTATAGCCAGCAAAGGGTGCAACGTGAAGCAAAAGCTCTTGCAAATCCTGAGCGAAGCGGTCGAAGCTAGCAGCCAGTGCGAAGCAATGTGTCCCACGTGGGAATCGAGATATTTTTTGAATGTCCCACCGATGTCAAGTTTTCATTCAAAATGCACTCCCTTTGGATAGGGGTGGCCCAAAGGCAATTCCCAAAAGCAATCCCTCTGGTGAGATCGCCCCAAGGTTGTTTCCCACACTGAATGTTCATGAAAAAAAAAGCACCAGCATCTAACACTTCATGAGCAGAAGGACAACAATTAGATTCACTATCCAAGTATGAATGGTTCTCTCCAACTGATGTTTCATCAGTAACGTTGGCTCTTTGGGTCAATGATGGTCAATGGAGTCCATTGCTGGAGTCCAATCCTTCCATTTCTAGTCGATTTCCCATTCAGAAAACTCTCTATTTAAAGCGGAAGTTTCCATTGCCACGTTTGATTACCGGTAATGGTACATTGATTCAGTAATGACATGTAATGACTGTATGCAAGTTCTGAATTGAAATGGTGAACGCACTGTTCCCTGCCATGATTGAACGATCTAGATACGCTGACACCTATACTACCTTTAAAAAAACAGAAAGAACTGCCATGTCCAGGAGGAAAACTATCATTCAAAATGATGGTTTTTTGAGCATTACAGCCATATTAAGGTCTATAAATCGTTTTAGAGGCGTAAGAGGTCCTAAGTATTGGCCGGTATGCCTCCAATTGATGATCTACTCATCCTTTGGTGATCCGCCCCACAACAACATGTTTTTTGAAAGCAGCAATGGATCAAAGCAAAGATCAACAAAAACAAGAAGCGGTCAAGCGCAACCTTGTAACTGGGGACACCACCTTCTATTCCCCTATTTATATATATATATAATACTATAATATGTATGTATATATTATATGTACGTATATATATATATGCCAAAGGCTTTGATTTGTCTCCCCACCCACTGACAAGAAAAAACAGTAGGTTGACTTGTTGGTGGGTGCGCAAAATGTGACGATCCGCTGGTGGCGAGAAACCGCCAAGAACATTGCCAATCTTTCTTACCCTGAAAAGCAACACATGCGCTTAAGTTGAACAATAAGCACCAATCTAAGGTTTATCCCAACTGGTTGGTGGTATACCTACCCCTCTGAAAAATATGAAAGACAGTTGGGATGATTGTTCCCAATATATGGAAAAGTAAAAAATGTTCCAAACCACCAACCAGATTAGATTTCCATAATTTTCTATATTTGTTGGTACATACATGTAGCTCCAATAGTTCAGACCTAGCCGTTGTACCATTCAGTATTTGTTCAGCGAGGCTCTTGAGCCTCCATCGCTTTCTCATAGGCTTCTGGGTTGAATTTTCGTAAGACCACCTCGTTCTCCATGAGGAATTTGCTTTTCCTGGGATGAGATGAAGAGCAAAAAAAATGTGCTCTAAACCGACCGCTTTCAACGGCGGATGGTGGGGATTGCTGCTTGGAAGCTGGCTGAGAAAATATTAACATGCAGAGAGAAGCAACAAGAATGAGAAGTGTTGATCGCAAGCAAACAAAAGACAGTGACATATCTGCTCAAGAAAGATGGGAATATAACTCACCAACCCGGAGAGTATTCATCTTGCTTCGGGATAAAACCGACAGACATGGAGATTTGCTCAACTGCTCAATAACAAAACGTAAGTACAGTGACTCTTGGTAATGGTTTTTTGTAATGGTTGATTCCTGCGACTTTAGTAGAGCCAGACAAATCCCCTATCGGGAGTACTCCGATAAAACGGCCAGAATTGATTCTGCCAGAAGTTGAAGGGTAGCAGTAGCATGCGGATTCAAATACCAAGCTGCGTGCTCGACAAGCACATCCTCAGCATATGGACAGGCAACGGTACAATACTCTGGAATCTTGAAGGACCCAGGTAGGCAGGGGAGACCAGAATGATATGGGTCAGGTTCGCCCGCCTAGCCTCGTGTTCACATCCAAAAATAGTTATGACATAAACAAGAAAGAGACTTCATTCAGTCGGGGCGTGAATAATGACTTGCTGTTGATATTTTGGGTTTGAATCCACAACTTTGCGGAGTTGTCAAAGCATGAACAGACATATGAAATAAGATCAAACACCACGAAATCGTGTAATGTCATGCATTTTCATTGAAACACCCCTGGTTGAAAGGAGGGGACGGCATCTTTGCACTGCTGCCTTCACCCACCTTTCCACAAAGGCCTAAAAACCCCTATCCGACACCATTCCTTTCGACCTCCCTTATTGGGATATTGGGTATCCGAGCTCGGACGCCCAGTTTTTCTCATAGTCGATATACGAAATCCCAAACTCGAATGATTCGGTGATGTCTGATGATTTTCCTAAATCCAACTTCCTGGTGTCGGCGCCGGCCAGTCCAAACCGTTAACGACACGTCTAGAGATGTCTAGACTCTATCTGACTCTGCAACCCAGCATCTGACGATAAGGAAATTTGAAGCCCTGGAAGCATGTTTCCAGGTTGTAGCCAGGACAAATGCATGCCATGGCAACAAAGCTCCTTGGATCCCGCAGGGTGACAGGAACCGACACAGGAACCGACGCAGGAACCAAGAAATTGGAGAAATGATGCGACTGAAGCGAGTGTTTAATGATTGTTTGATTGTTCGGCGTTCATTTCCAGACTATATATGTATACATGTGTAATATATAATTATATATTTATATATAATTATTAAATATATAATAATATATATATATATATGTACATACTTGTTGCATCACTAAGCCTCTTTTCTGTGGGTTGAAACTAATTTACTGCTGTGTTTTTCCCAGTTCCTGCCCAAAAACAGTTTTTGTTAAAAAAACAATGATTTTTGGAAAGTGCAGTTTTTTTTAAATCAAGAGGGCATTTTTGACCTCATTCTCTTGGGATCTCTTGGGATTGTGTTGCCAAACAGGTCTTCCTTTTAGAATCTTGTGTTTTAAATCCTGTTTAGACTCAAACCAAAGAAATGAGCAAAGATGTCATGCCATCCACTTTGGCAAATAGCGTTTGACTTTGGGGCCCACTGGAAGCCAACTGTGGAAAAATAAATGGCACAAGCAATGTTGAGCAACGGGATACAGCATGATACAGCCTATGCGGCTCCGGTTTTAATCCTCAGGAGTCAAAACATGTCAAAACTGTCACCGGGTTCCAGCTCTGTACTGATCCATCCTTGTATCGGACAGCCTTGCTCCATCATTTCATGCAGTTGTCTGCAGTTTCAATGGCCAAGTTTAGATCTCCAACTCCCAGTTTCGCAGCAATTTGTCCTAAAGATCTTGATCTCCTGGGGGTCAGACAGCATCTCACGCAACCGGTAATTTCCAACCCGTATGTTACCCGTCACCAACCGGTATTGATTTTTTAATGGCTTGAAATCAAAAGCACTAGATATTTTGCAGGTATTCCACAATAGATGTTTTTTATAGGTTCAACATAGATCTGCCGGGTTTCACATGTTTTTCAAGACTCGTGAGGATTCATTCATCAAGATGTAGAGAATTCAAGGAAACGCTTCCTGAGCTGGGGAATTTTTCAGAATCTTAATACTTTGAGATAGAGCAAGTTGAGGTTTCAAAGTGCCGAACACACTTTGACAATTTGCTGTTCAATACAAAATGGATAAATCTCCTAATCGAGCAGGATTTGGCTTCGGGGGTACAGGTTTCAGATTCAAACTTTTGAATTTGCAAGCTATGTAGTTTGAAGGATGGTCTTTCCTCAAGGATTTCTTTTATGTAGCTACAGTTCGATGTAATTTTCATGGTGTCCTTTCACGACTTCGGAGCTATCATTGGACATGTGGATGTTTGGAGGGTACTATCGCTGACTGCATCTTCCATGCCACCCGTAATAAACACCGGTGACATTTAAGGGAAAAAACTAAACATGTTTTTTTGCAAAAACAATGTTTGTTTAGGTAATTAATCAAAGATGGGTAGCCCCAAAAAAAACGTGTAGCAATTGGACCTTCAAGTCTGCCCAGTCAGATTTACGTGTGGTCAAAGCCATGTTCCAGCCCTCGGCCAACATTCACACGGCTATCCCCATGGTTAACCCATCATTCACAAAGGTTTACCCAGATATTTACCCTTTGTATCTGCTCAACTCCCTTTGCTTCTGTAGAGACCCATTTGTTTCGTGAGTAAAGCTTCATTTTTGTGGGTACATCCACAAATTCGTTCAATTGTCTTTATATTACAACTTGGTCCATGTTTAACCGGAAACTGGTCGGATTTAAATCTAAGTTGTTCCTATTCATTGTACGTATTCAATGTATTTCAATGTATAGTATGTCCCAAAGATTTCTCCAATATTCCCGGGTCAATGGATCAGATATTCCCATTCTTCTTGGCTTTGCACCCCCAAGTATGTTAGTTAATTATATTAACAACTTATCCATTAAAACTAGCATTTATAAATATCCAGATTCATTCTAAGATGTCTAAGATACCTCCAGTTCCATGGATTTTCTAAAATTATTCCCAGATTCATTCTAAGATTTCAAGTATAACACAACCCACCCTCCACCAGTCTGCGATTTCCCCCAAGCCCTTCACCGCCAAAATGCGGGGCTTTGCCGTCGCCCTTCTCGCGTCGGGCGTCAAACTTGCCCTGAGCTTCGATAGGCAACTTGCCTGCGGGAATTCACAGGGGAGCATCGGGTAAATTCTTGCATAACTATGGAATGTTATGGAATGCTATGGACTTTCAGTCATGTTCTTCGATGATTTATGATGATTTATGATGATTTATGATGATGTATGATGATTTATGATGATTTATGATGATTTATGATGATTTATGATGATTTATGATGATTTACCTAAAATTCAATTTCCTTGGTGCTTCACCAGCGAATCTGGCGATGTCGTTATTTCGGTCATCCTCCTGGGAAAAATCAGGCCTCCCTGGAATCAAAGCTATGTGGAGACTTGACCAAAAGACCTATGTTTTTTTTTGTTTAAGGACCATTTGGCGAAACAAATGGAAGCAAACAAAAAACTCTGATTTAAGAGACGAAACATGGGATTGAAACAAGCAAAATTGGAGCTTTCAGCTGATTTAATAGGATGACAAGTATGCAAACATAGGGATTAACCGAGCAAAAGCCTCATCAGCAAGACACGGGCACAGAATTGTTGCCGATTGTCCGTTCAAATGGTTGGACAAAACATCTATCGATGGAATTGTCCAGTATGGGAAAATTGGAAATCTACCCTCTGGTAATTTAACATAGCTATTGAAAATGGTGATTTATAGTGGATTTACCCATTGAAAATCGTGATTGTCCATAGTTATGTTAGTTTACCATAGAGGGTATGTGCACCAACGAAACATTGCATTCAACAAACAATAGGAGTCAACCAACAAGGATGCTGGTATGACACGTGTATTGAGGCATGCAGCACGTAGCAGTAAAGGGACAACCCTGATAGCCAGTGACCCTGGTGACTCTGATTCTACTAAGAATTGCTGCAGACTGAGCAACATCTTCATGGCCAAACGGTCCCAAAGAACGTCGGTCATTTTGATGAAACACATATCAAACTCATCAAGAATGGTTGATGTTCTTTTTTTAGTGTAACTGTCCTTCGTTTATGGCTACATGAAGGTTAACTTCTCACACCATTTACTCTGGATGATTTATCATCATTCACTAACCTAACACCAGCTCTAATCATGCGGCCATACGGGGATGATTCCCGCAATCCAGTGATGCCACGGCGTGACTACCGTGAGTTGCTCCGCCGAGCCATCTCCCAGTTTTGGCGCCGAGCCACTTCCAGAAGAGAAGCCGATCCAGAAGAAGCCAACAGCATCTGGCAATCGCTCCTCGCGAAAATTCTTGGCTAAGTCGCTAAGTTGGTGTAGCCAGGGTTTACGGAAGATATCATGTTGATGACGTTGATGGATGTTCATGAGGTTTATATTTATATCAACCAAAGTTAAGGAGAGGGAACATGAGGGAACCACCAACTTTAGGGCGCTTCTCTACCCAAATCTGTGGTGGTGAAAGTCATCCTACCGAAGTCACCTGTCGGCGGCAATTCCTCTGCACACCAGGGAACTTGTCAGGAAGATCATTTTCACGTTTCAAAAAACGCATACACCTTTCTCCAGGTAAAAAAAAAAAAACGGTCTCGGGCTTTGGGCCAAGCTTCTAGTCCCCTGAGGTCTTAAACTTCTTAAACCGCTCATTATCCATAGCCGTATCCCTGTTATTTCCTGCTCTTATCAGGATTTTAAAGGCTCCATTTTTTACTGGGTGGATCCCGAAGGTTGTTCTTGCGACCCCCAACTTGCTCGTTGATCACTGTGTTTCCGGATGATTCACCAATTTTATTGGCGGAATGGAGAAATCCAAATGCATATTCCATAACGTCGCAATTCTGGTTGGTTATTTGTCCATTCCCACTATGGCCTCCGAAACTCAATATCCACGCGAGAATGATCATTTCCCAATTGAAATTGCCAGGTGGGGTAAACACCCCATTTTCAGGTTATAGCCATAGCTCCCATAATATTGCCATAACATATACATCATCATCTTTGTTGGTGAACTGGGTCCACATTATACCCCATGATAGCCATGATATTCCCAAATAGAGCAACTTGGGAGGAGCAGAGATTCTCCTGTAACATCTCATAGATCTGCTCCGTATCGTCCTGCAGGTTAGCAGGCCGATGTCTGCCATTGGTGGATTTAAACACTGGAATTCATGGGTTTATAGAATTAAGACTGGTTGGTGCAGGATGGTGCCCCCCAGCTACTGTATAAGTTGGTTTATAAACCCCATTAACTATAGTTATATCTACCATAAACCATAGTTATAGGAGTTATAAACCAACTTAGCTAACTATGGGGCACCACCTTGTGGTATACCTACCCCTCTGAAAAATATGAAAGTAAGTTGGGATTATGACCTTCCCAAATCTTCCCAATATATGGAAAAATAAAATTCATGTTCTAAACCACCAACCAGAAGATTTAGTTAGGGATGTATTCAGTACATTGGATTTCAAGGGGATTTCATGATGGATCTACAGAGAAAAACAAGAAGGATATATACCAACGGACCCACACAGTTGGTCCATTTTGGTGCTTAAATTCAACCATCTTTTGTTGGGAGTCAATAATTTTGTGTCAATTTTTAGGGTTCCTGCGACTTTCCGTTCAACTGAATAAGATTAATCAGGTGGTTTGGCTTAAACAACAAACATGTTCGACTTTACTACATTTAACAAGCCCAAAAAGCAGGCTTCACATCCCCCCATTGGGCACTGTCACTGTTCTCCCCTGTCGACAGGACCCTGGCTAAAAAAGACGTATGCGCCTTGCCATCGTGGACTTTGGACTTCAACGAAACAGTTCACCCTAACAGCTGGTTCGATTGCTGATGATCAAGGGACTACCCTCTGGTTATTTAACATAGCCATGGAAAATCACAAGTTTTAATAGGTAAACCATCTATAAATGGGCCATTTTCCATGGCTATGTTAAATAACCAGAGGGTAACCATTCTGTTTCTAGTTCTAAGTCGGGTGAAAAGAAAACATTTATATACTCATCATCAGCATGGGATGAAAACATGTTTTTTTAACAATTTAGGTACTTCAGTGAGCCAAAGGGTGCACGCAACCATGGCTGACTTGATGGCTGATGTCAGCGTGATTCAGCGTGTATTGATAGCATCTAATACCTGCATGGCTATATGATATATTTGGACATAGACCTATTCAAATTTCATGCATATTCGTATACATATATATGTATATTTATCATTGTAGTACACATACGCAGCTGCAGGTATATATATATGTACATGTGCACATACATATTTACACAGGGATACCCTCCCAGACCTACCGTTTTGATACATCTTATATGTACAATATATCATATAATTATCCATTATCAATCATTATCATATCTTACTATACAATTGGTGTAGCTTCGAAGCTTGAAAAACCTGCTTAAAACCGAAGCTGTTCTACATGGTTAGAAGTTCTACTGGTTTCTTGAAAACCATTCCAATCCCGGAGATTGTAAGATATGATATATTATAATCATTATCATATCTATATATTATACACTGGTTTCCAAGGATATCAAGATAGATATTCCAATATTGGTTCTACAATGATCCCTCAGCTGATCCCTCAGATCCGGATCAGCCCGCTCCGAGTCGCCAAAGAGATTCCAGCGCGGCGCACGCAACGGGGCTCCATGGCCTCGACGTTCAATGACCTGGGCAGGTGGACTTTCTGGTGGACAGGGGTCCTGTAGGAAGATAAAAACATGAGTTTCTAGGGATTTTCTAAGGATGTTCCAAGGATTTCTAGAAATTTTCTAAAGGTTTCTAAGGATTTTCTGATGTTCTAAAGATTTCTAAGAGTTTTCTATGGATTTCTAGGGATTTTCTAAGGATTTCTAGGGTTTTTTCTAGGCATGTTCTAAAGATGCTCTAAAGATTTCTAATTTTTGTTCTAGGGATTTCTAGGGATTCTTATGGATTTTCTACGGATTTCAAGAATTTTTCTAAGGATTGTCTCTAATGATTTTCTGAGGATTTCTAGGGGGTTCCAAAGATTTTCTAGGGATTTCTAAAGGTGTTCTAATGATGTTCAATCGATTTCTAGAGTTTGTCTAAGGATTTCTAGTGGTTTCTAATTTTTTTCTAAGGATTTCTAGGGATTTCTAGAGTTGTTCTAAGTTGTCCTAGGGATTTCTAGAGTTTTTCTAAGGATTTCTAGGAATTTCTAAGGATTTCTAGAGTTGTTCTAAGTTGTTCTAGGGATTTCTAGAGTTTTTCTAAGGATTTCTAGGGATTTCAATTTAGGGATTTCTAGGCTTTAGTCTCCATTCATTTTAAGTACTGGTAGAGAGACGGGCCCCCATGTCAAGTTTATGAATCCATCCAACTACACGGGATGGACGGTATACACAAAAGGAGGTCGAACCAAACCAATTTTGGTATGAAATTGTGGGTTTTACATGGTTTTACCACCTGGTTTGATTCAATGATTGTTGATGGCCCATTGTAGGGGAATACCTATTAGTTTGTAAACCCGTCCAACTGCAGATGTATCCGTCATAAGGCCCCTGACCTACTGATCAACCGACTTACCTGTGTGGTGGGCCCGTTCTTGTACAGGTTTGAGTGAAAATAGCGAACCCCAGAATTCAATGATTGATCATATGAATTCCGTTAAAATAAGGCTATGTAGGGGGTGGACCGCATTTTCAGGCACGCCCATATGCCGACAAGATCCACATTGTGAGTAGTCTAGTGATGGTTATGATATGTTATCATTGCAACCTTTGTTTTGACTATTGGGATGAATGGAAAAAATTACTTCGTGTGATCCCCACCATGACATTTATACATTTTGTTACTGGCAAATCTTCTGACATTCTATCTGGCATATCTTCTGGCATTCTATCTGACATATCTTCTGGCATTCTATTTGGCATTCTATCTGGCATATCTTCTGACATCCTATCTGGCATTCTATCTGGCAAATCTTCTGGCATTCTATCTGGCAAACATTCTGGCACTTTATCTGGCATACCTTCTGGCACTTTATCTGGCATTCTATCTGGCATATCTTCTGGCATTCTACCTGGCATATCTTTTGGCATTCTATCTGGCATATCTTCTGGCATTTTATCTGGCATATCTTCTGGCATTCTATCTGACATTCTATCTGGCATTCTATCTGGCATTCTATCTGGCATTCTATCTGGCATATCTTCTGACATCCTATCTGGCATTCTATCTGGCAAATCTTCTGGCATTCTATCTGGCAAACATTCTGGCACTTTATCTGGCATACCTTCTGACATTTTATCTGGCATATCTTCTGGCATTCTATCTGGCCGTTGGGGTCCAGCGGTGCGCACTGAGCTGGGAAGGTCCCAGGTTGAGGTCCAGCGGTGCGCACTGAGCTCGGCAGGTCCCAGGTTGAGGTCCAGCGGTGCGCACTGAGCTAGGAAGGTCCCAGGTTGAGGTCCAGCGGTGCGCACTGAGCTGGGAAGGTCCCAGGTTGAGGTCCAGCAGTGCGCACTGAGCTCGGAAGTTGGCGAAGAGCTTGGCGAAGAGTTGGCAAGGCGGAAGTGGAGGTGGAAGTTGATGCAGACATGGTCGAGGAGAAACTGGAGGAGGAGGCGGAGGAGGAGGAGAAGGAGGAGGACAACAGCTCTGATAAAATCTAACAACCCTCACCTGGCAGGTGGGGAACTATCATTTAATTATTATTATGATTGCAACATTGGTTATGATTGCAACCTGTGCTATTCATTTGTTGATCCATGATTGCAAAAGGAACATCATGGATAGAATTCTGTGCTCCAATTTCACAAAGATGTTCTGGAGCCACAGGGATACAGATAAAAAAGTATGGACATCTTGAGCTCGATAGAAACAACAGAAACCGTGTTTTGCCAATCAACCAAACGCTGGATTAACGCACATCACAAGCTGACGTGAAGACGATCATAAATTACACAGGGAAACACGGGAAGAGTTACGATCAAGCCAATCAACCACTTGCAGTACCTTTGTTGAATTGTCTGGTTGGTGGTATACTAACCCCTTCTGGAAATTATGAAAGTCTGTTGGGATGATGATTATTCCCAACTGAATGGAAAGTCATAAAAATCCATGGTTCCAAACCACCAACCAGTTGTGTTTGAATATAATGCAACACAAAGTTCAAAACATCGCCGAAAAAACCCTCCGATGACACCCCAAGTCACCAAGAAATCTGCATGACACCTGGATTTTGAGCATTGGCTTGTTTATATATGGGGGTATAAACAAAGTATCAAAAGTATCAACCATTACCCTAAAAGGTAAGTTAACAGAGCTATACAAACAAAAGCACATAGAAATAGATGATTTACCTCTTAAAAATGGGTGGATGGTCACCGGTTACCACGGTCACCTGTTTCCGACTGGCCGTGTATTTGTTTTTCATATATATATATACATATTATATATATATATATACATATATATATGTATATATATAGATATAATAAATAAATATATATATATACATTTATATGTATATATTATATTATCCTACCAGCCGAACGTGTAAAGTGTACAATTTTCTGGTGAAGTTACAGTCATGCAGTCATGAGCGTTGTGAATGCACAGCATAGCATGCCCGCACAGTCTCTGACTAGCAGCCGTCGAATGAAAAAAATATTATATTATCTATATATATTTACATTCATATTGCACGTATTCTACACACAATTACACACATCCAATCTTCGTGGAAATATCCCCCATAATTGCGGTATGCAACCCGTGTTTGTTGCTTATACTAATGAATTACATGTCATGTCTGCACGCGCCTGTCACCTGGGAAAACAATTTGCCGGACATTACTTGCATATTACATAATAATCATATATGCACACAGATAAATTTGGGCCCAATTGATAGGTATATAATCGGTATATTTTGGAGTAACTTTATCCATAGATGTTCAGAAGACCACCTTTGGTTGTCTCCCCCGGATCCCAGCAAAGGCGCTACCACACGGAAACCTCGATCCACAGCGCGACGTAGAAACGACGAGCCGGGCACGTCCTGGGCCGTACACGTCCTTGGTCCGCGCTTAGATCATCCTATGTTCATGTGTATGTGTATATATGTAGTAGGCCAAAAATGTTAGAAAAGTTTAGTCTATCACTATCTTAGTGTAGTGTTTCATTTTAAAAAAATGTTTGGGGGTTACTAATATATTATGTATATATATATATTACCATATCCTACGTGCGTGTGTACTTAGATGTTTATCATTCACGTTTTATGTACATCATATGTGTAGTACTACTTGTATATATGCTTTTTAATGATTGTTCATACAATTAAAAAGATATTATATAATTATATATGTCTAATATAGATATTAGGTATATGTATAATATATATATGTATGTATGTATGTATAAATATATAATTAAATATGTATATAACATTATATATATAATTAAATATGTATATATCACAAACAATAGTCATGTAGAGAGAGAGAGAGAGGGAGAACAATAAACATGTGAATACATAGTATCCATATACATTTACAGTATTGTCTCAAAGACATAGAGAAATTGTGGTGATCCCGGCAAGTCAACCAAAGTTATGAAGAAAGTATATATCTGGATGATAAAAGCCCTATAAAGCCCCTGTAAAACCCTATACCTATCACATCCTATCAGCCTCTTGATGGCTCTTGGATACCGGATGATACCGGACATCTTTAAGAGTCTACCCTTCGTGATTTCATCCCCCATGCCCAGGAACGGTCACCTTTAAAAGGACCCCCGTTGCCACGCAACAATCCGGGTTCCACCACGATGGTTGGAGCATCCAGAGGGAAGTCGCTGGATGACCTCAACGGTCCATCCCCCGTGGATTTGTTCAAAACCCCCTTTGAGTCCCAAATTCCCAAACATTGGTGTTTGTTGTAGTAAACCAATGGTGAATATTAGAGTGTGTTTTATATATTTTCATATGAATGGGGGATGGGATTAATTCTATTCCAGTGGCGTTTTGCTGAAAATGTCGCGTCTGGAAAGCTGTCCGGCGTCATTGTCATAACATGTCATGAGGACATGGATATGTCAAAGAGGGCACTTGCGACTCGTACAATGAAAGCAGTTTCCGCAGCAAAGGGCAAAGATCGGAACTAGATCGGAACAACATGTTATATATATTCATTATTTACAGTATATATTAATAATATATACATGTGGTTTTTCAGAAGCCAACTTCCGGAGAGAGTTTTCACAATTGCAGAATATGACTGTTATGGGTTGTTATGGGCTGTTGGTCCCAGCGGCGTCTTTGGAAAAAAGTTCAGGATCACTTCATCTTCCATGGATCGGGGATTGGTCTTGCTCTCAGGCTGTGTCTTGTCCTCTGCGCTGGGAAACAAAAAAGGAAACATCGGCGAATGTTCAACCTGCAACCTTGTGGATAAACCTGTTTGTCTGAAAATAAACTACCCATAGCTACCCCCATATTTGATGCCATCTTCAATCTTCAAGATATTTAAAAGGAGTCGACGGAGTGAGTGGTTTCCAGCCACCTCAATAGGTACCAGTACGTACCCATTTTAGATGTTTAAATCCCCTATGTTTGTTGGTTGTTTTTGAGAGGATTACCCGGTACCTTCCCAGGGTTTTCACTAATAGAAAGTGTGTTTGAAAACACAGTTCTGGTAAGGTGGCCCTTACCGAAGTCCTCAACTAAAAACGCCATTTTTTTAGATTACCCGGCCTGGTAAACATACAAAAAACTATGGAAAATCACCATTTTTTAAGGGAAAACTCACTATTTCTATGGCAATGTTCAATAGCTATGTTAAATTACCAGAGGGTATGTTCCCATGAAAACCTCCCATTGATTCAGGGGATGTCCCATGTATTTTTCCTTCATATCATCCAACATTAATGTAGAGTATCCTCAGGTAAACTAACATAGCTGCATAAGATCACAATGTTTATTATTGGGTAAATCAAATGTAAATCATCTTTAAATGGGCCATGTTTCATAGCTGTATTAGTTTACTAAAGGGTACACTCCAAATATCCAGTGTTCATCCATTACTGTTGGATATTTTCCATCATCAATCATTATTAACTACTATTAACGACCATTGACCCATGGACTTCCGCATCTTCATGCATCTTCCGCATCTTCCGCTGGTGGTGGCGAAGCGTCCTGCAGGCCCTTTACGGTGAAGCGTTGCTTCTCAAAGTCCAGGGCTTGAAATGTGGCCGAGAACCTGGAAGAGCTGCCGGAAGAAATTGAAGAACCAAAGAAACAATGAAAATAACACGAAAAAAAATACGTGTTTGTCTGAAAATAGGGTACCTCTAAATCCATTGGTCAATCATCGACACACCCATATGAAGAAACATGCACAAATGAAGGAAATCATCAAATATATGATGAACAAATGGCGATTTGAACATATTCAAACCACAAAATAAAAACTGGTTGGTAGTAACCCCACTTATGGGTAGCAAATTTGTTGTGAATTGGTTATATAAGTTTAAGGTTGTGTGAACTAACACATCAATTCCTGGGGTGAACAACCAAGTAATATGAACAACGAGAAATCCAAAACCCCACTATTTTGACCGTGTATGCCAGCCATGGTCGCACCTGGCCTGGGTGCGGCTCATCGGTGTTTTAACGCCCTCCCGAAAAATCAAACGTGGTCTCCGTGGTCATGGAAAAAATCCTGGAGATACTATAACAATTCAATGTGATTCCACGTCACTGAAACAATAAATAAAAGGACTTCTAAGGTATTCATCGATCCAGACCCTGTTTTCTGATGAATGATGATGTGGAAGATATATTTCAATAGTTCACTTCACATACAGTACCAGTAGGGCCCAGGCAAGCCTGGCGAAGGAAGTTTCAAAGGGAAGGGGAAGCCTATAAAGAAAAGGGGAGTCTATGGGAACGACGGCTGACCGCCTGGCTGCGATATCTCTTGGAAGTCTTCCTCCTTGACACTTCTTTTTCCCGACATACTTTTGTGATGATGCCGTTTTCTCTTGAACGGGTTTGCGTTTGTCGTTCTTGAATCTTGACAGCCCTTCCGGTTGACAGCTGTGAAGCTCTTGGCCTGACACACTCTTCTCTCTTGACAAACCTATTTCCCTACTTGCATCATTTCCCTACTCTCTTTACATTGCTAATCTCTTCAATGCCCTTCTCTCTTCACTTCCCTTTTCTCTTCCTTTCCCTAGCCTCGTCACTTCCCTACTTTCTTCAAATCCCTACGCTCTTCAGCTCCCTGCTCTCGTCACTTCCCTACTTTCGCCACTTCCCTACTCTTGTCACTTCTATACTTTCTTCACACCCCTACGCTCTTCACTTCCTCACTCTGTTCACTTTCCTACTTTCTTCATTTCCTCACTCTCAGACTTCTCTAGCTTCTTCATGTCCCTACTCTTTTCACTCTACTCTTTTCAATCTTCACTTCCCTAGTCTCTTCATTTCCCTCGTCTCTTGCTCCTGTACTATGTTCACTTCCTTACTATCTTAATTTTCCCTTGTCTCTTCACTTCCCTACTCTTTTCATGCCCCCGCTCGCTTCACTTCACTACTTTCTTCACTTCCCTGCTCTCTTCTGGATCATATTCTCCGTAAAACGGATTTTCTCTCGACTTTCTGTTCTTCATGCTCTCCTCAGGACCTCTGTGTTTTGTCATCTCGTCAGTTTCGTGACATCCTTTTGTCTTTGTGTTTATTTGTGTGTTTCAGTGTGCAGCTCCTCCCCGCTGCACACGGTGGCACCCTCCGCTCCTGTTGCAGCAAATCACTGCCTTGCATATCACATTGTTATTGCGTGCCGAAACGCAGATGATCAGCTCCGCATAGAGCTGACAATGGCGACCGCTCGAGCGCCAAACGAGCGAAGACCGGACAGGTCGCACAGACAAGGTTCCCCACATCGACGTCGGGAGCCACTTTGTGCGAGAAAACATAGGGTTTCGTGCGATTCCATCCTCACCGGCGTCACCGTGACGAAGCAATTCCACTGCGATCTCCAATCACTGCCTTGCAAATCACAAGTTCACTGTATTGATGTGGTGTGGTGATGTGGTGATGTAGTGATGTAGTGATGTCATGTAGTGATGTGGTAATGAGGTGATGTGGGGATGAGGTGATGTAGTGATGTGGTGATGTGGTGATGTGGTGATGTGGTGATATGGTGATTATGGTCATTAACTTCCTTCACTTTTCAAAAATCCGTAAAGCCGAGTGAAGACTTCCATCATCTTCCATCGATATCAATTTTCCGCCGGGTACCCCGATCCAAAAAAAAACATCATTGCAGTGATGGCTCGACGTGTCGCAACATGATCCCGACAAATTCGATGTATTCGACCCCCTTGACTTTCAGCATCCACTGGCTTCATGAGCCCAGGTGCATCCCACCAGGAAAATGTTTCTTGATTTACGGTGACCGATCTAAAAAGGGGACATATCTGCCATACATATGAACTTCATATTGTCGGGGATGGGATTACTAGCAATTATACATTTATGTATATTTATGTTTGTTAGTTTATAACCCCATCTCTCTCTATGTATATATATACATGACTATGACCAAAAAAACAAGACGTAAAGTCATGTCGACTCGACGTTGGTTGGTAGTCTCATGAAAACTACGATTCTTATTCATCACCATAAACTCAATGGCCATTTCAGGAACCGATTTATTGGAGGTACCAACCATATCCTACCATATAAGGCCAATATAAGGTCAATATAAGGCCAAAAAAACAGGGAATATCCCACTGACTACTGGGACCATTGTAGCCACTGCGGCTTTGGCACAGGTTGTACACCATCCACGGCATGAATTGCACATTGCCTCCATAGGCCCAGAAGGGGGGCCGTGGTGCTCGCTGTGCCGTGCGCATGCCCCGGAAGACGCGCTGCCTGGAATACGTGGAAGGGGGAAATCCTGAAGGTTCCATATGGAAGTTTACCCATGAAAATGAGGATTTATGCATCTTTAACTCATGCACAAAAGGCTAAATCATGATTTCGCCCACATTGGAGGTTCGTCGAAAAGAAGGCGGGATGCCCCAATTTAATTTAATCTATGATTCTTTTAAATGGGAAGAAGGACGACACGCAAGTTGCGGCAACTGGTCATGATTCCCTAACACTGAACACAATTCAATTCTTGGGACAATCTCCCTTGCTGACCATGGTTTATGGTAAGCATGAGCGTTTCAAGTGGAGGCCCAAAAAGATAAGGTCAGGAAACACGCCCCATGGTGGTACTTCGAGGGCCTTGATTTCTGATCTATGGATGCAACCAGCTCGAACCCCTGTCAATGGATACATGCGGGATGGAATGGGTAATATATAATTGTTTGTCCTAGCACCACCTCGTCCCATGCCAGGGATTCTTAAGATGATTTTCCTACTGGATAATATCAGGGTTCCACGTTTAAGATGTTATGAATCTGTGACACGACTGAAATGGCCAAGGGTGGAGCAACATCCTGGTTATTGTTAACAAGAATCTCGCTTGTAGAGAGGTCCCCCCCAAAAAAACGAAGAGCAAGCTCAACACAAATTACAACCAATATATAATACAGGGGGGTAATTCTTCAATTTTCTCAAACTAGTGTTTCAAAACGACCATATATTTTATGCTGCGAGAACAGATAGAAGAGTATCATATTGTATATATATATATATACATGTATCATACGTGTATGTAAAGTGTATAGTTGTAATAATATCATCAATCCTTCGCCAGGAGTCAACTCCTCTCCAGTGCCAATATAGCCATCCACTTTGCCAAATCCACGTATAGAGGTGTAGAGGAAGAGACTGACGCCTGCCATGTGGGTGCCGAGATGATCTCTGAAATTTCATAATTAACACAGATGTCATCCATATTGGTATTTCTTAAAACGCGGGATCCAAAAAGAAACATGTTGGAGGATTTAGCAGTTCCCCCATTTTTGAAAACCCCCATATGTGCTGGGTCTATTTTCCACTGATTACCAATTTAAGATATAACTAGATTAGTGTCTAGATTAAATCTAACCCCCTTCCGAATTCAACGAAATGAGTCAAAATGATCCAGAATTAGAATCAGAATGGTACCCTCTGGTAAATTAACATAGACCCTGGCAGTCATCGGGGTTTTCAGATGAGTTTCCATTAAAACTAGGCTATTTTCATCTATTTTCAGGGTCCAACAAGTTAATTTACCAGAGGGTAAAACATGCTTCAAACATCTTCAACACCCATGTTTCGCATGGACTCTCTGGGAAATGACGCCTCGGTGACTGGTTTTCGGTTTCCCGTCCGTGACACATTTTTTGTCCGTGATGATTCCGTGATGTCGCGATAAGTTGTTGTGGCGTATTTTCAGAGAAGACAAAGCACCAATGTGCAGAATAAAACAAAAGTTGATCTTGCAGATTGACAATGATTGACATTATATTTATGTATACAATATGTATTTTGATCTTGTATGACTCAACGCTCAGCAAAGAGGAAAATAATGGAAAATAACTAGATCGTTTTCGATGAAGTGGTAAGTGGGCGTCTGGGTTCATCCGCTTGCAATCTTTGGACGAGCGTGCTGTTGGAAGGCTAGATGCGAGAGTGTACCAAAGGAATCTTCTGGCGTGTTTAGTTCCAAACTTGATGAGAATGATTGTGACCTGCCCATCTCTTTCTTTTTTATTCATACTTCAAAACTAAGTCAATCCAAAAACAAACTGCTATAGCTTACACACCCAACTGTTGGCACTTTTGAATCCATCACATTCACTGCCCCGGATCCTACTGACGACTCTAGGAATGTATCGTCCATTGAGATCATCTCATTTCCGTCCATTGGGTATTAAAAAAAACCACACATGAAAGAAAGCTCCCAACTAACTGGGGTCCAGGATTTACCTCTGGTAAACTAACATAGCTATGGAAAATTGCCACTTATAGTTGATTTACCCATTGAAAATGGTGGTTTTCCATAGTTATGTTAAATTACCAGAGGGTATCAGAACATCACTAAAACATCTGCTAAAATCATCATTCATCACTGCGCCAACCCCACCACCACTTCCCGGGTCACCAAGTGCGCCATACGCCACTGCACGCCCAAGAACTGCAGAAATGTGACCTTTTTAAATCATCAAACAAATGGTAGGCTTTAACTAAGGAACATGTAAATATCATATGGATGAATTCTAGGATTTTACTGGGCATATCCAGATATGATGATGATATTATTAACACTATATTCATATATATATATATATATATCCATGAATCACTGGTTGCTTGAGAACGGATTTCTCAGCTCATGGGTTGTGATAATCCTCATTTGTTTTTAAGGCTGTATAACCACCGAACTACTGATTGACAGGCTCTTGAGCACTGCTCATGTAGGAAACCAATACCTAAGCAAATCTGTGGGAGATTGTGAGTGTGTGTACAGGACTGTAATGGAATAAATGTAATTGCTACAGTAGTAGGAATGTTATTGCCAATGAGGTGAGATCAACAAAAAGTGGAGACAATGAAAATCGTTATCATGGTATTATACGCCTACTAAGAATGAGAAACATTGTGTTGAATGATGATGATTGTTGTGGTTATAATAACGATTCTGGTACAGTGCCTATATATGTGAAGAGCATGTTAGCCTAGCTGCAGTGGTCAATCATGCAAACAATAGGACCCCTGAGTAGCCGGACCTTTGTTGTTCCAAGATTGTAGGTTGCCAGGTTGCCTTCTTGATCCCCCCTGTATCTGAGACTGGAAATGGGTGCCTAAATGGGAATAATAATTCAAACTTTTTCTGGACCCTCTAACATGGATGCTTAAATACAGAAAACAATAAAATAAAATAACAAAACATCAAAAAACTTTCGATTTTGTGGGTCCAAACCCCTACTCCATACCGATACCCTTCGACTTGCGCCAAAGGGCACCTGGTAAAAGTGACAGCAAAAAACTTGTCGCAAAATAGACGATGCCCTCAGTCTCTGCGACGATGCGGGTCCAATGTGCATCCCGCTGTGAAACTTCCGCAACATGGACATCAAAGCCCGCTGTGGTATTGGGTATGTTTATAAATTGGGGTGTTGGGCGGCTATGTTTATATAGATGGAATTACAAAAACTCCATCCAAAATGGAGTCACTGAGTAGAATTCCCCGGTACCCTCCGGTAATCAAAAATGGTCATGGCAATTGGGAGTCCCCTATAAATCGAGATAGATCGAGGCTTTAATTTGAATTTGAATATCAACTATAAATGGGAGATTTTCCACTGCCCTGCCACGTTCGATTACCGGAGGCTAATCATTTCTATGGCTAACCTAACTGCCACTTCCTATGAATTTGGAGGTCAAATGCTGTGAACTTGCATCTGGAGTATATGCAGTGTTTACCATGGGATAAATCACAAATCTAAGAGTATGTCAATGGGGTGCACCGATTTCAAAATCCAACGATTCATCTTCATTTTCCCTATTATATATATATACACCGTTATATACCCATTTTGTATATACATATAGAAGAGTATCATATTGTATATATATATATATTGTTGGTGGTTTTAACCATCTTGAAAAATATGAAAGTCAAATGGGAAGATGATTATTCCCATATATATATATGGACAAGTAATCCAAATGTTCCAAATCACCAACCAGTATATATATATACACCCATTTTAGCACAATTTTTTGTTGGTTAATTCCAACGACTCTACATGAGTTTAGTAAATTCGCCATGGCACCAGTAGAAAGCTGCCCAACAGCAGCCTCCCCAAGCTGTCGTGCAACAGGAAGTGCCAGAAGCAGCGCAGAGGTTTCAGCTCCGTGCGAAGGATCATGGCAGAAAAATTGGAGATGTGCAAAAACTCATCTGATTTCTGCGGATTTGAAATCTCTCTGGAAAGTATCTCAAGTCATTTTGGAATTATCATATATATATAATATATATATAATATATAATATATATATAATATATAATCTCCATCTAGCAATTTCACAGTGTGTTCTTCTCCACCAGCGTTGTCAAGGGCCTGAAGCCAAGCCATGTTGAGAGACGCTGGAACGAAGCAAAAACGCGACGCGTTCCTCACCAGGATGGTGCAGCCCAGCACAACCATCCGCATCTCCAAAGTTCAATAATAGATATCATGACATAGTGTATATATATATTATACTATATTATATATATATATATATTATCTATTATTTATATATATAATATTACTATATTTATATATATATATGAACAGCTTCACATTTGGTCTCACTGAGACAAGCCTCCGTAGAAGAATTTTTGGAAGGGACCAAGGTCGCCGATTGGCTTTCTCCAGACTTGTCCACATCAAAATTGTCATTTTGGGATATACCATGATATACCGATATAACATGATATACACTAATTGGTGGTTGAACCCCCTAAAAAATATGAAAAATCAGATTGGATCATCATCCCAACTATTGGGGAAAATAAAATGCATGTTCCAAACCACCAACCAGTACAGCATTTTGAACAGAGAACGATACATTCGTTGCGTTTCTTCCAGTTTGACTGTGTTGACCCGCATATCCATCGGGCAATACAACTCATGACACTGGATGGTTTCAGGATGACATGCTCCGAAGAGCAACAAAGGTGGTGCAATGGATGACTTGTAGGAAATCATAGCTACCAGGGTCCGACATATCCCAGATTTTCTGGCAAAAACACGCGGCAGTCTTCCCTCCCCCCGGCTTGTTTTGCTTGATTGCCTTCTGGCAGCAGACATTGGCTCTCGGTCAGTGAGAGGAACCAACCAAAAAAGTACCAAACTGAGCTTGGGCTCAACATCCCAAGTGGGATGGAAAATCACAATACTCAATGTATATCAAAATATGAAATTGCCACAAAGGACTGGTTGCTGTGTGAAGTAGTTGGTGCTTGGTTGATGTTTTTTTTCACATTTTTCCAATCCCAGCCCAGCACTGGTACTTTTGAAGCAAGCAACAAATGACCGGGTCGCCGCCTGCGACCTGAACCGGGATGGGTTCCTACTCTGCGGTCAACGTGACGCGGTTGTATCCGCTTCCCGGAGGCCATCTGCTCTGGGATCATCCATGTAAAAACCATGTAAAAACCATGTAAAAACATGTAAAAACCATGTAAAACCATAGAAAAACCATGTAAAACCCATAAAAAATATCAACGCTTCGTTTGAAGGAAAATGGAGGAACATGATCTGATAGGTCATCTTCTAGCTGGTCTAGCTGGTCATCGACCGTTCATGAATTACACAAAGACATATAGGTGCCCACAAAAAAAATGAGAAAAACAATCCTGGAAACAGTGGTAATTTCACTTGCCTACCTTTTTGGGGGTTACATAGCCAGGAGTGAACTGGCCACTGCTAGCCGGCCCAGTTAGCTGCCAGGAAGCACAACAGCATTGATGTATTATCGTGGTCTACTGGAAACCAGACCAGACGGAATGATACTTCTGTGATGTTCTGCGTATTCTATTTTGAACTCATATTTGATACACCTATGTGTCTATGTGCGTCTATGTTGTATCTCTATATCGATACACACACACGCACAGAGATTCTTGGGACGTCATTGAACCAGTCTTTGGGCGTATAGTTGTTTTACCTCAAACACATATGAATGTGCAGAACCAGCAGTACACACACATATGTATATATATATATATAAATTGTATTTACACATTCTTCTAGACAGAACTTTTCAAACCCTAAACCTAGCTGAACATTTTCAAGGCGTACATGTGCGGCCACACGCCATCGTTTGCCCGTGTCACGAACTAGTTTCGATCTACTCATCATCATCCTCCTCATCCCCTGGACCGCCCAGCATAAATGGTGAGAAGTAGACATATGTTCAAGCCACAAGTGTCATGGTGCCCGTGTGCAGATCCCCTTCAGTGTCCTCAACAGCTGCACATCCTATGGGCAAACGACGGTGTGTGTGTGTGTGCGTCCGTGTACTACTATTAATTAGTTTACCAGAAAACAAACATGTAGCCATGTATATACATATACAATGTATGTATGTATGTCTGTCTGTCTGTCTGTCTGTCTGTTTCTTTTATTATGCCATTGTCGGGCGCCGGGCTCTCAGATTGGCATGTTGGCGCCTAGCCGGATGGTTTATGGATGATAAATGGGAAAATCCATGGAACATCCATCTAGAAACTGATGATAAATGTCAAAATCCATAGCAAATCCATCTAGAAATGGATGATAAATGGGAAAATCCATGGAAAATCCATCTAGAAATGGATGGTAAATGGGAAAATCCATGGAAAATCCATCTAGAAATGGATGATAAATGGGAAAATCCATGGAAAATCCATCTAGAAATGGATGATAAATGGGAAAATCCATGGAAAATCCATCTAGAAATGGATGATAAATGGGAAATTCCATGGAAAATCCATCTAGAAAGGGATGATAAATGGGAAAATCCATGGAAAATCCATCTAGAAATGGATGATAAATGGGAAAAATCCATCTAGAAATGGATGATAAATGGGAAAATCCATGGAAAATCCATCTAGAAATGGATGATAAATGGGAAAATCCATGGAAAATCCATCTATATAGAAATGGATGATAAATGGGAAAAATCCATCTAGAAATGGATGATAAATGGGAAAATCCATGGAAAATCCATCTAGAAATGGATGATAAATGGGAAAATCCATGGAAAATCCATCTATATAGAAATGGATGATAAATGGGAAAAATCCATCTAGAAATGGATGATAAATGGGAAAATCCATGGAAAATCCATCTAGAAATGGGAAAATCCACGGAAAATCCATCTAGAGATGGATGATAAATGGGAAAATCCGTGGAAAATCCATCTAGAAATGGATGATAAATGGGAAAATTCCCCATGACTTTGGAACCCCCGTATCCCAATGATTGGGTTTGGACCTATGAACATATGTAAACATCTATGGGAAATATAATGGAAATACAATGAAATACAATTCAATGAAACACCATGAAATCTTCTTCAGGGTTAAAAACTGTCCCTCAAGTAAGTGTATGGTTTGTATTGTTTTGTCTATTTTAGACACAGTCGCGCTGTGAACACCATCGAATCCTTGATTGTTTTACCATGTTGTACCTCAATATCCCCATTCTATTCCATGATATTCCCAATATTCCCATTTTTTCATGGGTTTTGTCCGATATGTTGGTGCTCCAAATCTTTCTTCGTATCAGAATCTCCGTGCTGGATTCTCCAGCTGAGCTGCAGGCTGTCCATGTGGAACGCGGAAGAACCAACATGGGTCATGACTATAGCAATCTCCAAAAAAGATAGAAATTGGTAAAATCCTACTAAAATAGTGCTTTTTATGAGTTGTGTATCTGTTTGATTCTTTTTGGGGGTTACTGCATTATAATCTATTCCTGCATATCTGACAAGAGACACAATTATCAGATTTGTCAGACTATCAGACTATCATAAACTACCCGCCGGGGGGGAAAACCGCGCCAGCGTTTTGAGGGTTTTTTTAAAAAAATGTCGTTTTCGCCATAGCGAAACTACTGATTCATGCCCTAAAATTGGCTCAAAATTCCCTGGGATTTTGAAATGTTTTTTAAACGATAACCTGTAAATTACAGGGAATTTGTTCCTGAAAACTCGCCGGGTCTTTTTTTCCAACTCACATTGCCACACGGTCTTTCAAGGCTCGACCTGTGACCTCCATAAGACTTTTCGTCTTGGAGTTCATCCAACGCCGACCCAGTGACGTAACATAAGATGTGCATGTGACGCAAGTTAACATGAACGTTAACATCCCCCACCCCGCCAACCCAGTGACGTAACGTAAGATGTGCATGTGACGCAAGTTAACATGAACGTTAACATCCCCCACCCCGCCAACCCAGTGACGTAACGTAAGATGTGCATGTGACGCAAGATAACATGAATGTTAACATGCCCCACCCCCCCAACCCAGTGACGTAACGTAAGATGTGCATGTGACGCAAGTTAACATGAATGTTAACATGCCCCACCCCCCAAACCCAG